ATGAAAGCATTAAACTAAAACAAAAAATTTATAAGTTTCCTTTTACACTATTATGTTGTACAAACGAGACTCTCCTTAATAATAAATAATAATTAATTATATGGTTTCCGACCATCTTTATATATAATCTCTTGTCTAATTAAAGAACATTAAAAATATGGGAGTTTTTTAAAATAAGACAAAGACAGCTTTTGTATATAGCACGCCATTACTTTTCATTTATGATCCGTAGCTTCCTTCTTCTACATATTTAAAATATTGCTATGTTACAAAATGTAAATTAATATACATGTACATATGTACATATTTGTATTTATCAAGATTTGTATTCTTCATAATAATCACTTTTTATGAACCACCAGATATACGAGTGTGTAAATTATACATATATACACTACTGGTATGGGTCATACGAGTATGTCGACTATTTATTTTTATTTTACATAGTTTGAACGTTATTGTGTTTTATTTGATTCCTTGTTGCGTGGGACGCCGCTCGTGATGGATCCAGACACGTTGTCTCCTTAAACAAGGATTGATTTGTAACTTCAATAGCTCCATGAATAAGATCGATGTACATAATAAATGTTTCTTATTTTGCTATCAGAATATAAGCAGAAACACTGGTGTAAAAATGAAATACAATTATAGTTTTTTCTTAAAAGCCTTAATTGTTTGAGTGGAGACAATTAATTATTTCGCCATTAATTTTTTTTCTGCTGTAGCTAATGGCTCACAGCGTTCAGTGAGGACTAGAGTTTTTCTCTTAATTGACGGTTACTCTCTAGGAATTGGCGACTAGATTATGAATTTAGTATAATTAAATCATTAGTGAGACTGACTGAGACTCCAAACTGTTACGCTTCTAGGGTGTTTTTAGGTGTTCATTTGTTTCAATACCAAGTTAAGTTAGAATGTAAGTTTATGTCAAATAATTGAACAGATATATATTTTTTTATTACGTTTTATGTATACAGTTTACAACATTTATAGATTTTTAGATTTGATGTCATTCATACATTATACACATGTAAATATAAAACATGTTACATAATAATAATCGGTTCTCAACACAATAATAATGTATTGTTCGTAGTGTGAGAGGGCATCACATAAGATAAGTAGGTGCTGCGTTGATTTGTAAATGTTAGCTACATATATTACAACGTGTGGCTCCAGGGTTCTGTACCCTGGAGCAGTATGTACAAGAACACAGGAAAAACCTTCTCGGACACACAAACAGATGTAGTTGGATTAATTTTATTTTCCAACTGTTGACTGTATAAACGATTCGCTTAAATGATACGAATGTATCCTACACCGCCTTGTATCAATGGACAGTTTTCTTTATAAATAATGAGTTATAAATTTAGTTCCATCGTTGAAATACGTATACAGTAACTATTGATATCATGACTACATCGATTAAGATTTCTTTAGTACTCATTTTTAGTACTTACAGCACTCCAATGCCGAACATAACGATATAAAAAGTAGAGAGACCGGAGTCATTTGATGTTATGAAATTTTCCGAAGAAGGTGAAGTGGAAACCGATGAAATAAACTATACATAAGAGTACATACATACATCATCAAAGATACATCAACACTAATTAGAAATGCCAGCAACCCGACCGCTTCAGACGAATTCACCACGCTCGAGCGTAATTCTGTTTTGTTACCTAATCTTATATACATTGTAATGTGTACATGACGACCTTTTTTTCTCACAATAATACCCCTTTTGAAGATTGAACGTACATTTAAACAAAAAAAAATATCTTTCAATTTCAAATAATTAAGCTTAATAAAATAGAGCTGTGTTAAAGGTGTTTTGTTTGTGTGTATATTGTTGATATTAACAATTTGTTTAATTTTCGCAGCGTCATGTTGTAATTCAGTCAGTTAGTACAGCTTGAACATGGGCTGACTCGACCGGGGAAATACTTCTCAGAAGATCGGTGTGAAGTAGTTTTTGATGGATGCGTCTCGTCCGATGACTGAGATCCCACTCTTTTCTACCGTTTTCCTATTTCCTCAAAAGCCAAGGTTGGCAACGCATCCACAACATATGTTATGTTGCGGATGTCCACGGGCGGCGAGGGCTACTGCCCATCACGGAGGCCGTCTGCTCGTTGCCTCAGAGCAGTCTGTTAAACAACAACTGCATTTCATAAGACTTTGTTCTATATTCATATATCATATGTCGTGGAACACTTCCTCCTCTTGCTTGATGTATTAACTTATAATCATTTTTATTTTAAGACAAGATTCAGCAACATATTTAACAATATACCTAATTATAAGTGAATCAAAGATCAACAAAAATCCTACATTATCTTAACCAGTGCAGTAAAATATTGTTGAAAACGTTCCCCAATACATCAAGTGTGACCCGGTTCAATAATATAATTCATGACCATGGCGATGGAGGAGTCGATATGATCCAGACACGCAATGAGGTTGACATCTAAAGCCCGTTTAGAATTGATTAAAGTACATTCATGCATATGTCATAACTATTGTTCTCAAACTGTTATATTCCGTAGATAACGCTGGATTTTTGTATACATTTAATTTAAGCTATAAGACAGACCGACGTGTTAATATAAAGGTCTACTCACAGCTCACTGGAAGTAACTAAAAGGCAACATCACCACCTAATGTGTAAATATTGGTTAAACTTTAATTTCCATCAGATTAAAATTATATAATTATTAATTTATTGTCTGATGATTTAGTCGAGTAATGCAGCAGTGTTTACATTAGTCTATACTAATACTAGGTACCCGCCCCAACTTCCCACGGGCACTTCACAAAGGACATAAAATAGTTGCGTATACATTGATTTAGTTTTAGAGTTAAATAAAGACAAACAAAAATTTTATCATCATTCTTCATCAAACATATTTTAAGTTTTAACTTAGATAAACGATATGTCTTTATGTTAATAATAGTTTGTCAATATAATAAAATGACAAATTTTTTATATCATCATTAATGACGTGATCATGTGAAAAGGTGAGCAATCGCCTGGATTTAATTTTGAGAATTATATACTTATGATAACTTTCAAATGTTACGTCCGAATTAAATAATTCAAAAAGTAATTCATAGATACCGATGTAGGCTTGAACACGATTTTATTTATTTTGATGAGACCTTATACCGCAATTATGTAAATAGCTTTCCTATAAATGCTTCATGAATGCTAATTTTTTTAAGTACTAAAATAGTCATAGTGTGCCATCGCGGATTTTTCTGTAGACCTATATAAAATACATATGTAATTCCACTATACGTTGTTTTGTTATATCTCAAAAGGTTAAAAGCTGACAGACGGCTCATTTAACCGAGGAATACTGTATATTTGATTTTAAAAATTTGCTACTTTGTAACCCAAGGTGTTAAATTGAAAATCTCTTCATACAGGCGACGCAAAGACTGATGACAATACAATAAAATAATGTTCTACCGGTTTGTTGGTCCTAATAAGACCTAGAAAAGTATCCCAAGGGCATATATCTATATATTAGGTATAGTTAAGACACAAGATCGTTATTCAGGGGCCATCTGAAAATCAGTGCTGTGCATTAGACATGGACACGTTTGCTACAAATTTATTTATTTTTTTCTTCTGTATAACTACATATAATATATGTAATGTATGTGTGTAGCAAAAAATAAAAATAGTCGTAATATTAATCCTTATCCAAATGAAGCATTATGTTGTCAAAGACAATTATGTAGAGGTAAAAAACTTTTTATTTCACCCCAATCACACATTACATTTAAAACTTATCAAGATATTATAAATGGGAAAGTAACTCCGTCTGTCTGTTACGTTTTCAACCAATAAATTTTAGTATAGAAATTCATTTAACCGTGGAGAAGGACATAGAGTTCCTTTTATCCTGATGCCCAATCCCAATCCCTATCCCCATCCCAACTACGATCCCAAAACTACACGAGTGGAACCATGAAGTGTAGTTTGGGTTCACTGGCCGTAGTAACAGAGAACAGTTTTGAATTAAATATTTACTGCCAAAAGTACAAGAATTACAATAAAAAAAAGTGTTTGTAGTGTATGAAACACTTTAACGCAAACGACACGGCGCGGTGGGTTCGTTTATGGATCAAGTTCGATATCGCTTACCATTCCTCGCTGTCACAGTTAAAGTAACAAAGTGTTTAAAGTAACTAAACGGATATACTGCTATATGTTTGTATAAAGAGAACGTTATGTTTTTGTTTGTGAATTTCTCCTTAATTTTGTTTGTAAATTTTTTAACATATTTATTTATTCATCAAAATTAAACAATACTATGTATAAATAGCGAGTACGGTGAATGTCATATTCATATTGAACAGTTCAAAAGTGTGGCTGCAGGGACATAGGTATAAGAAGGAAATGAAACTTTTGTAAGTAAATTGTTACTCATGGATTTTATTTACTTTATTAAGGAACACAAACGCCACCAAATAAACTAGAATTTGATGTATGTAAAAAATAAAAACAAAAGTGTACCTATACATGAAAACTAACAAAAATATGTACATATATGACTCCGATCCACTTAGCAGGACAATACCTAGAAATGTACTTCCGATATTAAATATGTAAATATAAAGAAAAAACAATGCAAATGACTTATTAATTTTAGGTGCATCATATTAATATACTTAAAAATAAAATGTACAAGTGGCTTTTGGGATATTGGCACAACTACTCTAGGACTCCATCGGACAGACGTTCTTCAAAGAACAAGTTTCTTTAGATGGCAAAAATGCGAATTTGAAATGTTGAAATTCTGGATTCCTCATTTTGACTGGGACGACCTTAATCATAGACGAAGACTGTGTGTCGTAGCGGGCATTTCAATAGGTAACGTTTATACATTTATATATTAAATCCTGTACCATTTTGAACTTTCATAAAAACATTGATATGATTTCCAGACTTCCTACCTCTGTCTACTGCAACAATTTTGAATCGTCGGATGCTATTGACTGCAGCAAACTACATAGATCCTTGGATGACAAGACAACATGATTTGAGGATATGGTGTTTAGGAAGAGCTGGTCAATTTAACACTCCTTACAGGTACCGCGTGTTTAGAGTATGGAGAATACGTCCTCGAAGCGCCAACCCTGAACATCAGCATGGAATCCGTGGAGAACATTCTCCCAGACACGACGTTGCTCTTATTATAAGTTGGGATCAAATGTACATATACTACAGATTCCCTCACAGGTTCATGTACGCTTACAGAAGTACATTGACTGGACCTCGTGATCGACTGTCTCAACATATGTATTTCGCGGGTTCAGGTTATGAATACTTGCAACATATTTATGAAAACTATAAAATTTTCTATGGAAAAGTGAAAAGAAAAGATGTGGTCGACTGCTCGATATACCTTCCTAAGTGGTGGGGCAAATTCATTTGTATAAAGAATTTAAGGGCTCTTCCTGGGTTACAAAACGGTGGCGGATTATTCTCAAACAACAAGCTCGTTGCGGTTGGATGCTTCGAAATACGTTACAACGAAGATAGACTATTTGTGTTCACTGACTTGCGTTACTACGTCCGCTGGATATACAAGTACGCCAATATCCGGCCTGGTCAATACTACGAATACGCATATGCTCAATGGAGTATTGCTCTTGGAGTTTTTTACGACGGCAATGGTAACTACCCCTATATTCCTGCTTGGCAAATTAGGGGCGATTTGTTCCCTTTGGGATGATGTCATGTAATGTTTTAATGCTCATGCAAGATTTACTTCTAGTGTCCAGTATTCTTAAGGTTTCCAAGCGATTTAAAACTTAAAAGATTTAATATTTCACCCTTGATCTTGTAAAAGCTGGGTAGCTTTACCTACGAGAGTGTCCCCTTAATGGGATATGTGAATCATTCTATTAAGCGTACATGATGTTGCTGCAAGAACAATTAATCCATTTTTTGATACATTGTGTGTTATTATAAAGTATAATACGTGTTTCTTATATATTTCATGTGAACGTCTTGTTGTGTGGTAATGACGTGTTTGACAATACGTACATAATACAGTAACCTTATAAAAATGTTGTGGAATGCTTTTTAATAGTCTCGAAGCAAAAAAGACCATTTTCATAAAAGTCCAGTTTTGTGAATCACAAACAACATATGTGTATAGGTATGTTAGCTATTTTGTATGCCAACTTAAAATAGCACTAATCATATTACATACATTAAACGTGTCTACATTTCAAAATACTTTCTGACTATAAAAAAAATGAAATCGTTAGTTCCATTCCAAAACGCGAACTTAATAGTCATTTTATATTATAGATTTCTTTTTCATTTTCCTTTATAGTCTGATAAAATACTATGCTCATACATATTATTAACACGTGAACCTTATCCTTCGGAACTACAACACCGGCATTAAACTGTGATAATGATGCCAGAAAACAAACCTACAACAACTATAAGGATTATTATAAACGCGATGCACTTTCCTTCCATTTTAGAGAAGACTCAGAAAGCTATTATTCTGTTTCTTCTTAATGGAACAGGATCTCCTGTTATCTCTTACAAATCTCGGTACGTGATCATCATTACTTGTTGTTGTTGAAGGCGAGATGGCGACCGAGCCGGTTCTCGACTGAATATAGAATTCATTGAAACGAGAGACAGGCCGGTCGTAGACCACCGACGAGATGTTTGTTCATTCATACAAAAAACATATTTCCGAAAACAATCACAACAGTAAAATAATCACAAGAGAAAGATAAAAATATAAAATTTAAAATACATTTTCTCGTATATGAATTGTTTGTATTGATGAAACAACTGTTTAACATGAGTCTGATAAAACAACTTCATTAGAATAATATTGTGACTCATGTTCAATCAATTACACAGACATACATACAAATATTAACATAGTATAAGAAAAACTAAAGAACGTTCTCATAGAACTTAGATGATATGCTCGTTAGTTTGTGTAACTTCATTTAATACGTATATGGAAATATATAGGTACTGTACTTATATATATTTTCAAAACGAAACTTTTTAAACATAGTCCATGATAATAAGTAATGAAATTACCTTCATGAGAAACTATACCCTTTTTTAAAAGAACGAAGTCACATTAATATCAAAAGAAGTGCGCCTTTTCAAGTAATTATTGATGGCGTATCGAGTCCTGTATTAACTAGACGCCTGAGTTGTAGACGACGCGACGTAACGATTACACAGTATTGGATAAGTTTAAATAACTTTTTGTTTGTTTGTTTGTTTATAAATCGAGCCGATATTATGTAGGTAGTTGAACCAGAGCACTCGAGAGAGTTCTAGTTTGTTATAATTGTGTTAGTTCACAACTCCGCTGTCACCACAAACTTTCAATGGAAATTTAAATGTTCTATATCGGAATATGACAATCAAAACATTAGTGACACTGAACCGAGCTGCAGCAGATGGTGACGTGACGAGTACGACACGACTAAATATACGTTACCAGAACTAATCCAAACATTCAAGAAGAGAAGAATTCAGTGGGAGGCATAATATCGTGGGCGTAATTCGTCAGCGTTCAGTACATTATTTCGTATAAGCACATGAGTGTGACCAATGGTCTTGATATTGAATCCAAATACATTTCTCCAAGATACGATTCCCAATGTTTCAGTGAGGCTGCTGATGTAGCCTATTTCTAGTACCCTTCAGCACTGCTGGCTTTTTAAGAAGACTGGCTCAAGCTGCAGTTAGAACTATTTGTGTTTTAACAAGTTTACCACGCTGAAAGATAAACATGGATTTAGGTTTGTTGATAAATATCTCCCAAATGGTAAAGAAAGTTACAACAGTGCCAGATTTCTAAAGTCATACACCTACTTCTATGAACCCTCTGCTGACAACAGCTCCAGCCAGTGACACCTTGGCGCCTTTATTAAGTTTGTATTTAAAAAAGGAAATTACTCGGAATAATAATTTCAGTAGATCATTTTCAAATATAGGGTGAGTGTCACTTCCAGCCAGAGGTTTGAGGAAAACTACGAAACTTTCTTAAAATCACGTAGTCACCTCAGATTACATGATTATCTCCATGTTCGGAAAACAGTTACATAAGTAGTTGTGAAGAAATATTATTGTATGATTGTTACTTGTTTAATATCGAGGCTGGTGTGTCACCTTTCATGGCTTTTTATAGTAGATATTGTCGTGATTTTTAATACTAATAATTTGATTTCTGAATATAACAAAGTTTTCAATTTCTGCTCAAAGATTTAACTTAATATTGAAACTTGTAAACCAAGAAAATGTCACGGCAAATTTTTTTTTCAACTGTCGTCGTGAAATTCGTCTTTATTTAAATCGATTTACAAAAATCTATCTTTTAACTCTGTTAACTGATATTATATTGCAGGAATTCAAATAATAATGGAGAAAGTATATAGAATAATTATTTTCCTTCTAATGCCATTTGATAAAACAAGACCCCGAATACTATAGACAATTATAATACATCTATTTATCATTGTTAAAAACGAACCCTGTCCCAACCGAAACCCTTCAGTTAATCGACTGTTTACCATCATACATATATATATATATATAACTGATATAGACAACTTGTCTTACCTACTATATAATCGTCTCGTCTTCAATCTATCGACAACGTTCTTAATATTCCTGCATACATCACCATTCTAAATTTTACCTCTAACCCGCTCTCTCCTCTCGCCTGAAATGGGATATATTATTAATTGGAAATCAATCTTTTATCATCGCCTCTTACAGACGTCATCAAAAATTGAAACGAAGACGTTTAACAAAAACAAAATATGATCATGTCAGGTACTCTTTGAATTCTACTACAATTAGGATTCCTTTTAAAATATATTTTAAGCATACAAATAATACATAAAGATTAGAGGTCTAAATAAATGTTCGTATTCAATCTTAATTTCCTACATCATCTAAAGGTCAATTAAAAACAGAGCGTACCCTAAATGAATTCGTAATGAGTTCGATCCTTTGTGAAGCTGTCTTTGTGGTCGCTGTGGTGAGGCGTCTATTAATTGTGGTCTATTGATGTGATGTCCATGTTCCACACATTATAATTGTAGTAAATTCGTTAATTAGGTTACTTATTATAAAAACTAAAAGAGGAAGAGAATATTATATTAAGATTATTCATTCAAAAAGTAAGGGATAATATAACAGTTACAGTATTTATTAAAACACAAGATTGAGAGCACGCTACTGGTCGTTAAATGTATTGTTGTTATCAGCGAGGAGGATCAGCTGCTCCGTGAACGGCTTAAGATAGTTGGATGAACCTCTCGTCACCCTCGTCTACAGCAACCAACAGCCACCAGTCACTACTGGCCAATTATCAAGAAAACGAACATTTAGGTGCCAGATAAAATAATTTTTAAAGGTTTTATGTTGACTGAGTACTATTGTACCCCTTATTCTTAATGTCGTAAGCAGAAATAAACTATTTAAATAAAGATGATAAGAAAATAATAGAAGATTAAATTTATAAAAAATAAATACTGATATATTTAAAGTTTTGAAAGTTTAATGGAAGGCTTAAATCTTCTTCTACATGGCAATTTTCCAGCCTTAGCCAGGGTCTGTCTTACATGTTGTGAATAGTTTTGGCTAATTGTTTTTACGACCGGCCACCTGCCTGACATCAACCCTCTTTTTGGGAATGCATTACTCAGTGATGTCTAAATAATCTTAGAAAATACATATGACTCGGAAGAATCACATTGGTACTTGCCCTGGCCAGGATCGAACCCGCGCCCTCATGCATGAGAGGCGGACCTTTTAACCAGTAGGCCACCACTGACTTAATGGAAGGCTTAAATATACATTCAAAAGTTAAATGTAAACATAAAATGCATTCCAGGTAACTATGAGGGTTTTTATTTCATTTTTAAATATCATTTTAAATGTGCATACAAGCATATCTTAGAAATGATTTTAGTAAAAATTGTAAATGAAATGCAATAAACTGAATAAGACAAGTTCGAGTTCCCTCGTCTTACTATTCGTGTGATCGTCACAGTAGGTCTAGTGTTACCTTCGTAGTTCATTTTCCATTTATCATTCCTCTTTATCACCATTTATTTATCTGAACATCACCTTGTAACAACTGCCATATGATTTTTTTATATTCGATTATTTTTTTTGGATTTTCTATAAAAATCACAAACCATGTTGATATTTAATTAATCAAAAGGAATCAATTTGTTTTGTTCGATGAAAGAATGAAAGGATCAAGACCCGATTTTTTGTTTTTTAATGGAAAAAGAAACGAGGTAAAAGTCAATAAACGGTACCATTTAATACGATATTACCCATTTAAATGTTGAGCTATATTTCTTTTACTACTCAATTAATTCACATAATCATTTCCACATTTTATTATTAATATAATAATAATACAAAACATGGAATTGTAATGGAAACCTTTACATTTTAAACCCTGATCATACTACTACAATGCTTTTATACATGGATATTTTGACGGATTGTGCAAGAAGAAATGAAAGCATTTTGTTGTGGCGGCCGTAATCTTCTATCTATATATATAAAAATGGATTGCTGTTCCTTAGTCTCGCTAAAACTCGAGAACGGCTGAACGGATTTGGCTAATTTTAGTCTTGAAATACTTCTGGAAGTTCAGGGAAGGTTTAAAAGGTGAGAAAAATTGGAATAATAGCCGGGAAACCCCTAAAAAAGCCCTTTCTATTTCCCATACAAACGTTTTTTTGACATTAGTTTTGACAACTAACTAATATGTCAATCATTCTGTTTGATTGAAACAGGAAAAACCTGATTATTTGTGGCCTCTAAAACGGAATAAAGTTCGCCTGGTCGGCTATACCTACATATATTACTCTTGACCAAACTAACGCGGACGAAGTCGCGTGCAAAAACTAGTCTGATGATAAAACTGATAACGTAGTACTCTCTTAATTAAGATCATAATTTAAGATAAGATCAAACTGACAAATGTAGTAACTAAATGTAACCCACAGATAACAACCAGCTTAATAAGACCGTTGAGATATGTGGAGGTTAGTTTGTTGTTCACACTAAACTATAGAACTTCAAACGTTGTACATATTATAAGTTCAAATTATGTTGTCGTCCCTCCTATTTTTAATCATTAATTTTTTAAATATTTAATTTGTATAAATATTTTAAATACTTCACATAAATTTGAAAGAAATCCTTAATGGATAAGGACGACAGCCGTGTAACGGGTCCGTGAATTATTTTCAATCTACTAACCCGTTAAATCAAGTCTGCAAAGATCTCGGAACTTAGGATTGACGTTTCATCAAGCTCTTTTGAGTCGGTAGTTCCCGAAATGGATCAACAGAAGCCTGACATTACACTGTCCACGAAGGTCCGTCTTCAGTTCATCATCATCATCATCATCATCATCATGACCCCCACTACTGAGCAAAAGGCGTCTTTTCCCATAGAGAAGGTTTGAAGATTACTCACCACGCTTGCTCCAGAAGGGTTCGTGATTTCAAACTTATAAATTAATGTTATAAATCCCGGTTCCTCGCGATGTTTTCCTTTCACAGTCCGTCAGTGGTGTCTAAATACTCTTACAAAGTACATATGACTCGGAAAAATCACAGCAATACTTGCCAGGTTTCGAACCCGCACCCTCATGCATTAGAGGAGGACTTTTAACCTCTAGGCCACCACGACGACCACCCTCAGATGAATATGGATAGTTTGATGTTGACTTTAAACAGATCATCATTCACAGTGTTAATAAGTCGACCAATTATTAGAAGATTTGTAAATGGAAAAATAGAAATATTCCATGTATAGTTTGTCAATTCGCACTTATATTAAGAGTATGGAACATGCACAATGCACATACATTACTCAGAGCTAAGAGCCGCTCGCCACGACGCTCGCTGGGAACGCTCTTATATGGATCGTACGTTTGACCATCCACAGGGGATACCCCATAAAACTATTTTATTAAAACGAAAAATTTTAAAATCTCCACTTATGACATCTTTATATAAACCATTTTAAAATTTATGTTCTTAATCATATAATAATCCCTATTTACCTATATAATATTGTTTTAATAATGTAGTTTAGTAGAAGTCCAGTAATTAAGTATTTCTTCGTAAACTTTTAATCTTTATTCAAGATATTTAAGATTAATAATCTTCCGAGAATAGAAGCGAACTTTAAATCGAGTTTTCTGTGAAAGTCCCCTTCCCAAAACACAAAGGCTACGACTTTACTTATAATTGTAAGGATTTCAATTATCATTTCGTTTATTCGAGTCTTTTTAGTTTCCTATTTTATAACATCTCTATCTCGGCTTAGATCTCAATTAAAACTAAATATTTAATTTTAAATAAATTGAAACATTTATAAAGGGATAACTTTGTTTGCAAAGGACTCCTTGTTGTAGAGTAAGTATATACAAGATATATATGTACTCGTATACTGCAAATTAATACCGCTCCTCGTGTATAGGATAATTCTATTTTATTTATTTTGCTTAATATAGAATATAATTAAGTAAAAAAAGGTATTTTCCTTTGGCTTTCAAATTTTTCAATGAATTTCCTGATTGCTTCGTCTTATCAGGAACAGGATTTGTTGAATTTTTTTTATACGTCGGACCTATCAAATTCATTTAAAAAATTTATAAAATGCATGATTTTTGACATTAATAACTTTTAAATGACATTTTAATATTAACTACAGTAAAAATATATTTTACTAGCTTTCCGCCCGCAGCTTCGCCCGCGTGGAGTTCGGTTATATCGCGTTTCCAAGAGAACGTTTCAAAAGTCTGGGATAAAAACTATCCTATGTTCTTTCTCAAGGTCAACTCTATCTCAGTACCAAATTTCATTAAAATCAGTTCAGTGGTTTAGGCGTGAAAGAGTAACAGACAGACAGACAGACAGACAGACAGACAGACAGACAGAGTTACTTTCGCATTTATAATATTAGTAGGGATTTTACCGCAGTCGTCAGATGTACTTATTATAAGATAGCTTTGTTGTGATTTATTGTTCATACTTAACTACTTCGAGTTACTACGTCAGATCCTGGAAATTGTCTTATATTTCATAATATTTTTTGTGACAATCGAGGGAGGAAAATAAAACGGAAGATTTGTAATCTTGCAAAAATAATAAGGAAAAAAGTAACAAGCAATAAAACTAATTTATCATGAGGCCGCTTGTCCAGTACTAGCATGTCTCTGAATATAACGACGGGTCCTCGGTAACGAACTAGACCTCCCCGGTCCGCTCCTAACAATCAATAAAATATATCAAATTACTCTAGTGCGAAGCTGATTTTCTTCTCGGTTCGAAGGTCCTTACTTCAAAAGAATACTCGAATTTCAACTCTCACATTAGAAACATGAAATTTTATATCTGTAGAGACAGTTAACACGGTCTATCACCAAATAATTACTAATAAAGTTAACGTTTTACATTTGAAATAAAATCCATGTATAAAGTCAGAAGTGTTTACTTCACATCTATCGCACAATCATAAGATAAAAAGTGAGCGCCACGAAGCGGGAATACGGAGCGGACGCTCCTCCTATGATACGCATGCGGAGGGTGGCTTCCGTGTCGAAGATAGTGGCGTTGATGGTGTCCGTGTACGGGTGTAGAGACGTGAACACACTGGTGGCTCCTGGCGGCGGACCCTCCCCGCCTTGAGTACACTCCACTGGACCCATCGATGTGACTCCGACCTGAAGTTGTTTATTTATCATGTACAACATCCAAGAATTCTTTAGAACTACTTTATATTTACAGCCCGTTATATCACTAAAATCTACCGAATTACTTGCACGAATGCTCCATAGACTATTTAACACGAACACGATAGACACAGTTCATACCGGTACTCCATTATACAGGACCGGTCCGCCCGAGTCTCCTGAACATACGCCCTGAGGTTTACTTCGACTGGCGACGCCACAAACACAGTAGATCCAATCACTACGCTCGCAGCCGTTCAACCTCAACTGCACCGAAAAGAGTTCTTCTCCTAGAACCGAGCGTTCTGTGCGGCCGAACCCAAACACCTGCAAATTAATTGAAATTAATCTCAATTCAAATAATGTTGTAGATTTGAACCACTATCAATGGTTAGATCTCCATCATCACTAGGGACCAGAGAAAACATGACACAATTGTACCTTCACATCCTGAGAGAAGAGATCGAGAGGGTTGTTTTTTCTTATGGCGGACAGTCTGAAACTGGATGGGGTAGCAAGTCTGATCTGGTCACGTGTTCGGACCAATCCTACATCGTGATGCAAACCGACGACGTCAATGCCTCGACCTTCGTCCTTCTGCAACACCTTGTACCTGGAATATTACATGACATACAAGTACGTGGTAGAGCCTAGCTGTGGTCAAATTACTGAAGCTCGAACGTGGGCTGGCTCGACCGGGAAAGTACCAACCTCTCATGGAAGATCGGCGTAAAGTAGTCTAATGTGACTACGTTTCCTCCGATGAGCAATAGAACCGTTTGCCCTTTCCCTAAACTTTCCTCTACCTCTTCCCCAATGAAAAGTGGCAATGCATCCGCAAAAATATTTTGCGGATGTCCAAAGGTGACGGTACTACCTCCATCAGGTAGGCCGTCTGCTCGTTTGGCCCCCTTGTCATAAAAAAAGTAATTTTTCGTCATAAAAAAGCAAGGATTGAAACGTGCCTAGAAATACCTACTTGGGATGCTGATACAAGTAGTGAATGGCCGTGACGTTTCCTTCGCCGGAGGCTGGTCTGCGAGTGTTGTATTTGACGTAAGCCAGGCGAGGCGTGACGCAGTGTGCGGCGGTGAGGACCCAGTGTGTGGAGATCACGGTGGCCGTACACCGCACGCTGAAGTACCGGTCCAGTAGAGCGCACACCGCGGGGAAGTCCTTCAACTCAGCAGCCGAGCCTCCGAACACGCGCCGAGCCGGGGTTCCCTTCAAACTCTTCCCTCTGTCCATGAAGCGGAAGAACGCGTGCCTTGTGTTGTTGTTCACCGGCACTTCTTCCTTAACGTCTGCTTTTCCATCGGATACGACGACGGGACTCGCATCGATTTTATTTTCGAGTACAATATTTCCAAAGATTATTGGTATTATTATAAAAAATATGATAATACATAAACTATTCATTGTATATTAAAAGTCACTCGATCATTTAGTATTCGTCTTTTTAATAAATAGATTACCAAAATTTTGTAAAATTCTGAAATAACTGTAGCAGAATTAAATAAGAAGTATTGTTTTGACGTTAGATAGTCATAGATTATATTATATTTTATATGAATAAGAAGTTGCCTAATAATGCCAAAAAATATTTATTATAAATAAATAATATTCGCCTTATCATCACCTATTCAGAATATTAAACATTATTTTTTATTTATTTGAGAAAGCATTATTATTAGTTCATCTAGAATTCTTAAGTACCTACTACCCGTAGTCGGACGTCTTGTGTCAATGTTGGTAATCATCTCAACTGTTTTCTCTCAGGAGCGGCGATGGTTGTTCATCTGTTGATGGAAGCTGATTTGTTTTTGTTATTGTTACTTCATTATCACTTTATGATCATATCCAGCGGCGCTATTAAATACAGAGATTGAATGATTTCACTTTGGATACATCAATTTAACATTCAAATATAACAAATTTAACATTCAATAAATTTTTAATATTGTAGGGTCGAGTAATGTCCATCAGTGATGAGTGAGAGTCCAAGAATTAAAGGCGTCGGTAACTTTAACTATTACTTTATTATTGAAAGCACACATACAAACACATGAAGAAAACAAACTGTTTTTCAGCAGGAGTACGTGCCTATGGACAGGACATATAACTATTAACTTGTCACTGTCGTTAAATTTAATATACATATAATTAATTCTGTAACTGAAGACATTTCGCTTTCTTATCAAATAATATAACAACAAACAAGGCTATTAGTAGTAGTACGTTCATTTAAAATTGATATTAATATTTTATGTTTCTCTAAGTCATTTGTACCGTATATTTTTTTTAAATTTCCAAACCATAAGAAACAACATGACATGTTTCTATAAAAATTTTATCATGCCCTCGTTTTTAAACCTCATTCGTAACAAATATTCAAATTGTCATTATAGGTATTTTCCACTTACTTTCATCAAATTAAGAAAATAAAAATGATGTTACAAAGGGTTTCCAATCAAGGAGCGAAGGGGTCTCTGCGTCACATTATCTCATACCCATAATGAACAGTAATCTTTGATCCCTTATTACACGCCCCTTGACCCTCGATTATCTGCTGGCTGGACTTAGTTCTAACGACACGTGATGCTCTCCATCAACTGTAATTAACGATATCCTTTATCTGAGCGCCGGTCCACGCATTATACATAACCTTTTATAAATTATATTCAGTAGCTATCTCAAAATAATTCACTATGAAGCTTTATTTATTTTCCTTATGTACTCTTTAAATAAAATTAAATGTAAATCTTTCAGTAGCAGTAAATATTACAATTGTGGTTCGGTTTCTTTATTTCTAATCATGAACATACAAGTATGTACTTATGTATATCCCCAACCACGCTCACTCCTCTTGTCAATGAAGGATTTTTTTAATAAAATAAGCAACTTGCTAAAATCTTTTCTTCAACTGGTTCACCGTAAAACGAGGAAGTCAAGTTCTATAAATAAAATTCGTTAAATATTCACAAATTAAAACCGCTGGTGAAAAATTTCAACTCACGAAATTTTGTACAAGGAAATAATTCATTAATTTTATTTAAGAACAGCTCTTGAAGAATACTTTTCCATTTTTATTAATTTTCTTCATTTAGAGTTTGGCAACGAAAAATTTTTAAATGTGAAAACCTCGAGGCCTTTACAGTAATAATGACAGTAATAATGAGACTCTCCTTATATAATGGAGATTAATAATTAACCATTTAAGATTAAAGATTAACAGTTTAATAAGTAAAAAAAACGAAGCCAAAAACGCTTTGATGTCTGTTGAAGAAAAAACATGAACAAGCTTCCGTTTAACTAGTTCATTTGTACATATAATGTTATAAATAATGACACACCTCCAGGAACCCTAAAAGAAAAGAATATTTAAAATAAAAACTATATCGCGGCATTCATTAAAGAAAACTCATTAAGCGTCCCCAGGGCTCAAACTCACCAACGCTTAGATTTAGATCGTGTTATTGTACTACGGAAATTTTGACTCGCCTTCACCAGAATGATAAAAAATATATGCAGAATATTTAAATAACATATACGAGTTTTATTTTGTTAAAAAAAATAACTTAACGAAATTAGTAACAAGTCCCTTTTAAAATATAAAAGACAATTTACAAAAAAACCGACACCATAAAATGCTTTTTCATTTTCCGTAGAATTCCAGTGAACGAATTACCTGTAATGGTCCCATTACCTTATTATGTAGAGTGACGCAATTAAATTCACCGTCTAAAAAATGTTAAATAAAATGCCACTTAACGAAGTGTCTCCCTTGGTAGGTATATCTGTTGAAGCATTACAGTAACTTGAAACCATTACAGGCTGTACACTGTACGGTGTACACACGCACACACACACACAAACACACGAGAGGATGGGGTGTGAATGGATTAAATAATAAAACGAAAGATATAGAACAGGGAAGTACACATAACACATTTAAATACCTTTTCATTACTCTCCATAACAAGTATATAATCTGTTAAAAACGTATTTCCAAATAGAATACGATTAAGGAAGAATTCCAGAATTCAGTAGCAATTCATTCGATTAATTAAATTTCCATCTGTTTGGCGAGGGTACATCTTTAAACGTCTTCGGTACCCGTCGAACCAAACCAATTAATTTCTCATTACTTCAACAGGAAAAGGATTATGTCAATTGAATATCTCGCACCTGTGGAAATAACGTGAAACGGAGAATCTGCTTCCTTGATAGTACGAGACTACTTTAAAACAATTTTGTAATATAACAGATGTGCCTTGTCCATTAATACTAGCTTAGTGTTTAAACAATTCAATAGCTATTAGAAAACACTAGGCGTCTCACAGATTGACACAATGTTTTAAAAAAAGCTGTACTTTTTTTAAAACACCAACGGAACTAGAATACTATTTGAAAATGAAATCTTAATCTATTTACATATATTTAAGTCTAAACTGATAGACTTTAACAAACTGAAAACGTACAAATCGAACTCTATTTTGTTTTGGCGGAAAAGCAATTTATATAAATACATCTTTGAAATATAATTGACTATTATTTGTAATGATACGCAACTGAAGCTAACAAATAAAAAAAATAACAAGGTTGAGCGAATAATTGAATATCGCTCGAGGCTAAATTGATAGATACAATAATGACAATAACAGAAGGAAACAGCAACAGGGAAATTATAATTTACAAGGCCTTCAATGAAAAAAAGTATTAAAAAGTTAAAAGTAAGTGTTTTTATAGATTAACATGTTTGTATTATTATTTATAATACAAAAATAAATATAATGAATTCTTATTAAAGGAAATAATAATAATAATAATAATAATAATCATTTATTTCAGACCATATTACATAGATCTATATAGTGTTAGTACGTTACAAATTAAAATTAATAAATGAATTGGTTAGTAAATTTATAAAAGCACAGCAAAAAAAAATTTGTCATGGTACTTTTTTTAACTAATTTAATATGAAGTAACACATTTCCATAATAGACGTCAGTGTATATTTACTATTTCGTGTTGACTCTCATATATTTTTAAACGGTTTTATTCAGCTGACCCCGTTTGTTTTTTTTTTTATTATTTATTCTTTCTTGGGTCAAATTTAGTAATTCAAATTTCACCCAACTTTTTAAGGTGGTAGTGCCTAGCTGTGGTCAGTTACTACAGCTCGAACATGGGCTGGCTCGACCGGGGAAGTACCACCCTTTCGCAGAAAATCAGCGTAAAGTAGTCTTTACAAGACTGCGTTTCCTCCGGTGAGTGAGAGAGCCGATTGCCCTTTCCCTTTTCCCACCCTTTCCTTTTCCTCCCTTTCCCACCTTTTCCTCCCCCTTTTCCCCAATGAAGAGCGGCAACACATCCGTAAATCTAAGTTGCGGATGTCTATGCATGCCCAAAAAAAAAAGGGGTTGATGTCAGGCGGCCGGTCGTAAAAACTATTCACAACGTGTTAAGGCAGACCCTGGCTATAGCCGGGAAATTGCCAAGTAGAAGAAGAAGATGGGTATCAAATGAAACGGCTCAACAAGCAAAATACAATATACTATAAAAAATTGAAATCCAAGATGGCGGCCGCTAGAAAATGGCGGATAACGTAGGTTTTATCAATCCCATCAATATGGGTATCAAATGAAAGTGCTCAACCAGTAGAATACAATGTACTATATAAAATTGAAAAACAAGATGGCGGCATCTAGAAATTGGCAGATAACTTAGGTTTTATACTTAGGTAAAACCGTTTAACTTAAAAAGTTTTTTTACCTATTTTTTTTTTAAATATTTATAATAACTCAATCTTTAGTCATGATCAAGTTTGATAATAATTAATCAGTAATCTATAAAGTAAGTAAAGAAGAAGTAAAGTTTGTTCATGTTACACAAAGAATTTACTTAAGTATAGACAGTTTAATATAAACTATTTTATTTATACTAAAATTATAACTATTTAAATAATTGATTTCAATAAAACAGAATTTTATTCAATTCAGTATGTACTTACCAAAAAAATAATACTCATAAAGATCCCAATATAAGCTTCTTCTTAATAAAGGATCAGGAATATTAAAGAGTGAAAAAAATTCTTACAAATGAAAGAAGTCATAAATATATTTATATAATATAATTTTATTCTACAACTACCAATACTTGTAATATTACGTACCGTTAATATAAATATACTACGATAAAATTGTGTAGTTTTAATTATAACTCCACAAACTTAAAACAATGAAATTACAGAATACAGTGAAAATATTTTTTATGAAATTAAAGTAAAACAGCAAGATCTCCATTGGATTCTAAATTGTCTATGCCCCGTTAAGTTGTCGTTTCATTTGTCAAGTGTAACGTCGAAGTGACATTACAAAGTTGGCACTTCACAGATAACATAGACAGAGAACATAAATAACATAATCATAATTAGTGTCATTTTATATATTTGAAATGGTGGTCGTGTGTCGTGTATTTTTCAACAGTGATTTAATTTGAACTGTCTTCGTTTTTAAATAATCTTGCAATGTTTTCTATAATCACAAAGTAGGCTCGGATCTGACGCGTACATATATAACATTGCGTTCTTTTGTTGTATACGAAGACCGAATCAATGCGTGTGATCGACCGTCCGTTGTAGGAAATCGGAACCCATCCAACCCCTAGTTTTCTGAAAAACAGTGCGCTTTTTGTGTGAAGTTCTATCGTGTCAGTGTATGCGAACGGCGCCCGTTGATTCTACGCTTGATATGGATTTGTAAGCGGCGCTGGGAGGAAACTATTTCGTCGTTAAAACACCGATGGATTTTTGATAGGTAAGCAAGTTATGCGGAGCATGGCGGAATGGAATGCACCGGCTTACGATGGCCGCTGACGGTGCAGAGGTCGATGTATGCTATTTGTTTGTTTGTTTGCGTTCCACATCAGACCGACAAGATCGAATCGCGGTCTCGAAGTACATGTTAAATATTTAAATTTGAAACAAATATTTTGATTATCCTTTTTGCTGACAACCGCTTATTGTACTAGATACTATTATATACGACTTTAAATATTTGAATAATCGCCCTGCTTTCTTTATATAGTATTTTAAAGCATTACTATTATTTGCTTATTATTTATGCTCCCCTTTGTAATATTTTAGATGAGGTGTCACCAAATGCCTCTTATATGAATGTTCAAATAAACTTCACACATGTTTTCAAAGAACCCGTGTTATCCAGTAGCACCAGTGATATCATTCAGTCCTTGTAAACAGGATGTGTGTGTTATTTGCTTATTATTTTTGTTGTGTGTTTGCGATGCTTAAATGTTTTGTTTGCGTCCACACCAGCTTGTCTCAGGCCGCTCCAGGATGATGGTGGAGACCATCCTCGAGTCCTCACAGGACTTTGGTGAGTTTTTTTGCTTCAGCTTATATATTATAGTATATGAAAGACCTTACTTTAATTAAACATCTTCTATATCTATAAAGATTGTTTATAAATAACTAGCTTTCCGCCCGCAGCTTCGCCGCGTGGAGTTCGGTTATATCGCGTTTCCAAGAGAACCTTTCAAAAGTCTGGGATAAAAACTATCCTATGTTCTTTCTCAAGGTCAACTCTATCTCTGTACCGAATTTCATTAAAATCAGTTCAGTGGTTTAGGCGTGAAAGCGTAGCAGACAGACAGACAGACAGAGTTACTTTCGCATTTATAATATTAGTAGGGATTTTGCTTATTCCAAAAGTATATACATAATTTAAATTTGCATGTGTTTTGTTACACTATAAAATAAATTAAAAGCTATTTTTAATATGTAACATACTTGACATTTTTCTGAGTGTCAGAATATTAACTAGCTCCATAATAAATATATTTGTATAACATGTTGAGTGTGCGACTTGGACATGAGGTGTCAAATATAACATTGAGATGTTGGGAGAGGTGAGAAGAAACTCACTCCTCTTGGAATATATATAAGTGTATAGAGTAAATATAAAGGGAAAACTGTTATATATGTATTGTGTTTATAAATGGCACTGTGTGATAGTAATAATAAATTATTAATTGACAATATATAATATATATGAGAGGCTGGTCTCCCTTGAAGCGTGTTATCATTGTTATGACAACTCATTACTGTAACAACATGTAATTAATAGTCATTTACAAAACAATTAACATCCATTAGTTATATTAATATACAACAATATAACATACATATAATATATTTTATGATTTTTTTTTCAAATTTTACTTTTCACAATTGTCACACAGTGTATGGCACAAAAAATTATAACATATCATGCCCATGCCAGCTGGTAGTTGTAAAGGAAGAGAGAATTTTAAACAGAACAAACAAACTGTATGATGTTTTGGAAAGTGGAATAATATTAACTTCATTACTATCAACAATGTGCAGTGGATGATGGACACATATAGAACTCCTGTCCATTATATGTATAAAGTATCAGCTGTGAGGCCGACCAACACATAACAGGGAGCTTGACACAATGATTATTATTGATGTAGGCATGTCCAACGGCACTCTACCACAATGGAAGCGCGAGCTGCTGCAGCGTCGTGCGGCCCGGGCCCGGCCTCCCCTGGCGCCGGTCCCTCCCCCTCCCCCGCCGCCCGCCCCGCCCGCCGCAGACGACGACGAGGAGCTCCGCTACGGGCCCGGCATCGTGAAGCGTCTCAAGTCCAGATACCTCAGCCTCGCCCTCCGAGAGGCGCCGCGCCGACGACCCTCCGTCCTGCGCCGCGCCGCGTCCCTCGAGCACCTCCTGGACGAGCGCCCCCCGCCCGCGCCCCGCCACCACGCCCGCCCCGCGCGCCCCCTCTCTATGGCGGCACCCTCCTCCGGCCCGCACGCCGCCCCCGTCCCGCGCCGTGAGTCCGTGAAGCGCGCGCGCTCCGTGGATGCCCTGAGCCGCCTCGACTCCCGGGACGAGTCTCCTCACGTACAGCTCCAGCCGCCTCCCCGGCCGCCGCCGCCGCCCCCCTCCCCGCCGCCCCTCACGCCGCGGACCACCCGACCTCCCCGCCGCCCGACGCCCCTGCTCCGGGAGGCCGAGCGTCCCCCCGCAGACCTGGTCCGGTCGACCCTGCGAAAGTTCGAGTCCGCTCCTCCGCGCCGCACGGCCCCGGCGGCCCGGGTGTCCGCCGTGCTGCGGGGCCTCGAGTCCCTGCCGCGCAGCTCGACCCCGGAGCCCCGCGGACGGTCACCGAGCCCGGCCGCCACGGACCTGTCCGCCATAGACGAGCCGGAGACGGTGACCACGCCCGTCCCCAGCGAGAGCAAGCAGGTGTCCAAGCGGGCTCTGGAGGGCATCGCGCGGGCGGGCTCCTCCGTGCTGTACTCGTTCACGTCGGGAGGCACCGGCTCACACCTGCCGCCGCTCGCCGCCTGCAACACGGTGCTTGTGGGTCGAGCGAGGAGAGTGGGAGTCATCAGGCCCATGCCGGCTCACACCCTGGAGCAGCCGGCCGAGGACGAGACCGACGATAAGATGGAGGACGTGCGGCTCGTGACGACACCGCCGCCCGCAGAGGACGACTCACAGAACAAGGAGCGGACCACCCCCGCCCACCACGACCATCCACCGACCACACACTCTGAGGAACGTGTCCCGACGACCCCCGACCCCGCCCCGCACGACGAGAAGCCTGCCGCGGCCCCGCAGACAGAGACGCCAAAGATACCGCCGCTGAAACCGACCATGAACGGACACGCGACCTCCGCCAGGAACGATGAACCCAGAGCAGAGAGATCCTTCTCGAAGATAGGAGCGGCGGGGATAGAGCGAGCCTGGACCGGCGACCACGACCACAAACAGAAAGGAAGTGGAGACGTGAAGAGTCCGTGGGGCGCGGCGAGGACCCCGCGACCAGCCGCGCCCGCCGCCACCTCCGTGGTGTTCAACTTCTCCAACAGGAAGGAGGTCCCGGACTACGTGGAGAACGACGGCACCATCAGGAGAGTCAACAGGAGGAACATGTTCAAGGTCAGTACTTATAGTATACACTCCTACTGAGATTAGAACATTAGACGTGTCCGGGATCAGAGAAACAGGGAAATATAGACGGTGTGATGCGTGCTGTGGTCTGACGGAGTTATTTAGTGGCTAACATTAATTAATTATAATTTAATATTAATGAGTTTAGCGAAATTTTAACCGTTTACGTAACGCATCCGACGGTATCTCGCCGAAGGAATAGTTCCTCTTTGTTGTCACAATTTTTCATCAATACAGCGCTTCTATATCTTTCCACACTGAGTGATCTATCTGTTTGACATGTCGAGGAGTCAGTGATGATCGTAGGGTCGTGTGTTAACAAACGTTATTGTAACAGTCGAGCTCGTAATAGATGTGATGACCGTTCATTAGTATATAATATAAACTCTCTATCTATACCATGAATATTTACCACGGACGGTGAAAGTGTCCGACCTCTGTCCGTTGATGATGAATGCGATGCGCACGCGCACTCCTCGCCCCCAGCCCTCCCACACTAGTACGACACTCTCGATTTCAACGATCGAAATATGGTAACGAGGAAAGTTGTCGCCCGCTGAATACAAACTACCGGAAACATTGACACGAGCGGGCCCTAGGACGGGTTGATGGACACGATATACGGACGAAGAATCTGAACTACACTTATATGTATAACTACTTTGTTTGCGTCAATTTCTTTTATTATTCATCGAAATTAAGTGACGTCAAAAACAATTTTGTTCACAATTAATATTCTTAATCAACAACACATTTATTTGGATAAAGATTAATATTATTATGTCGATACAACTCTAACCCTTCATTGGTAACAATGCATTAATTTCGACAAAATTTTATTACCATAAAAACGGTTCTAGTGAGTTAATCTTAAAAGATAGATAGATAGAGGAATAATTCATTAATACATATTTTTTAGGTATCTAAAACCATTTTCGCAGCATACGCAACAGAAAACCTCAAAAATGATTATTTTATACCGTTATTTCTAAATTTTTCATTGTTTCTTAATTCCTATTAGTCGCAGCTTGTATTTACATAGTCTTAAGCCTTCCTCGATAAATGGTATATTCAACACAAAAATCATTTTTCAATTCGAACGAGTTGTTCCCCAAGTTAACGCTTTTAAACAAACAAACTCTTCAGTTTTATAATCTTCTATATATATAAAAATGGATTGCTGTTCCTTAGTCTCGCTAAAACTCGAGAACGGCTGAACCGATTTGGCTAATTTTAGTCTTGAAACACTCCTGGAAGTCCAGGAAAGGTTTAAAAGATGAGAAAAATTGGAATAATTGCCGGGAAATTCCTAAAGACAGCCCTTTTCTATTTCCCATACAAACGTTTTTTTTGACATTAGATTTGACAACTAACTAATATGTCAATCATTCTGTTTGATTGAAACAGGAAAAACCTGATTATTTATGGCCTCTAAGACGGAATAGAGTTCGCCTGGTCAGCTATACCTACATATATTACTCTTGACCAAACTAACGCGGACCAAGTCGCGGGCAAAAACTAGTACTAGTATAGATGATCAATTGTTGGGAAAAGTTGAAGCATAGTTTACCAAAAACATAGTCTGGGGACGGGTACTTACTTATAGCTTACATACCTATATCAGTTGTAAAATTCGCACATACATATGTATAGCAGTGTGTGTAAAAAATAATGTTATAAGATTACTATGAACCGATTATTCAGTTTCAATCAAGTGAATAAGTATTGAATGAGAGAAGTAAAGTAAAATAATGAAAGTATAATGTGAGCGGGTCGATAACGAACGGTTGTTGTTAATGAACCGAACTCTGTTCCGCTTTGAAACCCTTCACGGTCTCCGCGACCAGACATCTGGAGACTTGGCATTCGTCACGTTATAAAAAATATTAAACTGAACAATCATATTTAAATTCAATTCCAGCTTCACCGCTGATGTTTTCTTCCCCTGAATTCGACAGCTGAATGACGTCACGAGTCCATTGACGTCACTGTCGCCGTGTCCGATACACACTTACATATATTTTTATGACATTTTACTACCGCGATACTTACTATTGATATATCAATAAAAAATTATAAAACCGACATTCCCAAGTTTCAATGAACAACATATTAAATGACTTACTCATTAAAACTGAACTTGAGTGGTGTGTTGTACAACACCTTATATAGATTTGTTTTAAAATGTATACAATACAGTGGTGCAAAATCATTATACTTTAAGCCCCGATTAGTTGTTCCCTGATTAATAATAATGATTCAGCGAGGGCTCATTGAGTCACCCGGGGCTCGCGGAACAATACACTCGCTTCCTGTTACTACGATAAAACATAGCTCCGGCGACACGAGCTGCAGAGAGACCCAGGGCGACCTGACTATGTAAGGAACATATTCAATAAACACACTTCAGACCCCGCTAACTCCAGCTGATGTCCCGTCATCAGTGTACATTCAGTGTCATTATCATCTGTTGGTGATATTTTAGAATCGAATGTGAAGGTCTTATATTTTAATGTCCTTTTACGTCTAAATGTCACTTGAACGGCCTCGATCGATACTTTATATATGTATAGTTATAAAATTAGTCGACCACTTTAATGTATCGAGATATCAATTAAATAAAGCGAGCGCAGCCGCGGGCCGTCGTTAGTCATCCCGCTCGTTATGCTCAATTCGCGGAAATAATATCTCAAAGTTTCTTTAGTTTTCGAGGTCAGCTGTTAAATTAAGAGCGACAGTTAGACGACTGACGAGGTATAAACTTGTGACACTCCTCACCTCACATTATATGTTATGTTATAATAATAATGATATGAGTCCAATCAGTATTACACACGTGTTGGGTGCTCCTCTGTCACATCTTTAGTTAGTCGGTAGTCGCGATACGATGACGCTTTCTAAGAGGCGCTTAGTGTGACGTGAATAACAAAACAGACGTCACTAACACATGACCTTAAGTTAGAGAGAGAGTAGGAGAGAGAGAGAGTAGTTGACAAACATTACGTAAAGGTTATAGAGAAAGATTACGGAGGTAGAAGGACGCCTCGCTTTACTATAATATATGAAAATGTAGTATATATTGTTAGGATGAGAGTCGCTCGTCTCGTATCGAAGTCACTTTCTTATTATTTGTTTGCATATCAAACTTTCTATTTCTTTAATGTCCGGAGTGTCAGAGGTCCGACACACTCACCGAAATTATAATAAAGTTGAAGGTCAACGACCGACACGGCATAAAGTATACGTATTAATATAGAAATTAATTATGGGAGATAGCATCGTTTCTAGATCATGATGAAGTCGATACCAACTTTCAGCATTGAACTTGTGAAGTGTTAAACATTAATCTTAAAGCGTTACAACGATTTAACTTGTCATAATACATATATTACAGTAGCCGGTAGTGGGTATAGCGTGTGAGACGCGCGCCGGCCGTCTGCTCACGATAACCAGTAGATTACATGATACACATTGATTGTTGGACCTTTATAGCTAAGTAACTGTTAATATACCAATATAACTTTCATTATTAAATAACATGTTCATTTCACAACCATGGTGACTGACCTTGATGAGTTTCATAGAGAGATATGCCATCGATCAGCTGATGACACTAACACCTTTAACTATGAGATCATGTGAAAGGAAATTAAGAATCAGATTCAAATAATTTAATTTTTTTTCAATTTATTTATTACATCGATTAAATTTGATATTGTTAGAGGAATATCAGAAATGTCATGATTATAATCTTTATCTTTATATACAGGGTGACTGGTGAATTACTATCGATATTTGAGGACGTGATATTTGACGATCATATATGACAAAATAAAAATTAATATAACATAAATATTAATAAACTTCTAAGTAAAGTTAACCAAAAATTATGTAATTAATTACGCATCGTATGAACACCCTACACCCCCTACAGATTAGGTATACACACACTCACACAGACGCGGCGGCGGCGTAGTGTTGTATCAGCACGCCGCCACACGCGTCCACACTTGGAACACTTGGAACGTGTCAACACTTTATTTATTTATACGGAAATTTTGTCAAAAATTAAGTACCTATTTTTTTTACATAATTCGAATGAGAATCATGTACCGAGTATGCTCCTTAAATATTGATAGTAATTCACCAGTCACCCTGTATATATAATTCTTCTGTGAGTGTGTCACTGAACTTCTCTTAAACGACTGGACCGATTTTGATGATTTTTTTTGTGTGTGTTCAAGGGGATCTGGGAATGGTTTAGATTAACAATTTTGTCCGCTGGACAATGTTTTTTTAATTAATTTTTAATTTATTAGTAGTTGTAGATACAAACTTTTTTTTTAGATTTGACAAAGCTAACTAATATGTCAGAAATATAAATAAAAAAACGTAACAGCTATTTCTTGATTATAGGGCGATACGAAGTTCGCCGGGTCTTCTAGTATATTTACATAGTGTTAGATGAAAGTGTTCATGAATGTGGAGCTGATGTCTCCTGTCCATGTATGTACAATCATGTGCGGTGTGATGATGTACCTAAAATAATAACAAGTCCTTGTCCATGACGTCATTGGACCCTATTGATACATCACAAGCCCTTATATGAAAAAGTTTAAATCCTTTTACATAAATTGATAGAAATAGTTCATAATTATTTTGTATCTGCATGTTCACTAATTTTCGGCTCCTTTACATCGACCGTGATCCCGGAGAGACGAGATGGAAGTCTGTAAAGGAACGGAAACGTCGGGATTATGTACATATAAAGACAGATGAAACCGTTGCGAGTGTCGAGTCCATCGCGATGTAGTGAGCTTCAACAGCGCCTGGGACTTGCGACCCAAGTGTAGGTTTAAGGGGCCCCTTAACTAACGCGCGTTAAACGCTCACCACCACCGTCTAAGCTCCTCTGTCTACTTAATCAAATTTGAAAAAAACCTACTAGGGCTGGCTTCGAAGTACGTTCTAAGAATAAATTTATATTAGTTCTGGACAGCCCAAGCTTTTTAGTAGGTTGTAGAGATATTTAGTTGTTATAAAAAAAATCGTGGTATCCGAAAAACTTAGTTTCATTTCGATGAACATGTAGTTATGTAATGGAAAGAGTACGCGGAGCCTATGTACTGAATGATAAAACATTCTAAAAAATACACAATATAATAATAAACTAATATCGCGAACCGGATTCATACGTATTATTATTATCTTTAATATTCGATAAGATAGTGTTTATAATCCGGGTAATGTTCTGTAATGAGCTGCCGGTGACTGTCGCTCACTGGCCTTATATCGGTGTATGAGTGTCCCGGGTCACGGAGTGGTCCGCGGACACAGCGCCGGGAATGGAATCCACCAGAACCGGTTTATATAAATAGAAATGACCAGACACTAACACAGATCGATAATATACGATACATAGTATCTCCTGACCTGATGCCCAGTCTACTCTCCTCTCTTTCTGTGTAGTCATCAGAAGCTGGCCGGCCCTGGCTCACTGTTCGAAACCTCTCGCTTTACATTTGAAAGTCTGCATAATGATATGTTTAAGAGTTATATAACACAACTTTCTTCTATAATATATAACGTGTTTTTTTTTTTATAGTTAATTATTATTTGTAGGTCGGTCTGTCGCCTCGTGTGTTTCAATCCGTCGTGTAGTGCCTGCTCGCTATATCGAGAACCGATACTGTATCATTTGATAACGCTCTGTTTGATAACTACCTGTAATACCTACCTCCTACCTATTTACCTTCCCCTCCCCTCCCCCCGCCTGCCTACCGTAACTGCCATCGCTCGAGCTTCACACTAACTCCAGATGTACCGGAGGCGAGTGTATCATATAAACCATTATGACGTATACATACTGAATGTATTTCATGTTCGACAATCATTATTTACATTATAACTTTAATCTAGCCGGTGAGGGGTCAACTGTGACCGGTCAGTCCATCCATCCCTGGTGTATCTCCTCTACTCCGCTCGTCCATTGACACTAGCTGTTGACCTGGTCGGTGTGAGGGAGACGCTTGCGTACCGGTTTGATGATGAGCTTTGTGCATGTGAGAAGTAACTGTTAATGGGGCCTTCTGTGGTAGGTGTCATGTGTTATAGTAGGGTGGCTGGAGGTCAGGGGTCCACATCGACCCCTACCTGTGCTTACATAACACAGATGACTTTAAAGATGAGCCTGTGTGTGAGTGTGTGTATGCACGTATGTGTGTGTGTGTGTGTGTTGTCGTTCCGCTCTGATAGGCCCGGGCCGGCGACCGCCGCGACCGCGACGCTCGTTTGCTCCTGAACCCAATACGTTATCTGACCCACTCCATATGATTCATTCATATTTTTACTAAATATTATATACTGTTACTATTAGCAGTACTGTTCTACAAACATCTGCTTCTTTATTTATAAGTAGCTATTTGAAAATGAATTTATTATTCATACAAAATTATTCGAAATTTCTCAAATCCATAATTAATTTGGTTGGAATTTATTTCGAACTGTGATTTATTGATCAAATAAATTGTGTTTGTAATGAGGAAGATCTCAAATATTAGACTCAATTAATTGAAGGGATTACTGCGAGGCGAAAACAAGCCGCGTTATAAGGAAGAACCCGCTGTGGTCGCTCGCTGTGCCAGAGATAGCGGGCGGCTTGTTTCCTGTTACACTTATATGGAATATATGACTCGTTAGTAATATAACTAGCGTTACTTAACATACAGTCACACATGACCCGCGGCACTACAACATATCAATCGGTCGTTATAAGCGAGGTGTACACGTCGTCGGCCGTCCCTCACGTACCGACACCTACACTCACCAGTCACCGATCAATATACAATATGTGATGATCATCATGTTTAAAGTTCACTGTGAACAATAACAGATAGGCTGGAAGCAATGAGGACACAAGCTGTATCATATCAAACTAAATAGGCCTAATAGTAGTCGATAGTACGTTGAAGCATTACCATACTTTGTATGTATTGATCTATACAGTCTCATACGTGATGATTGCATTCAGTATTCGATCTCAGTGAACATCGTTGGCTGCGGAGCCGGTTACGAGCTATGACAGATGTTTAGCGGAGACCGGAAATGTAACACGTTTGGGTGACGTCACACACACACACACACACACGCACACGGACAGGCTCGCGGGAATGTTGTGAGACGGAAAAATAACACGTATCAGATGAAATGTTTATATTATAAGTTAGGCTTACACAGAGATGGTTCCTCACACGACGCGACGGCTTCAACAAATACTATGTTAATAATGTGACTAGTGTATGACCGGAGTTATTTTATTAGAAGCATGTTACTAGTCTATCTGTGTCATCCGTTAGCGGCTACGTTTGTATGAGGATATATGTATATATGTTGTCAAATTATCTACTTAGTAATGTGGCGGTAGCATTTTCCCTTACTATTAATTATTTGTATGATAAGTAATATTCATGATGATGATATTGTTATTGTTAATTAAAAGAACACCTCGTAATTTTCTGTCCTTTCAAGCCTGTCCTGGAAGTAATGAAGAGTAGACAGCTTGTGACACGAGATGTTCCCGACCTCGACTTATCAGATGTAATACAGTTACAAGTTCAAAATGATTAGTGTATTAGTGTGTGAGGATTTGGATAGGGAGCTCGTCACACGATTTGTTTGATAAACATTAATGAAGTAGTACGAGTATCTGGTGATCATGTAGCTGTTCATGTAGTCATTAAACAGACTACTCCACTCCCGTAATAAATAATACCGATTAAAAAAAAAGGTATTAAGAATGGTGTTAAACATTGTATTTTCTAATACTTTACACAGAATACAGTGATCCGTCTGTTCGTGACGTGTTTCACGTGCGTGTAGTTTATATAATACTATTATGATACGCGTCACCCACTCGTCCACCCGAGGAGGACGGACGGAGACACGGGGCAGCGCTAGTAGTCTGTACACATATAATATAATTCAGATTAGGTGTCGTATGGACCGAGCAGTATTGGTTGATAATTAATGTTATCTATCGTCTTAGCGAGCGTCACTGATAACTCGACTACTCGACTGTTAGGAGCGATATCATTAACATGCTCCATAAATACTGTAATACGTTGGACATCAGCTCACGCTTGTCCCTGTAAACACATGATCGGTTTAACTGTGACGAGGCGAGGAGGCGAGGCGCCGGCTGTACTATGATATACATATAGATGTAACAACTATATACAGACTTATTGAACATGTTACTCGTTCCTCGCCGTCTTCTCTTCACTGTAGAAAGAACTCTCACACACTTACAAGTCACACCTAATGAGTTTTATAATAATTCAATTATCGTTTCTTTATCAATATGTACAATCTTTTCCTTATGTTTGTTGTCATTAGTTATTTTGATTTATCATATAAATATATTATATATATTAAGATCCCCCTTATCCTATACCGTGGTAGGTGTACTAGCCTATCTACAGACGACATACTTGTTCTCTACCACGGCTCCATCCGCGCGTCTCTCTCAGAATGAGTTTCAAAGAGAAGCCAATAGCGTGCTGCTAGTGTTAGTCTGTTACATATTATGCTATATTACAATAAGTATTCATTCAAATGTAGTCAGGAAGTCTGCAGTACAATAAGTATGAGTTAACATACATGACCTACACACCGACCGTGTTGTCGGTTTACATTCACAAGTTCACAACCCGCCGCGGCGACGTCACGTTGACTGTTAAACTCATAGTAATAACTCGGGCCCGGATTCATATGTAAATATGTACATATTTTTAATTTACGCGATTTTCGGTTTAGATTTTTGAATGTGTTTTCTCCATGGATTGTCATATTTAGACTGTAAAAAACCAACTTTTATTTTCCATGTTTTACCATATTTCAAAGTTAATTCCATATTTTACAAGAAAATGTCACAATCATCCATATATTCATAAAAATACATAAAATGAACGTTCCCGCCAATAATGTTTTGGATAAAAATAACGGATTTAACACGCTAAAAAAAATTAACAAAATTCTGTGCGAAAGTTTCGAGGGCTGTAGACATAGCTTACACAATTACTGAATTAAGCATGTTTAACTTTTAAGTATCCGCCCATCACGTCATGTGACGTGGAGAGATCATTCAGCAGGTATAAGGCTATATTTCAACCAAATGGTCAGTTTTCATTTTGATAATTACAGAAGCACGTCATTGTGTATTGCAACCAATTTGATAAGGCTAGTGTAATGAAAGTTGAATAAAACTGTTATTTTTTGTTGAAATTAATATTTCGCTATTTATTTCATCGTTTTTTAAATGTTACTTAACGATGTACGTCACGAGTGACCCTTTTCTTATAGTAAAACAATGTTAAATTATGAAAGTACATATTTTATTTTATACTCCATATTTTTTTCATATTATTTTTTTTTTCGTCCATATTTTATGTACATATTTTAGATTTTTTAATACATATTTATCTGGGCCCTAGACTAATAGCATTGTGAGTTGTTATCAATAGTAACGAACATGTATCCCTTGTACACATATCAACAAGTGAGTAAACACCACCAGAAGACCTGTCCTAGAATATATGATAGGACATGTTAGAGTAACACAGAGGTGGAGCTTATTTTTCTGTATGTTTATTAACTGTAACATACACTAGTCACTAGGCAGTTAACGTGTCTTGTCCGTCGTTGTGCATCAACAGGATCGTTGGTCTTATATTGGAGTGAGACAAGCCTCGGTTATAGTACAGTATATATAAGTACATATATGTTGAGGGTGTATGTACGTGTTCCAGGCGGGCGAGGCGGGCGTGGTGGTGCTGAGGCCCGAGGCCCTGGAGCCGGGCTCGGAGGAGGAGGAGGAGCTGCGGCCCGCGTCCCCGCCCTCCCCGGTCACAGTGAGGTTCGTTAACGACAACGTGCTCATCAACGGACGGTCCTCCATCGCCTCGCGACCACCCAACCTCAGCAGGACACTCAAGGTAAACTGACTCACACACACACACACACACACACACACACACACACACACACACACACACACACACACACACACACACACACACACACACACACACACACACACACACACACACACACACACACACACACACACACACATACCGTGTTCAGGTGACTATGTATTGAATTGTATGACCATATCTTTATATATATAATTCTTCTGTGAGTGTGTATGTCACTGAACTTTTCTCAAACCACTGGACCGATTTTGATGAAATTTTTTGTGTGTGTTCAAGGGGATCTGGGAATGGTTTAGATTCACAAATTTGTCCGCTGGACAATGTTTTTTTTAATTAATTTTTAATTTATAAGTAGTTGTTGATACAAACGTTCTTTTTTGACATTAGATTTGACAATTAACTAATATGTCAATCATTCTGTCGCACTTCAAAACACGGAGATTTATGGCTTTAATAGGTAAACTCCAAAAATATAAATAAAAAAACGTAACAGATATTTCTTGATTATAGGGCGATACGAAGTTCGCAAGGTCTTCTAGTATATACATGTATGTATATTGTTGTAACTGTAGTTTATAAACCGTTTTTAAAATATTAAATGAATGAAAAAAGTATAAGTATATTTCATAACATTTAAAATTCTAATAATATGAGTGAGGACTGGGTCATATTAAGGAGAGATCCGTCAACAAGTACATTGTGATGTACGGATTTACCTACATACACAACGACACGGTAACTATCACAGAGGTGCACGGACCCTTGATCACGTTATACACACAGACATAACACTCACACTTAATACTACACACGACCAATCTTGTTGATATAAGAGATGTAACATTGTAACGTCACGTTCCAGTTGAAGCTGCAGTTCGACGACTCCCTCACACGCACCTTCGAGTACCCCTCGGAGACCTCCCTGACGGAGGACGGACCCGCACACCCCGCAACCCCCGCCGCCCCCTCCTCGCCCGGGACACTCGCCGCCAACACACACATAGGTAACTTACACACACACACAGTTATAATGACTGTCGACACACATGTGCCTCAGTCTCGTCCGTGATGATAGTCATATATTATAACCCGTCCTCCATGTCTGTGCCGCACCAGTCCGGCCCGGCCTCCCCCGGCTCGTCTCTCATGTCCCGGGGCCGCACGAGACCTTCGTGTGACGACTTGCGGTACATCATGTCGTAGTCGCTAGCCTCTCCCCCCTCCCCGCCCCTGTATCGGGACGTCATCACGTCTACTCCCTGGGCCCTTGAAAAAAAACATAATTTAGAATAGAAGACTGTAACTTATAGTACATAATGTCGCTCACACAGTATGTAAAATGCAATATCAGTTTGCTCTAAATGTTTAATGATGATACCGGTTGATTAGCTCGACGAGCACACACTCATGTGACTCAACGAAAGTGTGAGATACAGCACAGCTACTAAAAAAAAACGCTGCAGAGAGAAAAGTAGTTGTAGGAAAACCCTAGGTGAAGTGTGGAAGCGTGAAATCTCCTGACTGAAAGATTGAGAATTTTCTCTCCACCATGCAAAACCAAGTTAGCGGGTCTATATTTTATCTGTGCCGCCGCTGGTCGTTCGTAGGAAGAGGCTGTGGTCTAGTGACAACTAGTTAGATATAACTCGGATCCTTCTCAAACGACATACTTTTAGAAAAACATTTAAAGTTGTGTTTCCCGGCCCAGGGCACTTAACAGTAATATAATAATCATAAGTTCCCATGACTCTCCTCATCCATCCTACCCACAGTAGGTATGTGATGTTACCCCATCAGGTAGTTCCTGACTAAGAAGCCACTCTGCTATGTTATAATTACATCTGCCAGATCATTGTTGGTTATACGTAGGTATTGTATGTACGTATATATTTCTCTGTATTTCCTTGCCAGCTCATATTCATCTGATCACGAAGAACTTCACTAACCCACAGTCATTTGTAGTTATAGCCATATAATAGGGCTATATTTTTCAATTTATAAATTTTCTAAGTCAAAAAAAAGAAAAGGATGAACCTTCCTCCCCCTGCAGCCTGTAATTCTTTAGAAACATGTAAGTTGTCCTTTCAAAAGTCTAACAAAATGTTCACTAAATATTATGATGGTGGAACGTGACATTATTGAATGTCCCTTATTATAAGGACACTTATAGACAAAACAAACTATCTGTTCTTGACAGTCCATGGCCCAATCTCCCAGACCTCCCCCCAACCCCCCTACAGTGTCTATTACAGTCATCAAGGCCCGCCGGTGTTGTCACTGTACTTATATGTGCTATTTCACTCTGTGTATTCTTATGTATACTTTCAGCTAGTCGTGTGGTAGTGTGGGTAGCCTTCAGTTAGTGTGTGTGTTGTATATAATATTAATGTGTGTTCGTCTGTCTGTCCCAAGTGTCGGCGTCTCTGTGCGGGTACACCCCCAGCAAGACCTGCGCGGACACGTTCGTGTTGGGACTGGCGCCGAGACAAGCGGCTGAGGAGCGTCCAGGTCGAACATGAGATACATGTAGTGATACACGAGTAAGGGGGACTTGTAATATATATATGAGTTTTGATAACAGAACCGGCGCAGAGCGAGGCTGTACAGAACGGGTCGGTGGCGGCCGGAGACGAGGACGAGAGGTCGGAGGACGTGCGGCCGTGTGGGGCGAGCGACGCGCGGACCTGGAGCGAGGCGCGCACACACACCGACCTGCTGTTCTGAACGACGACAAACCAAACATGTCAATAAATATTAATAGGAAAGCCTTATTTTTGTAAGAATGTTCGTCGACGACGTCTGCTCAATATTATTAGTATACATTATATAGGAGTAGGTAGAGGTAGCGAGTAGTAGGGGAGCGTGTACCGTGAGGGAGCTGAGACGCATGCGATGCCAAACCGAGCCGCACGAGCCGCGCCCCGTCGGAGTCATTCCTAACGAATTCATTCCTAAATTTTTGATATTGCCAGTTTATACAATTTTTATATTTTATACAAACATGAAGTGATAGGACGTCTGGGAAGCTGCGTATAGGAACAGGTACAAAGGAGGTGCGGCTGCCCGGCGGAGCATTTATTATAGCGTAGTGTTAGAGTGTCATAGGTCCGGCACAGTCCGCCACACTTGCCAATGCCTAGGTTATCGTGTCTCGTGTAATGACATTAGTTTAAGAGTACCGCGTCAGGGTCGCGCCTGCCATGTCGTGTATGTCTATGTATTGGAACCGTTTTCTTTATTGTATATGAGCTCCTTATATAAATCCAATCGTATCGTATTGTATGCTTTGAGTCAGAGCGGAGGACGGTGACGTCACTCCGGCTTTATGTAACCGTATTAAATACTGAGTAATGATGCTGGAGTATCAATAAAATATCCACAAAACTAATGCTTCTCTTTTATTTACTATATCTTTCTTCCCGAGACAGCAGCAAGTAACAAACCACGACTGTAAAAAAACATTCAAGCTTACAAAATGACAAATATTTTTAAGACTCCTTACACTTGAAAATTTGAATGTTCTAGAACCTTAAGTGACGTCACGTCTCTGGATATAATAATAAGAAAAAACTTATCCTGTCTAAATTCTATGATTTATGTTTATAAATATAAAATGTTGTCAAAGGTACTTTCTTTTACAGTAAGTAATATTTTAGTTCGATGTCTGTGCACTGTGTGTTTCTACAAAGTATTCTTTTATTTATCCTCTGGGTTTATATTTATTTTAGATTCTCAGCACGGCGCTAAAGACCTGAAAATAAATACGGAAACAATGACGCCGAGTTAAGTTGACCCGAGTGATATCAACAATTTTTAAGAAATTGCACGATATACTTCAATTATGTATTTGTTGTTGAAAGGGTTTTAAGTGTATGAATGGATAAAAATAAAAAACTAAGTTATTGAAATTAAACTTTTACTTTTTCAATAATACATACAAAATCACATTTGAAAACAATAGGTATATTTATTTTTGATATAAAATATATTAACTATCAAGGTAGTCTGGAAGAAATGGCTAATGAACCATAAGGCCGCCTTTTGTTACACCATTAGTTTAATAGTTTGTATATTTTGTAATTGTTTGAGATTGTAACTGTGGTGTACAAAAAAGTGTTGAATAAATAAAATAATATACTTGCTTCAATAACAATCTTATGTATTCGTAGAGTTCAGATGAGCTCTAAAATATGAAAATCAAATCAGTATTCTACGTCATCATTTAGTAACAAAGAATTTCTAAAATGATTGCAGCGTTGAAGCAAATGTTCTGGTAAAATGTATTCATTTCACTTGTGAAGCGTGAGGAATGTTTTTCTAACATTTTTGAGAAGAACATACTTAACATCAGATTTGAAATTCCCTCGCTTAAAAATGGCAGCGTCATGGACGCAGAGTTAAAATGTACTGAGGGTCTTTGAATTTTCTTAAATTTATTCTTTAATGAGACGACAGCCAGAGCTTTTAAACATCTGTAAATCGGCATTTTAGTTACCTACTCACTGGAACACAAGTTTGTAGTATGAAATGTAATATCCGTCATTTCTTTAATAAAACAACTAATAATATTAAATTATTCATCCATGTTCACTTCGAAAAGACACTCTTGCTCGTATCTCCTCTGTAGACTCAATCTCGTAAACAGGTATCAGGTGTTACATAAATGTAATCTGTTTTCTTGTGCATGAAAATCGCATTTGTGTGTTTGAATATAATTAAAAAAACAAATTTAGTAGCAACGATACCTATTACTTTCTTATTCTTATCTATACTAATATTATAAAGCTGAAGAGTTTGTTTGTTTGTTTGAAAGCGCTAATCTCCTAAACTTCTGGTTCGAATTGAATAATTCTTTTGGTGTTGGATAGTCCAGTTATTGAGGAAGGCTGTGGGCTATATAACATCACGCTACGACCAATAGAAGCAAAGATATAGTGGCAAATGTGTAAAAAATGGGAGAAATTATTTCATCTTTAGAGCCTTCCGTTGCGTGCGCCGTGAAAACGGTTCAAGATACACAAAAAATATGTATTAAGGAATAATAGCTCTTTTAATGATCTAAAAAACAGTCCGGGACAGTATCTGTCTATCTTTTAAGATTGACTCACAAAAACCGTTTTTATGGTACCTAATTTTGATCGAAATAATTTGTTTAAATTGTATCAACATAATAATATTAATCTTTATTCAAATAAACAAATAAATATGTTGTTGGTTAAGAGTACTTCATTGTGAATTTTAAAAAAAAACAGGTTTTACTTATCCTGAAAATTCTACGGGAACTCGACCATTCCGAAAACCCCGCAAGAACGGGAACTATGTGGGAAGAACCAAAAATCTGCCGGAAGTCACTATTCCACGCGGACGAAGTCGCGGCAAAAGCTAGTAAGTTATAAGACGTACCAACCTAATGTTTGTAAATTTATAAAATTAACAACTTATTAATTAGACTGTTTTAACGATAGTAATGGTTTCATTATATAATTAAAAAAATAAGTTTTTTCTAAGTAAGCATTATGTCCTAAAACAATATAAAAGAATGTATTGTTATAAACATATAAAAAAATAATGAGATCTAAGATTTTCGCGAGTACACATTTAAATGAAACTAATATTTTCGGATTTTACTTCGCGTTTTATTTTAGAAACTACATACTCCCGACGTTTCGGCTACTTTTCAGCAACCGTGATCACGGGCAGACGACACATCTCGTCCGAAATCCGAAATATTAAAATCCGAAAATATTAGTTTCATTTAAATATAAAAAAATAATAATAATAAATAAATCATTATTCGTTCAAACGTCTCTTCTGAAGAAATCATGATGTGTACAGCCACAACCAGAGAGCTGATGAATTAAAATCATTTTTGCGGCTAGCAATGCTTTTAAAAGACTAAACGAAATGTCACAGAACGTCTAATGCACCTACAATATAATATAATGTAGGTAATATCTATACATATAATACATACTAATTCAAACCCAGTTTTAGTCTTTACGCATGCGTTCGGAACTAGGTCATTCCTTGAACATGCGCTGTCGTTTTCAACATAAAAGGTCCAGTTCCGTGACTAAGACATTTCAATTATTGAAAATAATTTCTTGTTGAAGAACATAGACAATAAGTTACTTTTCAACTTTTTGCAAATATATTTTGAAAAAATTTAATTCACTTTAATAACGAATATTATTTTAACTTAAAAACTAAAAGTAAAGAAGTCGTATTAAGGAAACAAAACTTTAAATGTCTATGGCTGTACGTCAGCTGAGCTCAAAAACAAGAAAGCAAAGACAAGAAGAAAGGTTTTGAATTTGTTCACGGTCTAGTGTTATGTATGATGTGCCGGAGTTTGAAGCTGAATGTTAAAATTGTGTGAAAACTGTATTTTAAAGATAATAATATCTGAAAAAACTGTAATATTCTAATAAGATTTGATAAAATATTCAATTAAACAATGTGGCAAAAATTTTCGAACGCCGACTAGAATCCACAAAATATAATGTTTGTTTGCTACAAAATGTGAATTGGTGAAGGTCATCGTTCATAACGTCGTTGCCAAAGCCAATTGCGTTTTTTTCCGTGCTGTGGCGTGGCGGACTGGTCGCGAACCTGCATCAGTTTCCGTGAGAACACAGAGCGCACGTCTCGCAACATTTACGTAACTAGATTACATTACCGCACTCAGTAAATTCTTTATCGTCTCTTGTCGGCGTTATTACCTAATCGATAATAAAATATTTCTGAAGGAACAAATAATTATCAAATATGATTTTAGCCGTGTGTTCAAGAACGGCGTTACGAGCCCGATCACTGGAACGCTGCGCTTCCAGTGTTGTCGAACTTCCGAAATTAAAGGATTTCGATGTTCAAAACGAACCCGTACTGGGCTATCGAGCGGGGAGCAAGGAGCGGACGGAGCTAATTAACGAACTCAAGAGGACCGCAGCCGTCACCGAGGAAGTGCCGATCGTAATTGGCGATGAAGATATTAAGGATGGGGAGCCCCGCTATCAAGTTATGCCACATGACCATGGACGGAAATTGGCCAAGTTTTACTATGCCAGCGAGAAAACTATCCAGAAGGCGATCCAAGCGTCCACCGAGGCCCAACGGCGTTGGGATAAAACGCCGCTCGAAGAGAGAGTACGCATTTGGCAGAACGCTGCCGACCTGATGGCGGGCGCCCATCGCCAGCGACTGAACGCAGCCACCATGCTCGGACAGTCCAAGTCGGTGGTGCAAGCGGAAATCGATTCAGCCGCCGAACTTATTGACTTCTTCCGTTTTAATGTTTTCTTCTTAAAAGAAAATGCCAAGTATCAACCTATCTCTGAAAACGTGTCAGTTACAAGAAACTCGCTTAGATTTAGAGGCTTAGATGGATTCGTTGCTGCTATAAGTCCATTCAACTTTACTGCCATTGGAGGAAATCTGGCCTACACTCCGGCACTTATGGGAAATGGTGTCTTATGGAAACCCTCTGATACAGCTCTGTTGTCAAATTGGCGCATATTTAACATCATGAGAGAAGCTGGTCTTCCACCCGGTATTGTTAACTTTGTCCCAGCTGACGGACCCACATTTGGTAAAACTATCACAGCCTCCTCACAGCTGGCTGGCATTAACTTCACAGGATCTGTGCCCACTTTCAATTGGTTATGGAATGAGGTAGGAAAGAATCTCAACAAGTACCAGAACTATCCCAGACTCATTGGAGAATGTGGAGGAAAGAACTATCATTTTATACATCCCTCTGCAGACATACAGTCTGTTGTAACGGGCACCATTAGGTCAGCTTTTGAATATTGTGGTCAGAAGTGCTCCGCCTGCTCCAGAATGTATGTTCCCAGATCCTTATATGAACCTATTAAACAAGGACTACTTGAAGAAAGGGCAAAGTTGAAAATTGGTGACCCCACAGACTTTAAGATATTTACCGGGGCTGTCATTGATGATAAAGCCTTCGCCAGGATTACAGGCTACATCAAAAATGCTAAAAATAATCCTAAAAACAAAATCCTGGGAGGTGGAGAGTTTGATGGAAGCAAAGGATACTTTGTACAACCCACAATCATTGAGACAGTGGATCCCTTTGATAAACTAATGACGGAAGAGATCTTTGGGCCGGTCCTCACCATGTATGTGTATGAAGACAGGGACCTGGATCAGGCACTTGGCCTTGTAGGCTCTTCTACTAAATTTGCCTTAACAGGTGCAGTATTTGCTACAGATCGGAAGTTCCTAGAAAGTGCTTTTGAAGAACTTAAAATGACAGCGGGTAACTTCTACCTAAACGACAAGTCAACCGGATCTGTGGTGGGCCAGCAGCCGTTCGGAGGAGGTCGCATGTCCGGCACCAACGACAAGGCGGGCGGACCCAACTACGTGATGCGTTGGACTACACCACAGTCCATCAAGGAGACCTTTGTTCCTCTTAAAGATATTGACTACCCTTACATGAGGGACTAACAGTAGAGGCCCGTCTGCCACCATGAAATGTTATATCAAACAACACCAGTACAACAATAATAGATAATTATTAGATAATATATTACAGATGTTTAAAATTAGATCACTTGAAGCTTGTAGAGGTGACAGTAGCTTTTAGCCGTTCAATAGATTAGATTATAATGTTATGCTGTAGAGGTGATAAGCATCGCGGTGATACAATAATTGAATGTTTTATTCTTAGTAAATAATACTTCTTGTTCACTGTTTGTTATGTAACGTTAACACCTGTCAGCTCCGACACATTACTATATGAACTAATTATATTTTGCTTCTTAGTTGTTAATTTGTAAATTACCTCTCAATGAAGCTCACCCAGAGTCGGTAGAAGCAGTCCAAAGTTGTGATATTTAGTTGTGCACTGTATTAGTGTTTAATATAATGATTGTACTCAGAGCTCCAACACTGATAGCTCGCTACTGGCCTTATCTCTCAATTGTAATAATTACTTTTCCTTATCATTTGAATGTGGTGTCATCGTAACTCTGGTCCGCTCTCTTGATAAACCTTCTGCATTTATGCTTTAAATATGTTTTTTTTTTAGTATTAACCTAACTTATATTGTTTTAGTAGTTCTCTGTGACTTCTTTTGTTTAGGCATCAAATGCAGTTTCTAGGTTTGTAACTTAAGTCGGAGATCTTTTTCCTTCAAACTGTTATATGTTTCATTATATGAAGAGTTATTCATTATTTATTTTGCTTTAAGTCAATAAATTATATTACTGCTCAGTTTATTATTTTTTTCTTCTGATTTCCTTTTATGAAGCTGATATGATACTGTTGATGTTGAGAAAAGTTAAAATTTATTTTTGACAACAATCCATTAGGCATATAAGTTAAAGTAATAACAATAATATATAGTAGTAGAAGTTATCGCATAAATATATTATTAGATCCTAAATACCACTATGACACAAATTACAATAAGGTAACAGAAATGAATGTGAAGAGTTCTCATAATAATAATTAAGTAATCAGTTAAAAAATATTATGACTTTTTATTTAGGTAATGTAATAAGATATGTTACAGAAACTTGTGTATTATAATTGCTATGTTTACATTATCATTAGTCCAGATTGGTCCCTGATCAATATCGTCACATCCTCGTAATGGTGTGAGCTCTCATATAACATTATATACCTATGTTAAAACCTTTTTAGAAACCATAATGAAAAACAATATAAAAATAAACTGAGCCTTATTATTTTCCATAATATGTTATTCCATAGGTGGATAATACCGTACCTACATTTATATTTATGTAAAGCGATAGATTGTTATCTTAACAAAAGATGAATTATGACACACATGACCGTATCCAACGGCTTATCTACCTCACCAATAACACAGTTCCCCTATTACAACGGCCTCTTACTCGTGTAAGTCTGTATTCAGAAAATTTATCAAAAATCCCATCCTTATTCCTAACTCTCAAGTTAGGATGAGATTTAAATACGACCTATTTAAAATTCACAAAAAATATATATTACACATAGGTAGGTACCAAATTGAAAACTAAAAAGGAAATTAATATTTGACAGCCAAAACACAATTTATTGCACATTTACTTCGTGGCTTCCACATACTGTAAACATATTATTTTAAAATAAGGATAAGGTGATACCTTATACTTACATTGTTATTATTCACTACAGTTTAAAAAGAATGGCTCAATCAAAAATCTAAGACATGACCAGAATCATTATACTTAATTTTTATTTACATGAAATCAAGTATGTAATGAATGTTGAACAATAAATACTAAACCTGATTTATAAACATCCTAAGTATGAGGCGATAAGAAACGTCTCGTTAGTAATGGACAATAGAATTCTAAGTGTATTCTGTTGACAAGCTCAAGGTTTCGATGTCATTGTACGACTTACGCCATACATCTCTTAGCTCTCAGTTTATAGTTAGTAATCTGAGCTAACAAAAACCTAATTGTAATGAATAACGTAAAGTCGAAGGAATGTTTACAACATGCACATTTTGCGGTATTTCTTTAACAAAGAACAATGTTTAATTACCTAAATAAGTATTATTTTACTGTCTCGTTGAATAACAGTATATGACTAATTATCCGTTAAAATATTAGTTTTCTTACAAGGAAACAGTTATTGTTGAAACAACAACTTAAATAAAGCAAGATAATTTGTAAAGACAAATATCAATCATATTATAATTATGGATTTTATGACAATGACCTTAACGACATCATGATGAATTTATTTATTGTTATTCTTATGGATATTGTTTGGCTGTTAGCTATGCGTGCTTAATCTAACAAGGTAGGTATAGTTGGGCTGTACAATGTGGTCCATACATCTAAAAATTCACAATTATCTATGTTACAATTAAGTTTTGATTATGAACATTTAAAAAAAATTAAATAACTTTAAATAAATTTACACATAACTCGACATATACGTATAAATCGATGAGTATTGTACCTATAGTTACAACTGTTCAAAATTAATAAGAACATCAGTTTTATATGACTACACACACACACTGCACACTATAGGTACCTTATGTGTAAACAAGATATAAGTATTTCTTCTTCACGTATAGCAAATAGAATGTTTTTATATCAAAATTTCTTTGACTCCTAATTTATTTTCTTTTATGAGTAGGTACTTATCAATAATCTCATGAAGTTTCTGAGTAAGCATTTTCAAGGTCAATTTTTATTCTAGGATCATTATTCTTTGCTGAAATATCTAGTTCTTTGTTGTATATCACAAATTATTTTAAAACGTAAATTTAAATTTCATACCTCGTGTCTCAATATGTGTACGTGTTAAATTTGTTTTAATATGTGTATTCAAAACGATTGTTCCACGCTGTCATCGATTAGCAAGTTTTATATTATTTAGGTATTAAAATAGGTACTTATGTTAAAGTTTAGACATATGTCTACTAATAACACTCTATTATATGTAGTAGGTATTTGTTCAATATTATTAAGTTCGAAGTTAAATCGGTTAAGTTAATTAAAAGAAATCGATCCCATCATCGTTCAACCGCAAATGTCATGTAAGTGTATTTTTATGCAAATGATATGAGCAAAATAAAAACTTTACAATTCCCTTTCTATTTTCAGTTAAAAAAAGACATAACTTATTTCAATAGAGGAAGCGCAGCCGCTATCAAAGCTTACTATTCTTTTTCCGATTTTTCATTTTTCTTTTTTAGTTTTATAAGGTAAATAAGTAGTATATGGAAGTTGAAGCAATCTTTAATGACTGCATTTCATCCGATGAGAGAGAGAGAGAGCCCGATATCCTCTCCTGTTACCACCCTTTTCTGCCATCTCTTTATTCAGACCCCAACCTTTTCTTCAACAATAAAGGTCAGCAACTCATCCGTAACATATGTTTCTGATGTCCATGGGCGACGGTGACCATACAGTAGGCCGTCTGCTCGTATGTTACTTCTCAGATTTAAAAAAATGAAACCGTACACCGGTGGGTATACGTTGGTCCGTGGGAGAGACCACGCTAGTTATCTACACGGCTAGAATGGGGGATCGGAGCGTAACCCAGCCTTCAAAACACTTGACTATCTTGAAGAAAGAGTCCTGTAAATTCTTTGGGCTCGTGAAGGCCACGGTGGTAAACCCGTGTCTATATAGGTATGCGTACAGGTCACATAGTGATAATCCTAGACCCTAGTGGTCTATTTGGCTCCTGAATTCGAGCTCCAGCGACCGGACGGACCAAACCAGAACATCTACAGAATTGGTGGGATGCTGCTAGACCAATCCATTTTTTTGGTCTCTTGCCGAAGTAGTAAATATCGAAACGAGAGTTTATAAGATTACTTATTATTAAGCAATAACAATAGGTTTTTGTATAAAAACTGTTGCTATCATAATATGTACTTCCACAAGAATTAAAAGTTAAATTTTTGAGGCAAACAACATTATGTAACAGTCGTATGTTTGCATTATATATTTTTAAATAAATAATGAAATATGTTCTTGAGTTAGTAATTTATCATAAGTTGGATTACTATACCATAGAGGATTATTTATCTGCTAAGCAGCTATGATATAATATAAAGCAAAAAAAAGTAGACCTGGTCTTTTTTTAAATTGTAAATACGACAATTGAGCAGTCATAAGTAGTATTGTCTTTACATGTTAATATAAATTTTAGACTACGCCTTAAAGATTTTTTTATGATATAAAATGATTATCAATAGGGCCCGGATTAATATGTAAATACCTACTTATTTTTAATTTACGCGATTTTCAATCTAGAATGTGTTTTTTTTTTATGTGAAAGGTGGCAAACGAGCAGACGGCCCACTTGATGGAAAGTGGTTACCGTCGCCCATGGACATCCGCAACATTTTGTTGCGGATGCGTTGCCAACCTTGTTTTTGGGGATAGGGAGGGGTGGGAATAAGGAAATGAAAGGAAAGGGTAGGAATAGGGAAAGGGCAACCGGCTCTCTCACTCATCAGACGAAACGCAGCCAGTAAAGGCTACTTCACGCCGATCTTCTGTGAGAGGGTGGTACTTCCCCGGTCGAGCCAGCCCATGCTCGAGCTGTAGTAACTCACCACAGCTAGGCTCTACCACCTTTTTAAATGGATTGTCATAATTAGACTGTGAAAAACCAACTTTTATTTTCCATATTTTACCATATTTCAAAGTTAAGTCCATATTTTACAAGAAAATGTCACAATCGGATGATTGATAATATATGGATATACAGGGTGACTGGTGAATTACTATCAATATTTAAGGAGAATACTCGGTACATGATTCTCATTCGAATTATGTAAAAAAAATAGGCACTTAATTTTTGACAAAATTTCCATATAAATAAGTAAAGTGTTGACACGTTCCAAATGTTCAAGTGTGGACGCGTGCGGCGGCGTGCTGATACAACACTACGTCACGACACGCGTACGTGTGAGTGTCAGTGTATACCTAATCTGTAGGGTGTTCACACGATGCGTAATTAATTACATAACTTTTGGTTAACTTTACTTAGAAGTTTATTAATATTTATGTTATATTAATTTTTATTTTGTCATATATGATCGTCAAATATCACGTCCTCAAATATCGATAGTAATTCACCAGTCACCCTGTATATTCACAAAAATACATGAACTTTACGTTCCCGCCTCTAATGTTTTGGATAAAAATAAAGGATTTAATACGCTAAAAAAATTAACAAAATTCTGTGAGAAAGTTTCGAAGGCTGGACATGGCATTCACAATTACTGAATTAAGTATGTTAAGTATGCATCCATCACGTCATGTGACTTGAGATGAGACCAATCAGCAGATGTAATGCTATATTTCGACCAAATGGTCAGTTTTCATTTCGATAATTTAAAGAAGCACGTCATTGTGTATTGCAACCAATTTGTAAAAGGCTAGTGTAATGGAAGTTGAATAAAACTGTTATTTTTTGTTGAAATAAATATTTCGCTACTTTTTTTCATCTTTTTTAAATGTAACTTAACGATGTACGTCACGAGTGACCCTTTTTGTAGTAAAACACTGTTTAATTATGAAAGTATTTAATTTAATACTCCATATTTTTTCCATATTTTTGATTTTATCGCCCATATTTTATGTATATATTTTTGATTTTTTAATACATATTTATCCGGGCCCTAATTATCAAATAAAAATTTTATCTCATCTGGGTATGATCTCCTATATATGCTGAATGAGACTATAGACATTATTTAGTATATAATATGTAATACCGCAATTAACGACCACCTTGATTAACTAGCTTATCCGATTAGAGGTTGGTTAACATTTCCGAATCAATTGAAGTATATAGCGTAAATCAAGTCATTATTTAACTCTGTATTTGAAGTTTTTTACCCATTATTTTCTTAAACTTTTTAACTGAATATCACCTAAATTTGAATTGAAATTGAATAAAACAGCTTTACATCAAATAAGTCAGAATATGCTTACTTGTTTACAGTCTGTGCCTAGTAACATCAATAATTTTGACATATGTTTGACTTCTTGTCAAGTGTCAAGTGGACTATTTTGGATGCATCGAAATGTGAAGGTCTTTCTAGAATGAGACAGTATTTTTCTTTATAGCATTATTTAATTGTTGTTAAAACTTTCAATTATATTATTTAGTTTTACTCCGCTCCATTAAACCGAAATGGCTAATATGTTTGGTCTTATTGTTTCGGGACGTTTAGTAAGTGTAATTTCGTACAATAATATTTATTTTCTGTATACAATGAACAATTTTTAATAACAACAAACAAACTATTGTACAGGTGCAGACGGATTTCACGCCGGTTTCTGAAACAAGCTTGATCACGACGATATTGGATGTAGATTCTATAAACCACGCCGTGGTGTTTCTAACGGGCACGACGCCGCTGCCGGCGGGCACGGCGGCCGTCGTCTACTGGAGCTGGCCGGACCCCAACGCTCCTCCCAACTGGCAGCCTCTAGGACACATCTCGAACGCCAAACCCTCAGCTATATTTAAAATATCGAATTTAAAAAAACTACATGAACTCTCAAGTATGACATAAATATTAGTGGACAATATACTGTATCATTAATTAGTTGGAACCTTTGTTAAATTAACACGCCATAACTTACAGGTGAAAATAAATTTATGGGTGCTTTTGGAAATCAACAAATCTGTAATAATGCTCAAATTGGTATATCAATAGAACCTGAAAACAATGTTCACATGCTACCTAACTCAGATGTAAGTGGTGTATTTATTAGTTTGATGAACTTTAATTATCTTACAAATAGTATGTTAGTGTTTTAAATGATGAAACTGTTAATCTTTACTTTCATAATTAAGATAAAATTATTTAAACCATATTAATTAAATCAACATTAAAAAGTTATTATTTAAAATTATTTCTAATTTAATCAATCATACCTTAGCCAGATAGAGAAAGTCATGTAATTTGGTTCAATTTTGTAATAACTTCTTAACTATTAATGGCAATTTTCAAAGGATTTTTCAAAAGAATCTTTGTTTTTGTTATTATGCTTTATATTTCTTAGGAATGCATCACTTTGAAATTAATTCCTTGAAATTTCTTATCTTCTTCCAGGCCCAGCAGGTGAACTCTTATGTGACCTTTGCCCAAAAGATGCTGGAGAGTCTAGTAAACTTTGTGGCCTCGTTCTCAGTAACTCAGGAACAGATGACCCCTACTCCCGGTGTCTCCTACATCCCCCTCACTACCCTACACACGTGGTACCAGAACTTTGAACGCAGACTTCAACAGAACCCAAACTTTTGGAAGAACTAGCACACTACAGGGTCATGTTGCCAGTATTATAAATGGCCAATAGATATTACAATCATAGTTCTTTTTAACTCAAATTGACATTTTGACAGAAAATATTAGTTAAACATATGTACTAGTAACATATTACTGAAAGTTGGTTTATGATTCACACTCAAAGCTTATGCATTTCACTTACAATGTTATTCCTACATATTCCTGTAGTAACTGATAAGCTAAGAGCTAAGTACAATTTTAAATATAAGTCGAATGTTTTATTGCAATTTGTAATAAAAGTGAAAAATCCTACAAACGTTTGTGAGTGCTAGTAATGAATTAATTTTATTTTATTCTCTGCACTGGTCCGCATGTGTATATTGTGTTGACTTGATGTAATCAGCTTTTTATGAAATGTAGCATAGTTAGATTTTTTATGCTATATGTCTGTAACTATCATTCAGCTCACAATAGACAACAGCACAAGCTGCATGTAGCTTACTGATGGTAGGCGACATGCTGTTCTAAAGAATAACAATTATAATGTTTAATGAAGCTTATACATGATCTGTGTGAAAATATAAAGTCAACAAGTGATTTAGTTTTTTTTAATATAAAAACTGCATTTATTTTTTTTATAATAAATTATGATTATGTAATACATATGTTTTTGGTGGAAATGAAACCATTATTAATAATATTAGCTAACATATATTTAGGAATACAGTAACAAGAAGGCAACATTATCTGTGAATGAACACATGGTGAAGGCACTTTGGTTTTCACTTGGTAAATAACATACAACACGTATCTTTCATATAAAACTAAGCAAATTAGAAACTATTCAGTTGATTTAAAACAAAGCCATATTTTGTGCTTCAGAGTAGGGCCGTTACTTTGAGGAGACAACGAGGAAGACTATTATTGAACACTCGGCCCTACAACACTAATCATGCCACTGGAGTACAAGCTACCGTTTTGTACTAACAACCTTGAGTTACCTCTGAGATCCACTTTAGAACTAATTAACAACAAACAAATGAGTGAACATAACATTCACTCTAGGGCACTCCTAACACTAAACACAAATGAATTCATTATACCTCTTGAAGATTCCTGAACACGCCCACACTGGGTCACCCTACATGTTATTGAGGCTCAATCAGGGTATCACAAACATTTCAGTCAGTAACAATATAAAAGACAAATACAAAGCTACAGTGAGTTCACAGTGACAGCAATTTCAGTTATCAAACTCTGTAAATGGTAATGTAGAAAAATAGGGTACATTTGGATATACTTTTCCTAAATTTTCTCACAGCCGGCTACATGATGTATATAAAAACTGAATAAACATTCACATCACATCTCTATAAAAGTAACATTTCCGAGTAAAAATGTAATCCACGGTGAATCCCGTCAGTCGGCGAGGAACGGGTGTGCCAGCGCGTCCTGAGCGGAGGCTCGAGCTCGAGGGTCGGGCTCCAACAGATGCGCCGCCAGGGAGAAGGCTTCGTCGGGGAAACCGGCGATAGTCAGGTTGGGTGTGATGTTGGTCGGCTGGCGGGGAGAAGAGGATTTAACACGAGAATATACTTTAATGATACTAGTGTCGAGCGTCAAGTACCTTCACGGTGTCGTCCCTACAGAGACAGTGTGGTAGGGGCAGGTGACAATGTTGACAGGCGGGGAGCGCGGGGGGAGGCGGGCCGGGGGGGGCGGCGCCGCGGAGACGAGCGGCCAGCTTACGGAGACACAGGCCGCGGCGAGGCTGAGACGTGACCATACGACGACCTGACGAGGGAGACGAGTGTTACATGTGACGAAACTGGAAGAGACGGGAGAGGACGGGCGGACGTACCGAGGGAGGCGGCGGTCCGCTGGAGGGGGAGCGTGCCTAGAAGGTCGGCCAGCTCCGCTAGAGCTGACGCGTCGTCGGAGGCGCGGAAGAAGGGGTAGCGCGCGGTCAACATACTGGCCAGCACCACGCCCGCCGCCCACGTGTCCACGGCGGGGCCCTGGCGCGGGCTCTTGAGCAGCACCTCTGGAGGTCTGAAGCCCTGGGTGCCGGCGCGGGGCGCTCGAGCCGCGGCCCGGGCGCCGCACGGGGAACACACGCTGCCCGCGTTAGAACAAGAACAGACACCGGGTGTTACCTGCCGTACACAACGGGACACATGAATTAAACGAACATAAACATATCTATGAATCCTTTAGTACATACTTTAGGTAATTTCTGCTTAGATATTTGCACCTTCGGTAATGAGACTTTTTTAGGAGACTGAGCGGCGCTGCTGGTGCTCCGAGACCGAGTGGACAGGTCCAGGGCAAACCTCTTCTCACTCTGAACATTCTCATCCTATAAACATATAAAAAATAAATCTTCACCATATATAATACACCTTGATTACATTATCTTCTAGGGGGTTGTCCATTAATCACGTGATCTTTTTTTAGCATTTTTTAACCCCCCGCCCCCATTGGTGATACGTAGTGAGGTTTAAGACTACCCCCCCTCCCCCTTCTCAACATCACGTGTATTTTTAGTAGCTACAACGAATCTTAAAATTTTCTGAATATTATCTTAATTTAAATACAGGTATAAACTATAATCTTATTTTATTTTGAAATTAAGGACCATAATAAATTAATATTTGTTTATAAATCGCGCGTTAGACGAAAAAATAAATACACGAGATACTTACTACACCCCCCCTCCCCCTTGTGATATTTTCGTGATTTTTATTAAACCCCTCCCCCCCCCCTTTCAAGCCTCACGTGATTAATGGACAGCCCCTAGGGGAGTTCATTAAAACATCAAGATTTCCTATAATACAGTAACAGTGATGGTAGTAACCTCTTCCCTGGGTCTCTTGAGACTGTTGGCGTGTGCTGGAGGAGGGACGGGTGGCGAGGGTCCGTCAGTCACCACACGTTGCGCCAGACCAAAGTCAACCAATAAGTACCTGAAGTACACCAATAACAATTACAGTAATACCCCGCTTAACGCGACCCCGTTGTGCACGATTTCACAATAACACGAATATGTCCAAATCTGAATAAATTTTTGAAAATTTATTCAAATTTGGACATATTGCAGAGTATAGATAATAATGATGACCGCGCCTTGACCGTGTGTCAAACAATTAAAAACAGTGTTGAGTGTTATGAACTTATTTTACAAGAAAGTAAACAAAATGCTACCCAAAAGACAATACAAAAAATAGGAGTACCTATGTCTTGTATAGTGTTCTTAGAATTAAAGTGATTGATTAAAATGATTTTTATATTTGTGTATTAAATTTTGACTGTGTTTAATCATAAACCTCGATATACACTAATTTCAGTTAACGCAATTTTCTTCGGAATGTATCCCTCGAATAAAGTGGGGTATTACTGTACTATAAATTATTATGTTTAAAAAATTACTAACACTTCAAGCCATGACAGCCCTGTCTACGTTTGTTAGCCTTTCTTTTGTATTTTTAATATTGTTTTTGATTATAAGTATCTAAATTTCTTCACCTATAATCAACCCAAAGGTTTTCTCTATTGGTGCTTTTTGGTTAGTGAGAATAAAACCACTTTAACAAGTAGGCTTTGAGATGATCAATGTTTTGACGGGTATCAAAGTTGATTAAAGAATTTAACAGACAGAATTTTTTTTATAATTACATATATCTAAGTATATAATATAATAAATAAAATAAAATATTTATTCTACTATAGCAAAAATATTATATCAAACCTTCTGTTCTCCCTGTCATAGAGAAAGTTGCTTGGTTTTACATCCCTGTGTATCACTCCAAAAGAGTGTACATGACGCAGAGCCACCAGGAGGGCCCTCATGTAACAACGGACCTCCTCCGCATCCATATCACCCACATATTCCTGCAAATATTAACATGATATGAGATTATAGACATATTAGTGATTGTATGCTCACAACAAAGAAAAGTGAAACATGACATGTAAACTAAAATGTGCTCTGTCATCATGTTGTAATATGTAAGTTGATTTTATCGCCAGAGTTTGTATAGGCATGTGAAGAAAACAAAGATTACATGTACTTGTGAAGAAAGATACAGGTTACTGAATATACATATATTTAATACAATACAACAGACTTACGGAAAATTTTCTATGAGGTATATACGGCATTACAAAAACTATAGTATCCAGATGTCTAAGGCACAGATCTACACCAATTACATAGTCCTTGCCCCTGAAAAAATAATTATTATATTAAATAAAGATCTAATAAAGACATGTGTAACACACTGAAAGAAATAAGTAACAGTCACCCTATGTCTTGGAGGCATCTTAGTTCATGTTCTATACGGGCAGGGTGTGCGGTCGGGACGAGGTGTTTGATCGCAAACCATCGCTTCTGGTCGTCAGGCAGCTGCGCGTGTTGTTTCAGCGAGCCCAGGTACACCGAGCTGAACGTGCCCTCTCCTATCTTACGATGCACGTCGAATATCTTATCCAACTTCGGCAGCTTGTACAACAATTCGACAATTTGTAACTCTGAAAACAAATATGTTCCATGTCAGTGATGGAAATCAAACTAACCTTCGTGATAATTTTTAACCACGTTAACGATATTCCAGTGTCAGCTCACTTTCGCTATCAACTTTACTGCATATCTCGTTCTTCTTTTTGATTACTTCCTTATATTTATTTCGTCTGTTTTCCAGGTTATCTTCTATTTCTTTTTGCACTTTAGCTTCTATTCCCCGTATTCTAGACATAACTTAAACAATAAGTCATAGGTGCAATACCATGTTTAAAATCTTATATTTGATGTACTGTCATGAACATAATATATTAAGAAGCAGAAATAAAAGTTAAACTAAATAAAATCCATTTATGTTACATATTAAAACTAACGTTACTTGAAAACTGAAAGAAGTAAAAAGACATTCCAATTTTATTTGAAACTAAAATATCATTGAAACGTCAAATATTTTTCTCTTCGTATGACTTCTTGTAAATGAGACAGTAAAATGAGTAAATCAAAGTTAAATAGGAAAAGGGTGTTTATAAAAAAAATCTAAGTTACTATAAAAACTGTTAAAATTTAAAAATTATTCCTATGCCAGAAATAAATTATTATTTAGAACATTATTATAAATGGTATAAAAATATCCTATATCTGAATTGACACTTGGCTAAAAAAATTAAACGATCAAACTCCAATAAATTCTTATTATGTTGTTGTAATATTTTATATTGTAGTTGTAAAGTAAAGGAGCTTAAGATTAATAAAACATATTTTCTTAGGCAATCAGCAAAATTCTTTGTATAGAGAATGTTTCGATTAAGATTTAAAAACAATATTATTAAGAACACCCTTATATCAGTAAGTATTTGTCCCATTTCTTATATTTTCATTAGAACTCTTTGATTTCGACAACGTTTAATTACTTTGTAGTACCAAATATTTTCTTCGATCTGAATTAAAACGAAATAGAATATTGAGTATTGTTAACCTATAAAATTTAACCATTATCTTAACTGTGTGTATGTTATAATATCATTTATTTTAGGCAAATTATGTAACTAAACCTCCAAAACCCGAGATACCAAGAAACCCACTCAAACAGGTATACTCAGCTAACAACCAAACGGACAATGGTATTGTATATGATAGGAAGCCTTTTAAAATGATGTTGGAAGCGGGCAAGTCGTACCAGTGGTGTCTGTGTGGACGATCTAAATCACAGCCCCTGTGTGACGGAACACATAAAGATCATTATCTGAAAATAACACAGAGGTTTGTTTGACATCAATTATACTGTATCATATGCATATTATTTCCAGGAAGGGGGGTGGTCTTCTGATAAAAATACTCATACAGAAGACTAAATCGCTCTTAGTGATTAAGTACTAACATAGACAATAAGTTTTAATTGTTACTAACAAAAAAATACTAACATAGTTATTAACTACTTTGTAACTAACATGTGGACTTTATTGTCTGAAATAAAGTAAAATAATAATAATAATATATATATAAGTTTTTAAATATAACTAAACTTATAATAAACATTACAGCATGTTTAGAACTCATATCTAACTGTTAAAACATGAAAACATATGATTCAATTATGAGATGAGTTGTATTGTATTGTGATTGTTTTCAGGCCGATAAGATTCCAAGTAGAAAAAACCAAAGAATACTGGATGTGCAACTGTAAACAGACGAAAAATAGACCTTTCTGTGACGGGACACACAAACAGAAAGAAATACAGGAGGCGACTACCATTAGACTTTAGTTCGAATATAATAAATAATATATAGTGATAATAAGTAGATGAGAATATATAATGAAACATGTGTTATTATTGGCCTTATTTTTAATATCCAGACATGGTTGCCTCTACTCATAAACTACAACCTTAACAGTATAGCTTATAAACAACATTTCATGAATTTCTCCACAATTTGTTTGAATAGACTGTGATCTGGTAGAGCAGGCTGATATCTAAAATTAACAGCCCTTTTTAGACTCAATACTCTTAAGATAAATTATTAATTATCTATGTTTTCATTAGCTGACGTTTTATCATTACAAAATAAAAAATATTTTTTTAATAAATATGTTTTATCTAAAACTCAATCAATAAGAATAATCATGACAAATTAATTTCTTCCAAGCTTTCTCCAACAATGGTATAGTGAACTAATTAATTTCTAAAGTACAGTGGAACCCCGGTAGTCCGACAAACATTTTGCAGGGCAGTGTCGGACTATCGAATTCGTCGGATTATAGAGTACTGCCTAAGACCCCCTATAATCCGGATTTTTTTTACAAAAGAGTACCTTGTAATCCGACAAATTACAGATTCAATGATATATATACATATTTACATATTATTATATATACATATGTATATTATTATATATACATATACTCTGAAGTACAAATCATACTTCATTATGTATGTCAAATTTAGTAAATTAGACAACAATATATATAAAAAAAATATATACTTTCAAATATCAAAACGGCAGACGTGGCCAAATGCATTTGTAGATAGCCAAAATTCGATACCTGTCCTATCCACCACTTAGGCCTTAGTGAGTCCCCATCTCGTGTACGGTAGGTAAAGGGGTCTCAACGTGCACAAGCCCAGGTCTGATCAAATACATACAGGTATCCGTTCACTGGCTCTTAAGCTATCATACATTTAAGTTAATATAAGTCTGCAAGGATTTGTTTATCTTGACAACAATCTTGATAGAGAAATGTGTATTAGTCTAGTTAAGCTGAAAATATCAATCAGATATAATTTTATTGTTTTATGGCAAATGTCCAAAAGGTCCAAATTCTTAAATCATAGTTTGGACAAGTACTAACGATCGACGTGAAATGTATATAAAGAAGTAAAAGTTGACAGAATATAATACGCAATGAGAGAGCCCAGGTCTTCATTCAATTTCATCTGTGAAATAAAACGTATTCATACGAACTGTTGCGAACTTGAACCATGATGTTTATAAACTTAACTCGTACACATAAAAAAAGAATATTTTCGGTTTCCTACGCGTTATTTTATTTCTTTAAAACTACATACTCCCGACGCTTCGGTTATTTTCAAATTATATAATTACCGCAAAAACCAAAATCAGTATCAGTCAATATAAGAAAGCAGTATTCACAATACTCTGGATAAATTAAATATAATACTCCTTGAAAAATTATGTAAGCTAAAGGGCCACCGCGTCGTAAGGTTATTTTTTACATTATCGTTTAATTAGTATCCGTTAGCATCAATGAATTAAACACCGAATGTTCCTTGGCTTCTCATTCTTAGATCTTCGTATCAATGATAATATTGGAATAATTATTTTTACTGTTGTAGTTGGAGGACATTCTATTAGTTTTATTCATTTATTCTTTTTTAACTCATAGAAGTAACAATATAGGTTCTATCAGCGAACACAATAGGCGGACCAGGTGGACAAAGGTCAGAGATCTCTCGCTTCCACATGGGATGACCGGCAGCGAGAAGTGTTGAGTCGTAGTGGCATTTTTCTGCAAGTAGTGTGAGGTGGTAGAGCCTAGCTGTGGTCAAGTTACTACAGCTCGAACATGGGTTGGCTCAATCATGGAAGTACCACACTCTCACAGAAGATCGACGTGAAGTAGCCTTGTATGGCTTCGTTTCGTCCGATGAGTGTGAGAGCCTTTCCCTATTCCCACCCTTTCCTATCCCTAAAGAAAAACAAGGTTGGGAACGCATCCGCACCAAAGATGTTGCGGATGTCCATGGGCGACGGTAACTACCTTCCATCAAGTGGGCTATCCGCTCGCTTGCCATCTTTCACACGAAAAAAAACTGCATTACATATTTTACAAGTGGACCGAGTCTCTTTGTAGCTGCCGTTGTCCATTGCACGTATGTATCTTTATAGAAGTAATAGAAATATAATACCTGTTACTTTTGTAAAAACTATTTGTTTTCATCTAAAGACTTATAGTATAAACCCCCATAAATATAACATTTATTCCTTGAAGACTATTGTGACATAATGTTTAAAACCAGTAATAACCTTTGACATTATGTTTTATTATCAGCAAGATAAATATAAATAGATTTTTAATATTACATCATCTCTAGCTTCAATTAATTATATATTGACTATGAATTAGTTGACCGATATTTTTGTAACAGTTAACACTATTTAATCAGTCTTTGTTGAGCTGACGTCTAAGTGATAGCGCAGTTGTAAAGTGTGCTGGAGGGAGACGGTCACGGTGAAGTGCAGCTGAGATTTTGTAAAAGAAAACATGAGTGAAGAAATAAAATTATTTACTCGAGAGGAATTGAAGTGCAGAAACTCACGTGAAGATGCCATTCTGATAATCCACAATGGGGTTTACGACGTTACAAAGTTCTTAGATGAGGTATGTCTTTATTATGACGTGTATTATGAAGCGTTTTTTGTTGAGTAATTTTGGATTAACTCAGTACTTCCTTTACATATAAAAGTATTTTTACATTATTATATATAAAATAATTCCCCCGAGTCGGTTATTACCATGTTTGTTAATAAGGTTATCATGATGTTACATTAGTAAAGTGCAATGTAAATTACGATTATATCAATGGATTGATAATAAATATTATCAGTATTCCGAGCACACGTTTTTAAACTTAAATATCTTAGTACAACTGAATACGCAAATAATAAACATTATAAATGGGTATGTTAATGTTTGTTATCACTCTATACCAACAAGTATATTTATTAATATAAAAAATTAGAGACTTTAAAATAACTGAAGTACAACAGTATTTAATATACTTGATAATTATAATATTATTTATTTATCACACATATAAAACATATATAAAATGCTTTTCTGAAACTTATATTTTTGAGATATCTCTCCATGTAGTTTGTGATTACATAAATTTTTATGTTCAATATTATCTATATTGCACACATATACATATCATGTTGCAGTAGGTTAATGTATGTCATAGTCCAGTGTTCATATAAGAAGAAAAACTTGTATATTTTTACTTACTATCATCAATCAATCATATCAATATATTATATATCTTTTTTGGGTAACTGCACAATAAAGTAACTCTTTCTGCCATTCTACTTTTTATTTTTCTACATCTTTGTGGACAAATTCCATCCTAAATTGTTAATTTTCCAATTTGTTATTTGTTTTCTAAACTGTATAACAATTATATACTACTGTATAACAATTGTATATATCTCTTCTTAGTTTTTTACCTGTCTTCAGGCAAAATATTGTCTTATAAGTTCAGGTCATAGACCAAAAAGGTTGTATCAATATTTTTTATTATATTTTGATACTCTGTATTGCTGCTTTTATTAATATAATATGTGGGTTGAAACTTCTTACAGTTTTAATCAAATATTAGTTTGGTTCAGTATTTTTCTATATCATCTTATTTTACAAGTCTTTCAGTATAATACTATATATAATTTTATTTTCCATATATGTATATAATGAGTATATACATATAATATTGATTGTGTCTGTCTTTTTATAGACATTTTGATTAGTCTCTGTGATAATGTGTTTAAATTAGAATGTATCTCTTAACTATCATTAGTCACACTAAAAATTGGGTTTGGTAAATTTCTTAATATCCACACACATGTGACATTTGGAATATGGTTCCTTCTTAGAATTCCCCTGACACTCATATCATAGGATGTCTTAGAAATTGAGAGTAATCATAATGTATCTACATTAAGTCAGCTATCCTCTATTTGGTTGCTTTCTGAACGAAATAAAAAAACATATTGTCTTTGAAGTCAAATCATACTCTCATGGTTTTCATAACATATATGTACCATATGTAAATAAATAATGTACCTACCTTATATATTTTTACTCTGTCAGTTTAAAATGTGAAATTAAAAATCATCCAATAAATTATTTTAAATATTTCAACATTAATTAAAAGATGAATTAGAATTGAATAATTAACATAGTTTGTTGACCTTATTCTGGTGTATTAGAATAAGTATAAAGGAAGTCTTTTGTGGAGCAACTTATGATTTTGTATTCATTAGTTGTTTTGTTTTTTATTAGATTTGAGGTTGTAAATCGAATATTATTATTCTAATTTTTAATAATTTATTATTCTTTAGAAGAGTTTCCTTGACGAATTTAACTCTTTAATTCTTCATGAGAAAAAAATAACATTAAAAAACGAAATAATATTGTTAAAATAGATGAAATAAAACTCTTTTTTAATCACTTCCATACATTTAATCAAACATCAGCCGACAAAACTATGATACGACTGTTCACACACAGATTAAAAAATGTTGCTAAAAATTAAAATAGATTATAACATTTACTTAAATTCAAGAAATCTTTATATATATAATTCTTCTGTGAGTGTGTATGTCACTGAACTTCTCTCAAACGACTGGACCGATTTTGATGAAATTTGTGTGTGTTCAAGGGAATCTGGGAATTGTTTAAATTTACAAATTTGTCCGCTGGACAATGTTTTTTAATTTATTAGTAGTTATTGATACAAACTTTTTTTTTTATATTAGATTTGGCAACTTACAAATATGTCAATCATTCAATCGCACTTCAAAACACGGTGATTTATGGCTTTAATAATTAAACTCCAAAAATATAAATAAAAAAATGTAACATATATTTCTTGATTATAGGGCATGGGGTCTTCTAGTATAACACACTGACAGAGTTAGATTAGCATTTCTATGTATGAATCAGAGCTTATCAATGAATGGTACTACCTAGCATCAGATACTTCAGACATAGTTCTAATGATGCTTAGAAAAAAAACCAATTGTTTCAATTAAAAGTAAAAAATAAAAATACAAATTAGTTAATAATGAAAGTTCTTATATTTTATTGTCTTAAAACAGTAATGGACTATTGTGTGTTGCGTGTTTTAATGAATGAATAATATGTATTGACATTATTACACATCATCGTAACCCAAATTAATTACTTTTGTTTTTTTAACCTTTCAATCAAAATTACAAACCTAAGTAATGGAAAGGGGTCATTCAACATTATTATGTCATCATTTTATAACGTGTGGATCCGTCACGTCGGTTTTATTAGATTTGATGCGGATAAAGCATTTCCTCGGCATTCCAGGCTTCACTCCGGCCTTTATTAGAAAATACCTTCGCGCCATCCATACCAACGCCCTCATGAATGTTAATTTCTTTGCAAACTGGTGTCACTGTGACATCATACTTCCAATAAATATTAAGGGTTTGTCCTATCTGTTAATCGTTTATCAATTCATTATTCAGTATCGTAAATACGTCACAGATCTTCTTCTAACGTTCGTGCCGTATATGATATGGTCTTCTTAATAATGAAAGTTACAACATGAAGTGTTTTAAATGCCCAGTGTAAAGGTCGTCAACACAAGCGTGGCCAGTGCCAGGTTCACAATTCTTGTATTGTAGAATGTGGGCATGTATATTTTTTTTGGCAATAAGTTTGAGTTTGAATAAGTATTTGTATGTTCGTCTCTTGTACGACCTTCACATCTTAACCACTCGGTACAGCGTCATTTCATTTCATAACTACCAACGCTTAGGAGGTTAACAGGTCTTATTGTGTATAAAAACGATAATTAAGTTTAAACGTGCAAACGATACCGAAGGTCGCCGTAAAAACTTGGTATTAAAAATGATTATTTTTATTAAATTATATTAAATTACTCGATAACCCGCTTCAAGACAAAATATTCACATAAACATTCAATTTACATTTATGAATTCCTGCCAGGGTGAACGATCGCTTGTCCGTTAAATAATTCGCAGATATTCTGATCTAGATATTACTTTAATGTTATATTTGATATCCTCGTCTGTGACAGCATCCCGGCGGAGAGGAGGTGCTCCTGGAGCTGGCCGGACGAGACGCCTCCGAGCCCTTCGAGGACGTGAGCCACAGCAGCGACGCCAGGTACGACACCTTCTACTAGTCATAAGGACGCTCTGTCACTCAAGCGCCAACTACCACAAACACCAGAAACCTTCGCTTTATTTATTACCCTTTACAATATAGTTATTGTGATCATCTCGACCTATGACCCGCGTTTTCCAGATCTCTGATGAAGAAGTACAAAATCGGCGAGCTGGTGGAAGCGGACCGCACCCCCAGTAAGGCGCACGTGGCCACCTGGGACAACGATACGCGCCAGGAGCCCGGCAAGTGTGTACTGCAGTAGATACCACCATCACAAGCACCCACCACCCACACAGACACACTCACATTCACACCACTAACTCCTATCTCTCGTGGTAACCGTTTGCCCAGTCCGGCACATGGCTCTGTGTAGGTGATCGTAGTGTTAAGGTGTGCAGAGTACAGACCAAATGTAATCGCTTGTATTTAGATCTGTTCCTCGCTTTATATATATAGAGTTTATTTTATATTGAGATGTATTTATATATACACGAGTGTAGGTAGTGGAAATGATCTCTTGTTGTTATCTCACGAGGCTTGTTTAAGACTTTCAACGTTTGTGATATATATTGTTCGCGTTCCGTTCCCGCGGTTGGCAGAGGCTCGGTACACGCCGGCCGCGGGGTCGGACACAGTGAACGTTAGCGCCGCTATATATTTACATTTATATAGTAGGTAGTAGGTACATAATACATATTACGTTATCTAGTAGATGTAGTCCGCTACACGGTGCTGTATGTTTCTGTAAACCATTCGAATATATTTTGTGTTTATATTATCATAATAAAGTTCTTCGTAAAACTGATGTCTTCTCATTTCAATGTCGTCCATCTACTGATGCATCACACAGACCCATGTGCTCGTATGATAACATCTACTGTGCTTCTCGTTTGTGTTTCTCATCCTATCATGCAATGACCTCGGAGCGACCGGTGCGGACGTAGATTTATTACTTTGGTAAGTGAGACGGTAAGTATTTAATGGAACATGAACTTGTCATATGATAACAGATACTCATGGAACAATATCATAAAATTATCAAATCACTTTATTTTATTGAGACCAAAGATCTTCATTATTATCTTACATTATATTTCTACTCATTGTTATACTCACCAGTCATAACATAATATTTGCTTTACGTTAAATGACCGCCCAGTACCGGGCGATATAAAAATACGATCCGTACCCTTCTTTCAAGTTTACATTCTTGAACTAGACAGTTTATCTTTCATGAATCTTTACACATGAGAACATCTATGTAGGTTTAAAGTTAAATAAAACACTGGAAACGTACAGTATCTGGTTTGTCGATACAGACTTGTGGACTGTGGTAAGTTATTGTTTAGGTAACTAATCTACGCAAACGGCAACTAACACTACTAAGTTTCTGTCATTGTTATACATCTATGACTAAAATTAATAATCAGAAAGAGCCGATGGAATCTGAGCTTATAAAAATTCTATTTTGAAATTCATATTTTTTTTATATAAAAAACAGTTCCTACAAGTTAAAATGAATGGACACGAAATTTGCAATTCTATGAGAACGTTCTTGAATATCAGACAACACAAAATGAACTGCATTTGTATCACTTTGAATTCATCATTATGAAGGACGACGTATGTCTGACTTTTCTAGGGAGTATTTTCTTGGTTTAAAAATCTATTTGTAAACAAATTATTTATATTGTTTAAAATATTTATAGCTGTTAATATGGAGTACAAAAAATGTTGACAGGGTCTAATACAGCGAGACTAATTCTTAGAATAATATTAATATGAGAATAGAGATAATATTTTATGTATGTAAATAATACTTTATAATCATATAGGCATTTAAATGAAACTTAGATCTCATTATCACATAGACATGTAGGAGGGCATGTGTACTCATTTTATCATACAATGATATAGTCAATACTCCAAAATGTTTTTTATCGGCTGAAACGTAATAAATTTACCTAGACTATAAATATATTTTTCCCTGTCGAGATGTTCTAACTAGTATATAACTTTATTTGTGTCAGTTCCTGGAGCTCGTGGTTGGTGCCGCTGGTGCTGGGCGTCGCGGCCACTCTCATCTATAGATACCTGTTCCTCTAGGACACTACTGTCACGAGCCGAGACACCGCTCTCACACTGACTGACGTTGACAATACAGATGGACTTGTACATATTGTAACGTCACAGAAATATATTATCGTGTTAATATTTCTTACAAGAGATATGTATGTGTGTGGATAATTTATATATTCTGGTTTGTTTTTTTTTTGTAATGTCACGTGCATCGCGTGTGTATGATTATCCCAGACAACAAAACAGCTTTTGACTTCTGTTAGTACAAGCTATACCTAAGTATATTTTTGTAATAGTTTAGTTCTATCTCAACGTTTGTAATAAAAATCAAGATTGTAAAGTTGTTTATAATTTGATTTCCATATTGTTAAATGTATAATATTGTGTAATACTATTTACAATATTTTTATTCTTACTTCCGTAATGAAAAAGATGTGAAATCGTCTGAGTTTACAATGCCTGTAACTGCAGTTTGTCTTTGCAATAGAGATAGCCTTTTTCTTAACATAATAGTATATATCAAAATATATTTTTATTTCTTGGCATCATAACCCAATTGTGTGAGAAATATTTTCCTTATATCGTGATATTTTGTTCTCAGACAAAAATAACAAATGCCGTAATCGGCATTCATATTTGTATTTAATTACTATACATGTAATCAAAGTTCATGTAGCACGTTATTACTGTATGTTATTTACGACTCTTGACAATGTAATGTTGTAATATCTATGTGGCTAGTACACACTACCAACACAATGATGCTACTGACCTAACATTAAATTTATTCACGACTTATAAATAACTAGCCTAAACCGAGACATTGTTTTCTTTCGATAATATTAATTATTTATTGTCTACTGATATAGTCTAGAGTCTAGACTCTAGACCATTTAAATACCTCATGACATTGTATGGCAGCTGGGATTTGCCTGAAAAATATATATCTAAAGTCGCACAAGCTAATCATGAGTGGACTATAGATTGTTCATATATAAATAAGAGGTGTTTGGTTCTGTTGCCTTCACTGGTTTTTCTAATGGGTAAATGTTAAGGTGCTAAATTATAAATTTCTATAAATGGCTTACAATTAGTCTAAAATAAAATCAGTTTTTTTTAAATGTGGACATATGAATGATTGTATTTATTTCTCATTTATTCTAAGATGTTGCTATTTATAAGTATTCAATAGACCACTGAGTAACTTATTACAAAGATCATATTTTATATGGGAATAAAAGGTACAGTTTTTAAATATGTTTTATTTACTTCTGTTAAAAAAATATTTCCCTTATTTCCTAATTATCACAATTTAAATAATTCACAAACAACATTTATGCAATAAAATCATTAACTATAACAAGACACACAGACTTCAACACCTTCTGACCTGGAAAAGAAATAATATTATAAAGTTACATATAATGATCAGTTCGAATAAATGTAACTATTTAAAATCATATAATATACATATATTAAAAGAATATAGTACTAAGCAGTGGCGGCTGGTGGGTTATCGAACTGGTGGTGCACTTTAATAAAATATTAAAATTAGAAAATGCAACAAAAAACCAATTTACATAAAATATGTTTATTTTTTAAACATTAAATCAATGCGAAGACATTTTTATGAAGCGAAATGTTTAATCACCTTTTTATTAAAATCGGGTATTGTTTATATAATTATTTTTTTCAATACTAAGCATAGAAAGTGCATTTAGCAAGCGCATGGTATTTCGGAGAAAAGTTTTGATTCAATTCCAATTCGTCATACATCGGGTGTTCTCGGTAATGTTCGGCCGCTCGTGCGGCGCTCGAGAACCGACTCATTACTCGGTACATTTCTATGAACTATCTTTTGTTTCACGCGTGAGGCGTATTAATGCGTATCTCATACAAGATGTATTAGCAGTCCTTGTGCACTCGCCATAGCGCACGAGATATTAGTTCAGTAAAGCGCACAAACTTTTTGACTATATTTAGAAATTTAATTTTTTATACGTTTTTCTATGTTTAGGAAATAAATATTAAAATGGTAATTTAAAAATAAAGATGAAGTAATATTTTGTTATTTTTAAATCTTTTGAATTGGTGGTTCAGCGCACGAGTGCACTTAAGGTACAGCCGCCACTGGTACTAAGTGATCTTTGAGCATCTTAATCAAGACACTTAAAATATTTCTTTAATACAAAGCTTCTGAAATAAATTATCAAGATTTCATCCCATACAAACATATATATAATAATTAATAAGAGAATGGATTTAAAAAATTATGTTACCCGACAATGGAGCACTTGGTACAATAGTTGTGTTGACACAGAGCACATGGTCTCACACAGAGACTGCACAGAGACTGTTCACAGTACTGGCAGGACAGGAGGCTCACATCACCGCACACACAGGGCTTACATACATCTGGACACACCTGGAATGATAATTAATATGTAATAATATATAAACAGTCTTTAGTGAGTCTTTTTATAGGAATAATCAAATAAAAGTATATTTAATGATACAACAGAAATCGTAATACAAGAATGGCAGTTATACTTCCATATCTTATGAGTGTTTTAGAGTTTATTTAATACACATTTAAAATGCTGAAACTGATGTATGACCTAGTGGACTAAAACTCATATTAAATATTGATAAATATAAGATTTAATAAAATCTAGTCTTGAAAATAATAATTTGTAAATCGTTGATTAAGAGCCTGTTCTCATGATATATTATATAAATGTTAAACTAGTACATATTTACCAAAGTTCCAGAATGTGAAAGAGTCCCATTTTTGTCAATAAATAATTGTTTCATTTTATTTTTTCTATCAATTGCTATACCATTGATTTCATGAATTGAAGTATTATTGTTATTGTTTTGAGATTTTTTAGCTCCTTGGAAGAGCTTTTGCAAGGTTTTCTCTGAAAAAGATAAAGATAAGATAAATATACTTTATTGTACACTGAAACAAAAAAATACAAGAAGCAACACAACAAATTAGAAAACACAGTACAAAAGGCGGTCTTATCGCTAAAAGAGTGATCTCTTCCAGACAACCTTTGGATAGAGGACATTGAATACTAAGAAAGGGGTTCGGAGGTGTACACCTTTTAGGTAAACCATATATACACAAACATAACATATCTACATAACATACATACATACGATTAATATATGTTATATATAACATATAAATATGTGTATAAACAAAATAATACATATGTTATATAGACAAATTCAAATACATAAAAATACATACTTATACAGGTTGACTGGTGAATTACTATCAATATTTAAGGAGAATACTCGGTACATGATTCTCATTCGAATTATGTAAAAAAAAATAGGTACTTAATTTTTTACCAAATTTCCGTATAAATAAATAAAGTGTGGACACATTCCAAGTTTTCCAAGTGTGGACGCGTGCGGCGGCGTGCTGATACAACACCACGCCGCCGAACGCGTGTGTGTATGTGTATACCTAATCTGTAGGGTGTTCACACGATGCGTAATTAATTACATAACTTTTGGTTAAGTTTACTTAGAAGTTTATTAATATTTATTTTATATTAATTTTTATTTTGTCATATATGATCATCAAATATCACGTCCTCAAGTATCGATAGTAATTCACCAGTCACGCTGTATATAAAGTATTATTAATATAATTAAAGTATTATTATTGATAATATAGGCCGTACTCCATCTTTAGAAGGAATAGTAGATAGCTTTTTGAACGATCTTAACAAGGTAGATAGCCAACTGATAAGTAACGTCAAAAAAGCGTGGATCTACGAGAATTACTTAACTTCACGTTTGAATTGGCCTTTCCTCGTCTATGATTTTAATAAAACCCTTTTGTCAAAGTTAGATGCAGGCGTCATAAAGATGTTAAAATTGTGGCTCGGGCTCGCTCTAACGGCTGATTCATCGGCGTTATTTAGGGGAAGCAATAGTTTTGGGATGAGTCTAAAAAGGCCATCGGAGCTCTATAAACACCTAAGAGTTTCCAAGAGATATATCCTGGGGAAATCCCATGATGACATAGTGACATCGCTCCCAAAAGATGAAGATGCCCCCGAGCTAGAGTCACGACTTCAATTCCATAAGCAATTTATGATAGGAGCACAAAGTAACAGAGCGGGGTTAGGATCAAATAGGAAAGTCCAAGATGCGGATATATTGAAGTCTTTTATTCGGCAAGACGAGAATGATAAATATAAGATCCATGCAATGAATTTAGAAATGCAGAACGAGTGGTTAGACATAGGAGATTTTTGCATCCCATTAGCATTAAAATGGCGCACTTTAATTTATGATTGGTCGCCAGCATTGCTAAAATTCTATCTCAATGCGTTCCAGATGACTCTCCCAGATCAGAGTAATTTAGTAAGATGGGGTAAAAGTACCGAAAAAACTTGCTATATCTGTGGAAAGGCAGTTGGAACTGCTAAGCATCTGCTGGTGGGATGTAAGGTACTCCTGGACAGCGGTCAATACTCGCGTCGTCACGATAGGGTTCTAGAAGTCATACGTGAAGCGGTTAGTCTTTCGGTAGCCAGAGCGCAAAAGGAAATAACCACAAACGAACGATCAGTAGGTTTTGTGAGAGAAGGCACTAGGGCTACAAAATCAAACGTCAAGCCTTACTCCATCCTTAAAGCGGCGTCGGATTGGACTATAATGATGGACACGTATGAAAAGCAATATAAAATCCCCGAGGATATTTGTGCGTCGGCCTCCAGACCGGATATATTTTTGTTTTCGCGAATTTTAAAGCGCGTAGTGATGATAGAGCTTACGGTCCCTTGGGAAACCAACATCCCCAAAGACCATACCATCAAGGTCAACAAATATTACGAGCTCACAAACGAACTCACTCGAAATAGGTTCGTAGTAGATTTGTACGCGGTAGAGGTGGGAGCGAGAGGTATAACAGCGAAATCTCTCTACAACCTACTAAAGGACTTGGGCTTGTCCAGAACTCACATTAATGCATTCTTGGAACGTATATCGAAGGCAGCCCTAGTAGGTTCTTTTCAAATTTGGTTAGGTAGGGAGAGGAGCTTGGACAGTGGAGGTGAGCGTATAACGCGCGTTAGTTAAGGGGCCCCTTAAACCTACACTTGGGTCGCAAGTCCCAGGCACTGTTGAAGCTCCTCTCCCTGCAACGCGATGGACCCGGCACCCGCACGGTGAATCCATGGAATGCTTAGTAGTTTCGTCTTTCATAAATAAAAGTACAACGATTTGCAATTACAAATGTTAGTGTTTTAGAAGCTTCTTAAAAGCAGCAACGGATTGTGCACGTCTTATATTTATGGGCAAGGAGTTCCACAAGCGTACTGCTTGGACAGAGAAGGATTTAGTAAAGAAGGAAGAAGTATGGGAAGGAGTTTTAAGTGTAAGGTTTAGTTCGGAGCGAAGACTGCGGAAATGGGAATCACTAAGGAATTGGAAGGACTGTTTTAGATAAAAAGGGGCATTGGGGTTGAAAAGTATACAGTAGAGAAAATATTTATATAGTTAAAAATTTCAATAAGCAATGACTGTTTCGTAAGGAATTGATATAATTAAAGTTAGACGTACCATAAACCTTCTTCAGCCTGTCTTCGTTGTTGTTGAATTGTTTCAAGTTGACGAAAATTTTACTTTGTTGTATAAAATCTTCACTATAAGGGTTAGCTCTCTTAGCCATGATTTAATATTTTTGAGATGCTGCGATAAGTTTAACTAGAACCGTCGGGCATAATTATTATAATAATATCGAATTACCCTTGTTGATTTAGCAAAATCTGTTAACAATTATTTATCTTCTACCTTACACTGAAAAGTCACAATATAGAGGCGGACGTGAGGCAAGAAAATTTTTCCTATAATAAGTAAGACCATGTATCAAAGAATATGTTTTAATTTAAAAAATGTTTTCAAATGATTATAAACATAATAAATAATTTAAAATCAACAGGACTATTAATCATGACACATTGAAACATTGACATTTCCTTCGTGGATTTTAGTGATTTGACATTGTGGAATCCGTACAACAGCTACTAATCATATTCATTTATTGTAAGAATTGATGTACTTACCGATTTTTTTTAAATTTTTACCTAGTTGATATATAAAAATAATTAATTTACACAGTGGGCTCCAGTGATTAAATATTTTTTTTAAATCAGCAATACCTAATTGTGGTTTAGTTGTGTGTATCCAATTTTATGTTACAGAATTAGCATGGCTACACTGCCAACAGGGCACCTTCGATCGGTGTGTCGCTGTCAACATATTTTTGATTTTTGAGCAAGTATAAATAAAATAATCAAATTAAACATTAATATTCCCAAACACGTTCTCTTATTCGTAAATCTTCTCAGGTACTGTAATCATGTGTAAGGTTTAATGCAGAACTTAAGTAGTGCATAAGTGAAAGTGTTTTCAAGTCGTTTTCATTCTGTTATAGTGTCGATGTTGTTCGTCGCAATCTACCATATGTAAGGAGCTCTTGACCGAATGTTACGTAAGCCGCGATAAATATGTCGTGGATGAAGCGGCCGCAAAGCGGAGCTGCGTCGAGACCTGAACATCCTGGCTATGCTGCAGCCGCCAGTCAGGTGAGCCCGGTGCAGGTTATATATCCTTGTAGATTGACGTAAACAATGACGTGGTACAATGAGAAGTATTCTTATATACCCTTCACGTGATTTGCTGACAATTCCTCAATAAATATCAAATGTTTACTTTGTTGTACATATATGAATTTTTTCACTATAATTGGATACAACCTGTTAATATATTATTATAACAAATTTTCAGCCATATGGAAATCAACAAAATATGTTTCCAAATTACCAAGGGGTGCCTCCCCAGCAGCAACAACAAATGTGGCAAGTGCCACAACAACAACAGCAGCAGTACAACCAGCAATACGGTCAAGTTTATCAACAACAACCATTTGTAAACAACACTAGCCAGTACTTTCAACAACCCCAACAATACAATCAGAATTATGCAAATCAAAATTATGACAATACACAGCAGGGCTTACAACAGAACTATTATCAGAGCCAGACACCTCAAGTTCAAAACTATAGTCAGAATGAAGGAAACACAGATGGCTGGGAGGATAACTGGAACTGGGGCTGGGAAGACTCCAGTAAACAGCAACAGAAGCCTGCCAGTGAGGTGGCATTGAACCAAACACAAGTCCAGCCTCAACATTATAATAATGCTAATGTTTTAGAGGAAAGTTTCACTTCCACTAATACTTGGAATTGGTCTGTGGAGGACAAACAGCAAAAAGATCTGCAGCTAAGTAATGATGTTCAGTATGATGGAGACCAGCAGGCTCAGGGAACAAGTGTGGACAACGAAAACAATGATCACAGCACCGGCATGGGGACTTCTAGCCAGAGAAGAGTGAGCAATGGTTCAACTCATGAGGTTACAAAAGAAGTGAACAATGTAAATGACTTGGGAGTTAACAAAGATAATCTACCTAATATATCACTAGGAAAACGATTCAATTTAGAAAATTTAACACCCCAGTGGTCAATAGAATCCCAGATGTCTCAAGATTCAAGTGATCTGCAAACTCATTCTGAAGAAACATATAAAAGTGAAAACCAGTCTAGGAACTCCAGTAAAGACAGCCCCGGCCCACATACTGATACATCCAATTTTAATTTTTCTCACTCTGGACCTCATGAGAGTGGTGTTATGAATAGTGAATGGTCCAAGCAGTCTACCGATGACTCCCTAACAGTTAGTGTATCAAATAGTAATTGTCGGCAGAGCTGTGATGAACTTGCTAATTCTGTTCAAGAGTTGACCTTAGCTAATAGAGAGAGTGCAGATCAGGGATCAAGTCATCCAAGCCAAAGTGTAGAAAATGTAGTAGGACATGTGCCTGAATCTAATCAGTTTGTTTTACAACAGACTTCAATGCCACCTCCACCACCTGTCTCTTCATTACACAATCCTCAGGCTTCTCAAACAACTGCACCATCATCTAACACTGCTCCACTCCCGCCCCCCTCTCTCACATCTACTCCTTCGTCAACCCCGGCGTCAGTATCCTCTCAACAAATACTTCCACCTCCATCTGCATTACCTGTTCCTCCAATGACGAGTTTCTCTACATCAACGGGCCAAAATCCCTTCAAAAGTTCTAACCCTTTCTCACACAAAAACATTGCCAAAGTTGCCTCAACCAACCCTCAGTTATTCCCACCACAAGTGCCTGGGACCGGCTTGGCCTCTCCCGCAGCCGTTAATAAAGTAGTTCAACAAGAGAGACTGACTACAAGTTATGGAGTTAATTTAGAGACCACGCCCGATAACTCTGAGAGGCCAGACCAACCACAACACTCGACTTACAGACAATTGCCAGTTAACTCTCAAATTCCTGAAAATTTAGAAGTAGCGCCGCAGAATGATAGAAACGAATATTTGCAGACAGCTCATCTTTCTATTGCCGATTATGGAGAAAATACAGACTTCAGCGGCAACATAGCTCCTCCTGGACTGAGACGGATGGGAGTCGGCCAACAGGACCAAGAATATAATCAGAATTTAAATATTTCCGGGGACGAACCACCTCCCGGCCTAGCCCGAATGGTCCCCGGTCAGCAAACCGAAAACGATAATACGTACAACCAGAGAAGCGACGACTACATGGACCGGCAGATAGACGGCCGGCCGACCGACACCGGCGGGCGACCATACAGGCAGGCCGAGGGGCAACAGACTGCAGATAGCTTCTCACAACCCGCCGCCAGGAACACGGAGCGGAGACCGGTCGGCCTGGACAGGATGGTGCCCGGCGAGCCCAGCAACGACGACTTCCCGCAGTACCAGGCCGGTGGGTTCAGTGGACCCAACGATCACAGGGTCGTCACCGGAGTCGACCACGACTACACTATCACCGGCGAGGTCGGCCCCGCGGACGTACGGGAACAGAACGTCGACGGCTCCGACTACACGGAACCCGCGACGAGGATCACACAGAGGAGCGTCCTCGGCTCCAGAGTGGAAGACGACGGCGACCCCGGACCGGCCGACTACGGGGTGGCCGGAGACGAGCGACGGCGGGAGGTCACTATGGAGGGGGAGAACTTGCAAGATTTGAGTCTTGTTTCCTCCACCGAAATATCATTCTCTAGAGATCACACGTACGACGGCATCGAGCTCGGACCTGCCGACGAAGGCAAAGAGAGGACACACGATGGCGCGGACAACACCCAGAACAAGAACTCCAGGCAGTCACACGGCCGAGTGACTTCCGGCGAGGACTCGGACAGGGAGCGAGGAGCGAGGAGAGACAGGGACAAGACCAAGTCCTCCAGAGACCGATACAGGGAAAAGGAGAGGGGGAGGTACTCTCGGAGCGATAGGAAATATGATCGGGAGCCGGAGAGGAGGTCCAGCAAGGAGAGGCGAGCGGACAAGGAGCGGCGAGACAGGGAGCGGAGGAGGGGGGAGGAGAGTCCGGACGGGCGGCGACACAGGAGGAGCACGAGGAGCCACCGGTACGAGACGGAGGACACGGACTGGTACAGCGATAAGGAGCGGGAGAGGAGGTGAGCGGGGTGTGGGTATTCACTGGTCATGCGCGGGCTTTAGACGTCCGTCAGTGAAGTATTCTTATATTTTTTTTATTTTATTTGAATAAGCAACAAAAGAAAACATTATTACATTTATTTCATTATCAAACTATTAATAATAACTTAAATGTCCTTTTAATGATAGGCTATCACATCATGCAAAATATAATAATTGTAGTAAATCAAGATTTAAATTAAAAAAACAATAATAATTCAATTCAATAAAACATTACATAATAATCACTAACATTTACATAACTAATAACATTATTACAGGAAATACAATTTAACATTTCAATATACATAATTCAAAGTTTTAAAATATCACAAAATTAAATAAAAAAAATATATATTTTATTTTATTATAGTTATTGAAAAAAAAGCATTATGTGTAAAATAATACTAAATAAAAATAAAAACAGTATAAAAAGGTATGGACATGATTACTGAATAAATGTTTGCAAAGTTCTGTTAATGATCTGCAGTCTCCAGTTTGATTGTAATAGTTCGATAGACTAACGTGAGTCGCTTGGTTCAGAAAATACAGGGAGGGGTCGTATACATCGACGAGGCCGCCCCGGGGAGAGGAGCGCTCTGAGAGGAGGCCGGGGACCACGGACAGGGAGAGGGAGAGGGAGGGGAGGTACGAGGACGACAGGGGGAGAAGGGGGGAGGGGAGAGACCGGCGGTACAGACCCATCGACATGAGGAAGGCGGAGTCTGTGAGGAGGGACCGAGCCCGGGACGACAGGAAGAAAGGTACGCGGGGAGGGGGAGGGAAGAGTTGGAAATATATAGTGTGTACAGAGATATCTAGAGTAGAGTGGATTCATACGAGGGGAGGTCAAAAAGTTCGCGGAATGAGCAGGAAGGGGGTTGAAATTTAACACGAAACTATTTTTCCTTTTCAATATATTCTCCCTTAACCTTAATACATTTTTCAGATCTCTCAAATAATTTGTTTATACCATCGAAAAAAAATGATTTGTCTTGGCTATCAAAATAGGCCGAAATTGCGGACTTGACTTCTTCATCATCGCCAAATTTTTTGCCACGCAGCTCTTTTTTCATTTTTGGAAACAAATAATAGTCGCTGGGGGCTAAGTCTGGACTGTAAGGTGGGTGGTTTAATTTTTCGAATCCGCATCGGTGAATGGCAGCCGTCGCAACATGACACGTGTGGACTGTTGCGTTGTCGTGCAAAAGGAGCACACCTTTTGACAGCTTTCCTCTTCTTTTTTCCTTGATAGCTTCTTTCAATCTATCTAATAAAGAAGCGTAGTACTGTCCCGTTATAGTCACACCACGATCTTTATAATCGATCAGCAAAATATGTACCTTCTGTATCCCAAAAGACAGTAGCCATGATCTTTCCGGCCGATTGTGACACTTTAAACTTCTTTGGAGGAGCTGTACCTTTTTTATGCCACTGCATCGATTCTTGCTTCGATTCAGGTTTATAGTGGTGAACCCAGGTTTCATCACCAGTAACAATCCGGTCCATAACTTCATCCTTATTTTCCCCACAGAGCTTCAAAAACTGGCGAGAACACTCGACACGCTCGATCTTTTGAAGTGGCGTGAGCATTCTCGGAACCCATCTTGCACTGACCTTAGTCATCCCAAGATAATGATGTAGGATATTTAAAATGCTGGTTTCGGATACTCCAACCATTGCTGCAAGTTGTTTCTTCTTCAACCGGGCATCTTCCAATATAAGTTTTTCTACTTTTGCTACGATTTCCGGTGTGGTGGCCTCAATCGGTCGTCCGGAGCGGGGGTCATCTTCAATGGACTCTCTTCCTTGTTTAAAAAGTCCATGCCACTTGTAAACCATGGTTTTACCAGGGGCAGAGTCCGCGTAAACTGATAACAGCTCTTCGAAAATCGTCTGAGCGGATTTTCCTTGCTTTGTGAGGAACTTAATAACGGCGCGGTGTTCAATTTTCTCCATACTCACTGACTTCTTCCCGATTCACTTGTTTGCAGGTCAATAACTCAAAAGTTAATGACCCGATTTGGTTCAAACTTGGTATATATACTATTAATGAGGTGTTGAACAAGTTATTACCTGGACGAGTAAATCAACCCCCTCCATCCCCTCCATTCCGCGAACTTTTTGACCTCCCCTCGTATATCATGAGAGAGACGCGACGTGGAGCTTCACCGCGTAGAGTGATGAACGACTTAGGTGATGTTAATAATTTAAAGACGTTTCATTGTTTTTCAGTCGTTACTTTCAGTCCTGAAGCTAAAAGTGGTCCTGAAGGTACGAGTAACTTGTTGACGAGTTGTTGTTGCCTGTATGGACTTCCTGCATGACTAAACGGTCGACAACAACATCAGACTGTAGCGTCTCCTGGTCAAAGACACGGCTTACTAAAAATATATTCACAGCTTTATACATTCAGAGAGATGAACATCGTTAGGATCAGCCGCATGCGGCGTGTTGTTGAGCTGATCATCACGTTCACGTCGCGTAACATAACACCATGCTGTGTTATTCAACCGCTTCAACCCTCTAATATTACATTTAAATTTTGATCACTCAAGCATATTATCATAACGTGTTTTTTGTTAAGCTATACGATAATAATGGATCAACAAATATAAATACAGGAATGAGTTCCATTGATTTTCATTGTTCAATTTGACAGAGACGTACTCGTCGGGGTCACGCGGCGGGTCACGGGAGGCCACCGATGAGGAGCCGACGCGACGACGAGACGACCGGCGAGAGGAGCGACGACCGACCAGACAGAAACATTACTACGACGGTAAGATAGTGGGGGGGGGGGGTGAACAGATACTAGTGTGGAGGTATAAAATATATCCTTGTGTGTGTCGCTCGTCACGTGTTGTGTGTGTTCCAGGCTACGTGGTGGGCGGCGCGGGGTGGGACGCCCGCCGCCAGTACTCGTACTACGAGCACCTGCGGCGCACGGATCCCGCCGCCTACATGCACGTGTACAACCAGCTCATGGACCCGCGACACTCGCACGCTCTATACAAGCAGACCTACTACGACGGTACACTCACACCTTGAACCGATTATTTGGCTGTGGAGTATGTGTCATGACACGTGTGTGTGTGTGTGTGTTCCAGGGTACGGCGCGGGGTACGGCCAGGAGCGAGGCAGCGTGCACTCCGGGCGGTCCAGCGAGGCGGGGCTCAAGCATGCTGACACGTACGGACATACACATACATACACACACTACACTCACACACCACGCGGCTTACAGCCATCGAGCTTATACACTATAAGCTTATAGACGGTCCTTTTTGCTTTTTGCGATACAAACGAGCATGTGCACCGGCTTAAAACAGAGCCATGAACTCGGCCCTGTGTCACAATGGATCTTGGCCGAATATATTGAATATTATTTAGGTCTATAAGCACCTGAAAATGTCCTACTTCCGTTCCCGGGACTTCCTTCATCCTCACAATTCAACATTCCGATTTATAATATATCTATATAATGATGAGTATAACATGTATAGCCCAGTCATATTAGGTGAAAAATGGGGTCAACCTCGGAATGAAAGATAATAATGGTTTAAGATATTTTATTGTTTCATAAAGAATATTACATATTCACTTAAATGAAACTTAGAACTACTTTACAAAACTGTTTACATAAATATTTACATTTTTGAGCGTACGAAACTATGTTCTTAAATCTTATTAGGTGTACAAAATAAAAAATATATTTTACAAGTAATACAACAAAAAATAAATCAATAAGTGGGTAGTTTTGTATATCATCACGACAAAATGTTCACAGACAAATTACAACTAGGCCAGTGCAGATGCCTTTAAAAACAATGAAAAGTGAAAATAAATTATAGTAGAATGAAACAGGTTAGAAAAGGAGGGGAATATTATAAAAATTAAAGGAAAAATAATTTAGGGGCGATCTGAAGTCGGGAAGGGTATGGGGATGGGTATTTAAGGGTAAAATATGGGTTTTCTCGATTTCCAGAAAAACTAAGAGTCCTATTGAAAAATGTTATGTGGCAAAGTTGTAGGTAATAAAAAGATCTAAAACTTTTGTATTTACACTTTTTTCACATAACCTCAAAAATTATGTGAAAAACTCAAAAAACCAAGTATTTGGTTTTTTTATTTTTATCTCTTACAAAAAACAATATTTTGTCACGAAATTTGGTGAAAACTTTCCTTTTGATGTTACAAATGCACTGTAATTTATTGGATTAGAAATATTAATTTTTCAGCTTATTTTCAATAAATACTGAAAAATGAGCCTCATTTTCAATCGAAAAATCACCCGTCAAAATATCAGCTTTTTTAAAAATTTGGTATGTTTTCTATTTGTTGAAATCTCTATTTTCCGATGGTGAAGAAAAAAATATAAGTTTTTTACTTGCAGCACCAATTTTGGATAAAATAATCATGTCCCTTTTAATGAAATGACACTCGATATCATTTGGAAAATGCTCCTTCAATTTATTTTTATAGTTGTGTACTCTTACTTAAACAAGAAAAATTAAAATAAGTAACTTAAACAAGAAAACGTTTTCGAGCGACAACAAAAACAATTAAAATTAAAGGATAAACAATATTTACAATTTTATTATACCTAATTAAAATCAATTAAAAGTTCTTTTAATATTTAAACTGACATTTTAACAAATGTATAATATGGCATATTTAATGATAAATAAAGAGAAGCATAAAATATATTCCCTTATTGTCGTTTTAACTTAAAATATAACTACAATATATAATATACCACAGTTAAATAGTTGAAAATAAATAATTAAGTTACTTATTTTAATAAAATATAAACAATTAATAATTATAAGTACAAAAATAGTGGGCATTGTTTAATAATTATAATATATTAATAAATAATTGACTTTATACGATGTACTGATAACCGTAACTCACGCTTTACCTTGCATTGGACCATATATGACTGTGCGCTGCGCACTCTTCGCGCTCTACCGCAAGAACGGTTGATTGTATGAAAGAAAATTAAGACAAAAATTGGAGAGAATTTTATACTTTATAACTTTTGTTATGGGTAAAAATATCATTTAAGCTATAGAAAGCGAGATATTGGCGGAAAACGAATTTTTATGACCTTTGACCGTCAATATCTTAAGACGCGGACGAGATATCATTTGTGACTTTTAAGACATCAGTTAGAACGACAAAACAAAGGTTTATACCAATTTACAGCTTATTATCCATGATTCCGAGGTGAAACCCCTAAAATGATTGAGCTAATAATGTATTTCATTGGAACTTTCATACTAATACTAATCATTCATAACATGTAAATATCTGAGGACGGTGCATGGTACCGAGCCGCCTCCGACCTTATACAGAACTCTCGCTGTACATCGATATAATGTCGGAGACGGCGACGGGCTTCGCTTCACGGACACTGATGATGGAAAGGATCTGTTGGTGTGTGATGTAGGTACGACGGGCGGGGCCGGGACGCCGCGTCGCTCAGGACCGACCTCTCGGACAGGTAGGGGCTCACACACACACAGACACACGCTCACACACGCACGCTCACGCAGCTCATAGAGTCAGTTATACTAACACGACACTCGGGCAAGAAATCACGCTTTCAGGGCTCTGGCTAATGTTTGTGAAGTTTTCGTTGAGAACTATATGATATAATGTGATGTGATGTTTGTGGTCGGCAGGGAGCTCACCACCGACATGTCGCTGAACCTGCAGCTGGAGGAGAGCACCGTGCGCTCGGAGCGGATGACGCCCTTGAAGTTCAGCACCGCGCACGTCAAGGTATTCACACGGTGGATGTTCCGTGGCAACTATCACACCTCCGGCTGGTCGCTAACACTACTCCGTCCCTCCTCAGTGCTCGGTGGGGGCGCGCTCGCTGGCCGTGTGTCGCGGCCGGGAGCCCCGCGTGCAGCTGCTGCCGCTGACGGCGCTGACCCGCGACCCGCTGCGGGACCACATGGACGGATACCCCGGACCGCTCGTCAGAGGTAGGGGTCGACCGGCCGCGATGTATCTATACTCCAGCCACCTTCGATCTGGAATTTTAGTAAAGAAACCATGAGTCATCATAATTAGGGTTGATACACACTAGATAAAAAAAATATAATTATTATACTTACAACTATATTCATTATAACATAATTTCGTGTTTAAACACAAAAATTTTAATTTATATAGAATCCAAAAAAATATTTAGCCGGTCAATACATAATTTATGTAAAAATTAGCTTAAAATAATAGTTTAAAAATCTTTAATTACCACTATAATATTACTACAAGACTAACAACCCTATATTTTAAAACTGACGTAAAGAAATCGCAGGTTCGTAACATTTGGAGTGTTTTTTAAGCAATTGGCAGGTTAAGGAAGGTATATAATAGCGATACAGGCTCTTCGTAATTGGTGGTGTATATTTTTAGTCGTATTATAATGGTAGTATAACCACAACAGGTTAAGAATGTTAACATACCCAACGTTTCATTACACACAGATTAAAAAAAGACATCTTGTTTTGGCTAGCATAAATATAGCACTATAACCACTGTTTCAACCACATTTACAATTTATAATTTCTTCATATATACAGGGTGACTGGTGAATTACTATCAATATTTAAGGAGCATACTCGGTACATGATTCCCATTCGAATAATGTAAAAAAAATAGGTACTTAATTTTTGACCAAATTTCCGTATAAATAAATAAAGTGTGGACACGTTCCAAGTGTTCCAAGTGTGGACGCGTGCGGCGGCGTGCTGATACAACACCACGCCGCCTCACGCGTGTGTGTGTGTGTGTGTGTGTGTACCTAATCTGCACTCACACGATGCGTAATTAATTACATAAGTTTTGGTTAACTTTACTTAGAAGTTTATTAATATTTATGTTATATTAATTTTTATTTTGTCATATATGATCGTCAAATATCACGTCCTCAAGTATCGATAGTAATTCACCAGTCACCCTGTATATATGAGCTCACAAACGAACTCACTCGAAATAGGTTCGTAGTAGATTTGTACGCGGTAGAGGTGGGAGCGAGAGGTATAACAGCAAAATCTCTCTACAACCTACTAAAGGACTTGGGCTTGTCCAGAACTCACATTAATGCATTCTTGGAACGTATGTCGAAGGCAGCCCTAGTAGGTTCTTTTCAAATTTGGTTAGGTAGGGTGAGGAGCTTGGACAGTGGAGGTGAGCGTATAACGCGCGTTAGTTAAGGGGCCCCTTAAACCTACACCTGGGTCGCAAGTCCCAGGCACTGTTGAAGCTCCTCTCCCTGCAACGCGATGGACCCGGCACCCGTACGGTGAATCCATGGAATGCTGAGTAGTTTCGTCTCTATATATGAAGAAATTTTTGAAATTTTATTGCGGTTACATTTTAATTAATTTAAAAAAATATTTTTTAACGCAAATAAAGTTAATAGAAACGTAACTACGTAATTTTGTTGAATAATATGCCCGCCATAATGTTTGTTTGTTTTGTTGTTAGCTTTGCTTACAATTCGCGAGTCTTTGATTCTGGTGTTCTTCCGTTCTGTTATTAATTGTTAGATTTTGTTATATGTAGTTATTTTGTTTTAATTCGTTATTGTTATAAGTTTGTTGTTATCAAATATTGTTTATATTAGATTACGATGAGTAATACTGAATACCCTGGTCCGAGTGGGATTGTATCTGTAGCGATGTATAAAGTTAATAAAGCGAATTATATAACTACGAGGTAATTTCTGATATCATTTTAAAATTGGAGGTATTATTTTTAAGATCTAAATTATTCCAGATGATCATAAGTATTATTATTATAACCAAAAATTAGTCTTTTATCTTAAATATTTTATTATTAATGATCAATTTTTATTTTTATTAACATCAAAAATAATTGTTGTACATATTTCTAAAAATGTTTTGAGCACCTGCCTGACGTTGGTTGCTAAGCAACGCTTTGTTATTAAACATTCCACATCAAATTTGGCTGGAGTATAGTGTATAACGGTGTTTGTTCGCAGGCGTCACTCACAAGAAGAGCGTCGTGGAGTACTGCGAGAGACGAGCGAGAGAGGCAGGAGCCGGCGCGGGCGAGGGAGCGGCCGGCGGGGACTCCACCGGCGCCGTGCTGCTGTGGGACCTGCTGGCGCTGCTGCTGCGGCAGAACGGGGTGAGGGAGATGTGACGATAGGGACGGGGGGGGGGGGGTCAGCGGGTAACGGGGACTTAACGAACAGTGTGTTACTGACGCAGGTGGTGGTGGGGTCGGATGTGGCGGAGCTGCTGATGAAGAACACGCGGGCCTTCGAGTACAAGGAGCCGACCTCCGAGAACACTGGTGAGTCGAGGACGAGGGGGGAGGGGGGGTGACACGAGCTGGACTCATGTGTGTTGTCCGTGTTACAGACTGCGGGAGCTCACTGGCCGAGGATGGAGAAGGAAACGCGAGCACCACGGAGGAGCTGCACCCGTTGGGTGAGACTCATACATAACTTACACGTGCTTTATAGTTGGAACTGTGGACAAATATTAATTTTTATGTTTTGCTTTTAATGACATTGTATGACATTTGGAAAGTATCCTTTACTTTGTGTTATATTTTTCTTTTTTAGTTTCCGAAGAACAGAAGAAACCGGCCGTCAGTGAGAAAGAGGCTCTCGACAAGTTCCGCGAATACCTTATATACGGCAACAGACAGGAGGCGCTGGGTGAGTGGAACTGTGATGAGTTGTGGAGGCTGACGTGTTGTATCGTGTAACGACTGACCCGACGTGCTCCGTGTACAGAGTGGGCCATGCAGTGCGGGCTGTGGGCGCACGCTCTGCAGCTGTCGTGGGCGGGGGACCGTCGAGCTCGCGCCGCTGTCTCCGCGCGTTTTGTGGCCGCACTCGGAGCCTCCGACCCGCTCCACTCGCTGTACGCCGCCCTCGCCGGCCGCGCGCCGCCCGCCCTCGCCGTCAGTACCGACACACCCACAAGTTGTTCCTCCGCCAGCCAGCCAGCCGACGATTCAGTAACATCACGTTCCATATGATTCCAGTGCGTGTCCGACGCTCGCTGGGGTGACTGGCGCCCGCACGCCGCCATCCTGCTGTCCAACACGTCCGCGCGCCCCGACCACGACAGAAGGAACCTCACTCAACTAGGTGAGGAGCCCCCCCCCCCCGACCTCGCTACACACTCCCCTAACACTGACTTATTTTATTTATTATTTATTTTAATTTATTGGGAAACAAACAGTATCACAACAATCAACTGAAATAATACATGCAATAATACACAAATCAACCAAGTTTCCTCCGATTACAAGTTCATTTAGAGCAAAGAAGAATAAAACGATTAAAATTAAAATACAAAAATTAATGACATTGAACAAAAATAATAATATTATCAATGAATTATGTAAATGGTACACTGACCTGTGACACTTGTGGTCGCACGTTTAGTGCTAAGATTGGGTACTTTAGCCATGTGAGGTCGCATCGCAGCTCTTAAATATTACCTATGTAATCTATAAAACAAAGCTAAGTCACCATAGCCGAATACGGCTGGGTAGATATATATTATCAATGAAAATTTAGACAATTATTAATAAAAAATTATAATAACTTAAAAATAAATTAATTACAATTTACAGGCATTACTAATTTCTTTTCTTATTTTATTTTTTGTACACATTGTAAAATCTATATTGGAAAAACATTTATTATATTTATCCCAGGCACGGAAAATAAAAAGTATTTTGAGCATATTTGGTTTTTGTGATAAGTAAATGAAAAAGGGCCTGATGAAGCGTATAAATTTTAGGACATCTAAAGCATATATTTATTAACAAATAGGGTGAATCTACAAAATTTTGAGTATCTTAAATAATTGATCTCTCTTTATGCGACGGTATTCTAAAGACGGAATGTCTGAAATATCTTGATTATGCGGCAAAAACTTATTATTAAGAGGACCTCGTATTCCACAATCACTTCGTTTTTCAATCAGTGTTTTATGTCTAAGAGTATCAAAGGCTTTACTATAGTCAATAAATATAATTATAACGTGTTCTTTATTATCTAAATGGCTGTAAACTTTATTAGTAAATGTAGAAAGTAATTGTGTGGCACTTTTACCTTATTGAAATCCAAATTGCTTGTCAGTAATTATGTTATTTTTCTTATAAAATGCGTGTATTTGTTTAGAAATAGACTTTTCCACTATTTTGTCTATAGCAGAAAGTATTGTTATTGGACGATAATTATTATAGTCTGTTTGGCTGCCTTTCTTATGAATTGGCCTTACTATACCCGTCTTTAGGTCATGATGGTAAGCGCCCTGTTTTACTGATGCATTAATGCAATGAGCAATTATGTCTGCTATATCGGTAGCTATTGTTTTTAAATCCTGTGGTCTAATGCCATCTATACCTGGTGCTTTATGGTTACTTAGTGATTATGGTTACTTAATGGAACATAACACACTGATAATAAATTGCAAAGTAAGACAGTTAAGTTTACGTGTTACTGCGTCAGTGAACGAAAATGAACTGATGATATTTATGGAATATTTATTTATGTATCGTATATATACATATACATATATTTTTTTTCTATTTTTTATGTATTAAGTAATTTGTACACCCCTACCATCCTATCTCTCTCCTCTACCAAAGGTTGCCTGGAAGAGATCGCTGTTTTAGCAATGAGGCCGCCTATTGTACAATTTTCTTTTCTTTGTTTTTTGTTTTACTCCTATTATTTTTGTCTATATTGGTGTGCAATAAAGAGTATATAAATAAATAAATAAATAGATGGTAATTGAAGTTAATATCTTTGTGTCTCCTCTGGTCCCAGGCGACACCCTCCACGGCCGCGGGCTGATCTACTCGGCGCAGTTCTGCTACCTGTCGGCCGGCGTCCCGTTCGGCGTGCACCCCCTGGCGCCGCTGAGCGCTCGGCCGGCCTCCTCCGCCGCCCCGCCGCGCCTGTCCCTGCTGCTGGCGGGACCCGCGCGCCACCTCCCTGCGCCACTTCGCCACGGACCGGGCCATCTTCGCCACCGAGATATACGAATACGCCCTCTCCCTGAGCCAGGAGCGCGTGCTGGACCAGCTGGTGGTGTACAAGCTGCTGCTGGCCACGAGGCTCACGGACGCGGGCGAGGCGGAGCGCGCGCTGCGGTACGTCGAGCAGGCGGCGCGCGCGCTCACCGCCGGCCCCCGGGGAGACGACACGCGCGCACTCGCACACGCCGTGGCCACACTCGCTGACAGGTAGCCTGAAAAGAAACGTCTTTGTAGCTTTAAGTCGTATTTAATAATAATAGAAGATTTAACATAACATAAAGAAAGCTTCTGCCAATGGGTGGTCCACCATATTTTGATGTATACATGAGATGTTTTATAAAGGATACTTTACACTACACTTAATTCTATAATATAGCATACACACTATATTTATTACACTTCACCTCCGGGGGTGAAAGAAAAAAAAAGGGCTTACACATTTTTTTTGTATACTACTTAACAAAAGGTTTTGTTCTATTCTTATGTACTGTCTATTTTATTATCTTTAATTATTTTAACATTTAATCCCATAGCTTCTAATACAGTAAACGGTCCATTGAAAAGTTCGTCTAATTTTCCACTTGTTTCTGATTTTACTAAAATTAAATCATCTTTATTGTAAACAACAGGATTAATATACTTATCATATTTAGTTTTTCTATTATATTTGCTATGTAACAAATTATTTCGGGCATCTTTATAAGCAACTTGCAACCTATATGTTCACTAACATAACTTTCAGGATTATACATAGGTTCTACTGTATTACATAATCGATTACGGATATTACATTGTCTACCAAATACAAGTTCAAACGGTTGGTATTTTGTTTCATTATGGACAGTAGTATTAAAACTAAAACTCCAGTATGGTAACCAATAAGACCCAGATTGCTTGTTTTTGTCGCAATAAATTCGTAAAAATGCTCCTGAATTTTAATGAGCATTCTCTAACGAACCTATTGACTCATGATGGTATGCTATTGATGTAATATTATGTTTAATAATTTACATACCTGTTTCATGGTGGCAGAAGTAAACTTAGTTCCTGGTCAGTTGCTATTATTTTAGGGATGCCGAATCTTAAAATAAAATTATCAACTACGGTCCTAGCGACACTAAGGCAATCCTTATTCTTAAGTGGATAAGCATCTATAAACTTACTTAACTCACACTGAATGGTTAATATATACATGTTTTCATCATAATCTTTATGAAGAGGGCCTACTATAGCCATATATATCTTTTCGAATGCATATGACGCAGTTGTTGTTATCGCCATAGGCCCTTTTATGTATTTACAATGTTTAGATTTTTGGCATTTAGAACATTTTCTAATGAAATCTCTTACATCAGTTTCGAGATTTGGCCAATAAAATCGTCTCTTGATTGTATTGATCATTCTACGTACACCAGCATGGCCACTTGTGGGTAGTAGATGAAAATCATTAATATGAATGATTTTTCTTCATTATTCTCAATCCTAGTTACATTCTTTAATATATGAATGCATAGTCCGGACCAATTTGCAGTCGAATTCATCTCATCTCTTAAATCTTTTATAAAATTTTCATTACTTTTATCTCTTATTCCTCTAATATCAATCTAAATTTCATTAAACGACTGGATGGAGCCCTCATAATCTCTCTCTTTCGCGCAAACCACTACATCACCTTTCAAACCTTATTCTACAGCTACATAGTGAATTGACTCACTTCGCGCAGGGGTAATTTATAATCCCAAGGATAATCTGGTGTTTCATAAATTGGCATTAGGCATTGTTTTCCATTTGAGTTAAGACTCAAAATATTAGAATTCAACAATTTATCGCAACCAAAATTAGATAAAAAATCTAATCCAGTAATGCCATCTACTTTTAAAGATAAATTCCTAAAAATATAAAATTTATGATGAAATGATTCATCATGTTTAGTTTTAATTGTTAAATATACGTGACCATGAGATTTCACGCAACCTCCTATTCCATTAACTTCTATACTGGCACATACTTGGAGTATTGTAATCATAAAATAATATTGTTATATTATAATGAATACTGAGCAGAAAACGGTAACTACTAGGAGGGTCGCCATCTAATGTGGTTAATTACTGGGTTTGAAAAGAAACGTCTTTGTAGCTTTAAGTCGTATTTAATAATATTAGAAGATTTAACATAACATAAAGAAAGCTTGGGCCAATGAGTGGTTCACCATATTTGGATGTATACATGAGATGTTTTATAAAGGTGATTATATACACTACACTTAATTCTATAATATAGCAAACACTCTATATTTATTACACTTCATTCATTTATAGCGATGTTTACTGTCGACTGTATTCGTATATTAATATTGAGTCGAACGATGTTTCAGGCTGAAGTATTTCGATCCAGCTCTTCACGACGAGCCGGAGGGCGGCGGAGAGGCGGCGGGGGAGAGTGCGGCCGGGACTGTAGCGGGAGTAGCAGGGTCCGGCAGTGAGGAGGCCTCGCCCCGGCACCAGCAGTGGCTCACAGACGTGACGGAGCTGGCCAGCCGGCTCACGGTGAGTGGACACGACCAGCCGCCCGGGGTCAGCGGTGTACCGACAAGCTTGTACATGGTGTCGTGTCCACAGATGGAGTCCTCTCAGAACAGCAGCCCGCAGCACGGCGCGGAGCTGATGACGAGAGAACACGAACACACGCAGTACTCGTGGAACGATCAGGTAATGAAATATTGATACAAGTTTGAGTTCAATAATAAATCATAATAATACTACATAATACTACACTCAATCAAAAGCACTATACATATAATACTGATCACCGAAACATGGATAAAGCCGCATCTAATGCAGCGTTACTTGAGATTCCAAATTATACGCACATATAAAGTTATGGAATTCAAATTTATAATAAACTAGAAGACCCGGCGAACTTCGTTTCGCCCTATAATCAAGAAATATCTGTTACGTTTTTTTATTTATATTTTTGGAGTTTACCTATTAAAGCCATAAATCTCCGTGTTTTGAAGTGATTAGGAATGATTAATAGTTAATATGAGAGTTACACTGAGCTAGCAAAATAATAATTGTCAACGTTACTACTACACTTGATGCACAAACAATAACGATGGCCGACAACTGTGTAGGGAGTGAGAGAAGTCTAATTGTGTGAGAGAAACAGAAGACCGGCTTCGTTCTCATCCCTACTCCGTGCTGTTTACTGGGTCAGAAGTGACACCTGTAGATATCTGGCGGGGATAACTTATTAAATGACGATTGATCAGTTATCGACCGGAGATGAAAAATGATTAAATTACTAAAATAGCTATTAAAAAATAAGGGTTGATCGTAGAAGGGTGAAAATTTAGGATTGTATGTATTTTTGTACGTTGTATCATAAAAAAATAGTAATTAAAAATTTTGTCTAAAAAATAAAAAAAAAAATTTAGGGGTGGACTACCCCTAACATTTAGGGGGATGAAAAATAGATGTTGGCCGATTCTCATAGCTACCGAATAAGCACAAAAAATTTCATCAAAATCGGTCAGGTTGTTTCGGAGGAGTATGGGCACGAAAACTGTGACACGAGAATTTTATATATTAGATTATCAGACTTAATCATTAATAGCAAGAGTTTTCCTATATTCAAAAAACGTGTGATGGAATATGTGCAAAATAATTTATAAGTCAATGTAATCCCCACCTAAACATGTTTGTGTAATATAACAACCCGCAACATTATATTTCACTGTATATAATTCACTAGCATTTGCCGCGACTTCGTCTGCGTGGAATAGTGACTTCCGGCAGATTTTTGGTTCTTCCCACATAGTTCCCGTTCGTGCGGGGTTTTCAGAATGGTCGAGTTCCCGTAGAATTTTCAGGATAAAACCTATGTTTTTTTAAATTCACAATGACGTACTCTTAACCAACAACATATTTATTTGTTTATTTGAATAAAGATTAATATTATTATGTTGATACAACTTAAACAAATTATTTCGACCAAATTCCTCGATAACTGGACTATCCAACACAAAAAGGGAATTATTCAATTCGAACCAGTAGTTTCGGAGATTAGCGCTTCCAAACAAACAAACAAACTCTTCAGCTTTATAATATTAGTATAGATAAGGCAGACTTTTAAATGTCATTGCTCATGCAAAATTATTGTAATTTCTTATTGTAAGTGAACTTTTGTGTTCTTTATAAGAAATAAATGTCTTTAAACCGAATCCAGTTCTCGTAATTGATTCGTTCTTTTTCCATTGTATTGTACTAGGATTGTAACATATATATTTTTTATCCACGCCTTTCAGACGCTCCAACAGCAGCCGGACATGGTTCCGCAGCAGTACCCCGAGCCGGTCCCGGAGGCGGCGGACTACGCGGCGCAGTACTACCGACAACAACAGCAGCAGCTCCAGGAGGTGGAGCAGCAGCAGCAGTACGAGCCCGCGCCCTACGGAGACTACGACGACCAGCCCGCGCCCTACGGAGACTCCTACTGGCAGAACGACACGCACTACGGATATAACGACGTGAGTAACATGCCTCCCCCACCCACTGAACGACTCCTCTTAATAAACGTTTCATTGTGAATACTACATTCACGTGTACATCTCGTCCCACTCCCCCAGTCACTTTCACTGATGTCAAATATTTAATTCGATCCCGCGTCCGGTTGTTTGAGCGCGTGTCGTTCTGACGCCGCCCGACGTTGTATGTGGTTGTGTTGGAGTGTGCTAACGCGTGTTGTGGGGGCAGTCCGCGGGCCCCCCGGCCGGCCTGCGCCGCCGACGACCCCGCGCACGCTCACCGCCACACCCGGACCCCGCGCCGAACGAAACAAACGAACGCCTCCCCCTGGAGGACGGTCAGGGGAGCTCACCGGCGCACGTGGCGGAGCTCCTGCGGCGGGCCGCGGTGCCGGCGCGCTGGAGACCTCGCCTCGGAGCCGTCGTCGGCCACACCGTGGAGAACTGGGCGCGGAGAGCCGCCCGCGAGCGGTCCACACGCCCGCTCGTGTTCGGGGGCACCTACCCCATCGACGAGCCCGAGGACTGCGCGCCCTCTTACCAACAAGTGGAGCATCGCCGGCGACTGCGGGACACGGTGGAGCGGAGCGTCCGACGGTTCGAGGCAGCGCTGGCCTCGCGCGGGGGAGGGCGGGGGCTCGTGCGGACCTTCGACATCGACGAGCCGCTCGGGCCGCGCGAGGAGCGCCCGCCGCAGGACCCGGACTCGCGGGTCTACCTCGCCGGACCTCAGACATACGACATCGACGAGCCCGTCATGTACATGTGACCTCGCGACCCACCTCACGCCTCTCTCGAGGAACACTACAGGTTCTGGTTGACGTGATCAGAAAGACTGGGGGTCAGAGTACAGGGAGGGAGGGGAATATGATGTTTAGTAATAAATATATAGTGTTATCAAAAGAATCATTCGGAACCTGTGACACACGGATCTATCTGGTCGGTGTACATGTTACTAGAACACGTTGAAGAGAAACAATATAATACAATACAAACATAACTATCGTGTGTGTGTTCTCTCAATATATCACACAAAACGTGACAACATTGTGGAAAAGTATAAACAATATATCACCAAGTTTTTATTTTACAAGTACATATGTAATCATGTCCCTCCCCCTGTGTCCATCAGTTCGTGTCCGTGTTCCCGTCTCGAGCCGCTTGTTGTATTTTCGTTGGTTGTTTATTAATGTCGTGTACAGATTTTGATACGAACCACATTATAATGATAATTAGGAGTGATAGGCCAGTGCAGATGCCTCTAAAAATGATGAAAAGTGAAAATAAATTATAGTAGAATGAAACCCATTAGAAAAGGAGGGGAATATTATAAAAAATAAGGGAAAAATAATTTACGGGCAATCTGAGGTCGGGAAGGGTACGGGCGTGGGCATTTAAGGGTAAAAAATGGGTTTTCTCGATTTCCGGAAAAACTAAGAGTCCTAATGAAAAATGTTATAGGTATGTTTTCAATTTGTTAAAATCTCTATTTTCCGATGATGAAGAAAAAAATACAAGTTTCTTACTTACAATACCATTTTAGGATAAAATAATCATGTCTCTTTTAATGACATGACACTCTACATCGTTTTGAAAATGCTCTTTCTAATTTATTTTACCAAATTTTTGAAAAACGCTGATATTTTGACGGGTGATTTTTCGATTGAAAATGAGGCTGATTTTTCGCTATTTATTCAAAATAATCTGAAAACATCAATTTTTTTAATCCAATAAATTACAGTGCATTTGTAACATCAAAAGGAAAGTTTTCACCAAATTTCGTGACAAAATATTGTTTTTTGTAAGAGTTAAAAATAAAAAAACCAAATACTTGGTTTTTTGAGTTTTTCACATAATTTTTGAGGTTATGTGAAAAAAGTGTAAATACAAAAGTTTTAGATCTTTTTATTACCTACAACTTTGCCACATAACATTTTTCAATAGGACTCTTAGTTTTTCTGGAAATCGAGAAAACCCATTTTTTACCCTTAAATACCCACACTCGTACCCTTCCCGACCTCAGATCGCCCGTAAAATATTTTTCCCTTAATTTTTATAATATTCCCCTCCTTTTCTAATGAGTTTCATTCTACTATAATTTAATTATGTTTTAAAAGCTATCGGCACTGGTCTATGAGTCATGTATTATGAAATATTCCAGTGAATGCTTTATTGAGTATGTATAGCTAACTTTAATCCCAGGTGAAGCACATAGTCATAGTTACTTATTTATAGATCACTTCCCTTCGTTTGTTGAACTCTTGGAGTTTATCAAACAATATTAAAAATAATATCCGACCGTTGTCCACTGTGACTAGTGTTAGTGTTAGTTTCTTTGTTTATATATGTATTGTTAACGAGCTTGCTTTAACTCGCGTGTCGATGTAATGTTGTTGTGTTTGTAACATTAAAAGGATAAATATTTAACACATTCAATGGTTTTATTATTGATCTTATTTTGACCTGTGTAACGTTTGATGGATGTCGTAAAGTCATCATCGCCGTTAAATAAAAGTGACTCCTTTCGTACCCCAGGGCGATGCGGCCCGGCCCACCATCACCATGCCGGGGGCCACCAGGAGCCCCGCGCTCGACCACGACGGAGAGATGCCCTCACAAATGCAGTCGGTGAGTCGATACTTGGTACACGACGCTCTTAACGATCATATAAAACATATCTGACGTTATTACCGTGATTTTCAGCAAACGGAAAGAGATTCGGAGAGCCCGAAACCCTCCTCCAAGGACGGAAAAACATCAGATGGAGGGAGCGGCGGACGAGAGGGCAAGGGGGCGGACAAGAAGGGCGCGGGGGGAGGGGGCTGGCTGTCCGGGGTCCTCAGCAAGCTGGCGCTCAGGCCCCCCAACCAGATGATACTACCAGACGACAAGAACCCCACAGTGAGTGACACGCACACACACACACGCGCACACACACACATGCACCTCCCCACCCTCATGTGACACGTTACTTTCTGATGTGTATAATATTTATATCTATGTATATTATTTTATTGGTCCCTCACACGCCGGCGGTCGACTGTCTTTGTATATTTTCTAATGTATATAAGTATGTTTTAAACTAATAAAATAGTTTATCTCTCCTTATTGTTTTATTGAACCCGATGCTTTGATGTTCCATTGTGAGTTTGCGTCGCAGGTAAGTTAGAGACGGTCGAGAGAATCCGAGGAGGCGAGTGTTGAATTAATACATGTGGTGTGACAGATCGTGTGGGACGAGGAGAACAAGTGCTGGCGCGACACGGCGTCCGGGGACTCCGGGGAGGCCTCGCGTCCCCCGCCGCCGCCCCCCACCGGACCCCTGCTGGCCGCCGCCGGCCCGCCCGGAGCCCTGGCGAGCCCCGCGCTCGTGTCCTCCACGCCGCTGGCCTCCCCCTCCGCCAACATGTTGAGGATGCAGAAGGGACGACGTAAGACATCTTCATCATGTTCACCGTCGAAGGGCCGCAGAGTACAGAATGGGTCCTCATACTCATTATTTTTCATTCATCTGTTCTAGATATAAAGAAGTCTTACGTGGACGTCCTGAACCCCGGGGGAGCCACCGCCGCCCCCGCCGCAGCCCTGGCGCCCCCTCCCCCCCCTGCGCCGGGTGCTCCGCCGTCGTACTTCATACCGGCGCCAGTCCCTCACCAGGTTGGTCTGCAGATCCTGCTCACTGAGACTCGTCATCACTTCTAACTAACCTAACCCCCCCGCCGTCCCCCAGCGGCGGCCAGTCCACGTGTTAGTGTCGCTGCCCCGCTCCTCGCCTCCTCCGCCCCCCTCCTGGACCCCTCCACTCGTCGAGGTGCTCCTTATACTAATACATAGTAGATCTCATTACTATTCCTTTCAACGGATCTCATTCGTAGTTGTCAATAATTTTCATATGTAACATTATTAATTCCACGCTGACAGGATTCAGAGTTGGTCCCCAACGGACATTAGAAGGTAAAGATTTGGACGTAGTAGTGTGTAGTGAAGATTTTTTTAATCTTAGGAAGAAAAGCGTTCGAAAAGAATATCAAATCTTTTATTAATATAAAAATGTGTTTCGTTCTAGGGGGGCATCTTCGACCCCGCGCAGATCGCCGAGGACGACTACCGCAGCGGGATCTGACCGACCAGTCCGACGACATCCAGCGCTGATGACATGAAAACGTTCTAGTACTTAAAACTGTACAACGATTCCACCTCGGATAACACGAACCTCTCACGGATGAGGGCGGCGGGGGCCGTACGGTTTATCATGTTATTGAATAGTTTTTGTCGAACATTCCGCTTAACACTTTAGAACTTAGTCACGATTAGTAACATCAGGGCCAGCAAGTCCGGCAGGTTCCGCCGCGTCCTTGGACAGGATAGTGTTCCACATGTAACGAAGACGGAGTATGAAACACAGTCATACAGCAGCGAGGAGACGCTACAGATGTTGAACACCTTACAGGGTTCCATGATTTATTATCATTTGAAAGATTAGTTTGTTTTGTTAATGTTTAGTGAAGGTCAACAACCCCGGCCGCAGGCCAGTCTTCTCTTATCAAATCTGCTCATGTTTGATTCTTTGTTTCTGTCCAACTTCTGTTTTAAGTAACACGTTTCTTCTACTATGAGTCAATCCTCTAACGTTATTATTCTATGTTATACTCTCGATGACATCTCTTCAATTACTTTATTTATAAAATGCCGCAAATCATTATTTAATGTTTATTATAATTTCAGTCATCGACATCGCGTTAATTTATTTAATTTGATGATATATGAATATGGTGCAATGGGATGTTTATTTTTTATCAAAATTTAAATAGACAATAAAATGTTAATTTCTTTATGTTGTATTCCTTTTTATATATAATATTTGTTTAAGTTAATGTACAGAGTTCGTGTGAGTGAGGTCAGTAGGGTGAGGAGGTAGTCGCTAGCCGGGTCGTGAACCCGGAGCTGGGTAGCCGGTATCTGTATATTTGAAGGACGAAGCGATACTTTGTATTCCGAAATGTATTATAATTCATTGTATGAAAATTATTTAAATAAATTGTTTATGTTATGCTTCACTCGTGTTTTATTTCGTTCCTCGCTCTACATGCATATAACAAAATACAGTAAAGTTTATTTTGATGACCTTCCAGGAACTGCCCAGTCTTTATCTCAAATTTGTCTCCGCTCCTATCTCATCATGATAATTAACGGCCGTTTAAATTAATTAGTACATTCAACTGGGCTCTTCAAACAAAAATATTCAATCGATCGATATTTAATATGTCATCAGATAACAAAACTAATCGGTCACAAGAGTCAGTCATCGCAGTTGACACATTCCAAGGAGCCATGTCCGCCGGCCTCTGTCGCCGCCGACACCAGCTGCAGCACGGCCGTGGCCAGCACGCCCGCCACGAACACGAACACCAGCAGCGAGCACACCACCAGCCCCTTACTCATACCCATCTCACATAACATACCACTCACATAACACAAGACAGTCGACACTTGACGTCCCGTCACGGGAATATACTTTTTAAACGAGACGAACGTAGGGCCATAGATAATACACTATATTAGAAATAGATGCGAAACTCTGGGTTTCAGTTTAGAAAACCACTATGTACGCTAGATGTCGCTGCATTTAATAGCTAAGACGTGGTACCACTAGATGGCGAATTGTTATTCGAATTTAATAGGGAAAATGCAAATTTCGATTTTATTAACTTTAATTTTTGGTTGATAAAAGTTAATAATAAAATTAAAATAAGAATACATAATTTACATTATTTACTTAGCACACTTAAAAAAATAAGTAAAATTAAAAGCAGGACATATATTCAAATATTTATTTTTTTCTTTTTGTAGGTATGTATTATAATATGTAATCACTTGGACTTTAACATTATTCTCATTATTTTGACAATTTGTAAACTTTCCCGTAAGCAGCCTGTTAACATTGGTGCACCGACTATGAATTATTAAATGTATGATATAAATTATTAAAACTCCTCTAAGGTTTTTATGAGTTTCGCAAGAACGAAACGAAAAATCACAATATAAATCAGCTTTTTGAGTATTTTTTTCTTTTATATTTTTTGTTTGTGGTTCTTCACCTAATTGTTTTCGTATGACTGCACAAACATCATCTAAAAATGAACACAACACCTCCGACGGATACTTACAGGATTTTTTAGTGTAATCTCTAAATAAAATATAGTTATTATTAGCAAGAGGTGTTGTGCTTAACAACTGCATTTAACATGTGTTACAATTTTTACATACATTTTTAATATACAATTTTTACATACATTTTTAATATACAATTTTTACATACATTTTTAAAATATTATGATCTGGAAATAAAAAATATATTAAAATTATTTTTAGACATAGGCCTTATCATTAGATAGATAGATTGATAAACTCCATTTTATTGCATACAAGTAAAGTTGAGAATTAATAAAAGCAAAAGACAAGAAAAAACATAAGTAGGTATGCAAAGGAGGTCTTATGACTTATAGTGATCTCTTACAGACAACCTCAGGAGTAAAAAGCTGTTATATTTGTAATATGCTAAGTACATAGAAAGTTTATGTCAACATAATAATAAGTAAAACTTACTCCTACTATGAAAAGAATATATACTAACTTGCTAAGAACCGCATAGCTGCTGATACTCGCTGGCTGAACACTTGGGCCGCATATTTCACTTTCATTTTCGGCAATTTATCTTTATACATACCTATGTGTTTCTGTTAATTGTCTTCTTTTTGTTGTGCATTAACACATTTTTTGAGTGTACAGTCTCAAATGTTGATGCTGCTAAATAAAATATATTTTTTTTAATACAAATAAATATGTATATTAAACGAAAAGTTAAATGAAAAATCTTAAAATTGAATGATAACATATTGTCTTGATTGTATCTTTCTTCCTCGTTTCTTTTAGAGTTTCTGATTTAATGTAGATAGACTTGTAAGTTTTACTGAATTAAACACTGCCATTCTTATATTACATAAAAAACTATAAACAACTTTTTTTGGTTTGTAGTTATCCAGTGAAATTATAATCTCTACATATTTCGAACACTTTGTTCTGTTTTACCTATGTAAAGAAGTGACATAAGTAGTTATTTGGCAATACTGTTTGTAGACACTTTCCTTCATTTAGATAAAAAAGGTAATAAAGATCACACATTATAAATCTATCAAACCACATGTAAGTATATAAAAATGTTAAGATGACTTGTATACCAATTTCATTATAATCAAATAAATCCAATTTTTTTGTTTTTAATTATGAGCACCAATTTCTAAAGTAAAATAATAATAATGTAAAATATTTTCTATAGTTATAAAATACAATTGATTATTTATAGTTTTTTTTTATATTAGTAGTATGTATTGTGCGCCTATAAGTATTTAAAGTAAGCAACTTCCCAAGTAGTTATAGGCACATAATACATACTACTAATATAAAAATACTATAAATAATCAATTGTATTTTATAACTATAGAAAATCTTTTACATTATTATTATTTTACTTTAGAAATTGGTGCTCATAATTAAAAACAATAAAATTAGATTTATTTGATTATAATGAAATTTGTATACAAGTCATCTTAACATTTTTATATACTTACATGTGGTTTGATAGATTTATAATGTGTGATCTTTATTACCTTTTTTATCTAAATGAAGGAAAGTGCCTACAAACAGTATTGCAAAATAACTAAGTACTTGTGTCACTTCTTTACATAGGTAAAACAGAAACAAAATGTTTGAAATATGTAGAGATTATAATTTCACTGGATAACTACAAACCAAAAAAAGTTGTTTATAGTTTTTTATGTAATATTAGAATGGCAGTGTTTAATTCAGTAAAAATTAAAGGTCTATCTACATTCAATCAGAAACTCTAAAAGAAACGAGGAAGAAATATACAATCAAGACAATATGTTATCATTCAATTTTAAGATTTTTCATTTAACTTTTCTTTTAATATACATATTTATTTGTATTAAAAAAAAATAAAAATATATTTTATTTAGCAGCATCAACATTTGAGACTGTACACTCAAAAAATGTGTTAATACACAACAAAAAGAAGACAATTAACAGAAACACATATGTATAAAGATAAATTGCCGAAAATGAAAGTGAAATATGTGGCCCAAGTGTTCAGCCAGCGAGTATCAGCAGCTATGCGGTTCTTAGCAAGGTAGGTATATATTCTTTTCATAGTAGGAGTAAGTTTTACTTATTATTATGTTGACACGAACTTTCTATGCACTTAACATATAACAAATATAACAGCTTTTTACTCCTGAGCTTGTCTGTAAGAGATCACTATAAGTCATAAGACCTCCTTTGCATACTTATTAGTCCAGTCATTATAGTAAGTTCACCTCGGAATTCGAGATACCCAGCTGTAAGTCTGTAAATAGTTGTATATTGACACCCTAAAAGTTGTCTCAAAACCTACATATGGTAGGGTGTAAGCAACTATTAAATTTCAAGGTGAAAGGTCACAAAAATCGGTTTTTTGCGCTTTTTTTGGAAATATCTCATTTCCTATGGGTTTTTTGCTATTTGTATTTATGATCAATATTGTAGAATACTAAATTCTCTACAAATTTTGTTTCAAAATTTTTTTTATACGGTGTACCGTTTTCGAGATAGAGGGCGGAGAGATATACTCAACTAAAAGTTTTGATAATTATCCTCATTGCAAAAAACATATTTTATTTCTGCACGCATTAAGTGGCTGTGACACAACTTCTGCGCTTTTTAAAAAGGGAAAAAAATCATTTTTAAAAGTTTTTGAGAAACTGACAAATTTGGATGAACTAGCTGCAGCATTTAAGGAAGAAAATTGTTCGGCCCAGAGATTATTAGAGTGGAACTCAAACCTTATTGGCAGTCTATAATGCTCCGAAATCTGTGAAAAGTCTCGATCATCTTCGTTTTACGCATTTCGTCAAGTCTACAAAACTTAATAAACCTGTGCAGCTTTCAAATATTCCACCAACAAGTGCAGCTGCTCATCAACATTTCAACCGTGTATATTATCAAGTTCAAACTTGGTTAGGACATGATTTGGAACCCCAGGTATGGGGTTGGGCAATGCGAAATGATTTTCTGGAGCCTATCATGACAATTTTACCACCTGCTCCAGAAAATTTGCTAAATACAATTTTCTGCAACTGCAAAAGTGGTTGTGGTTCGCGATGCGGATGCAGGAAAGCTGGCTTGCAATGCTCTTTAGCTTGTGGCCAATGTAATGGGCAAGCTTGTCTCAATGCTCAACCATATCAGAGCGACATTAACGAAGATGGAACCTTTGATCCCGAAATCATGGAAGAACTTGAGACAAATGTCGTTGAAGACGATAATGAAGACCAGTTTGAAATTTACCAGCAGCCAGAAGACGGCGATTAAGAGGAAGAAGATGTTTAAAATTATAAATTGTAGTTTTTGTACCCTTTATTCCATTTTCTTACTTTCAATAAAAAATCATTTCTCCAATGATATTTTTTCATAAAAAGATTAAATCATAATTTATTTGTTTTTTTTTCATCATGTAAGAAGTTATTAATACTAATTAGGTTAAAATTCAAATATAATTCTTATATTTTCATTAACAATTCTGCAATTACATGGACAGGTAAGTGTTGTTAAGTAAATTAATACTGAATAAAAAGTGGATAAGTTAGGAAAAAAATGATAAAATATAATATAATAGTTAATAAAAATTGACAAATATTTATAATCATTGATTTATTGATAGTTCATCAACTATATATGGCGCGTTTTCGACCGGAGGCACCGGTTGACCTGAAGTGATGCGGTGACCGCGCGCTCTGCGCCCTCTATCTCGAAAACGGTACACCGTATAAAAAAATTTTTGAAACAAAATTTGTAGAGAATTTAGTATTCTACAATATTGATCATAAATACAAATAGCAAAAAACCCATAGGAAATGAGATATTTCCAAAAAAAGCGCAAAAAACCGATTTTTGTGACCTTTCACCTTGAAATTTAATAGTTGCTTACACCCTACCATATGTAGGTTTTGAGACAACTTTTAGGGTGTCAATATACAACTATTTACAGACTTACAGCTGGGTATCTCGAATTCCGAGATTCTTACCTAATTTAAGCTTAAATGACTGGACTATATGTTTTTTCTTGTCTTTTGCTTTTATTAATTCTCAACTTTACTTGTAAGTAATAAAGAAGTTTATCGATCTATCTATCTAATGATAAGGCCTATGTCTAAAAATAATTTTAATATATTTTTTATTTCCAGATCATAATATATTGCCAAAAGAGTGTGTCGCCACAGCTGACCTGCTGCTTCTTGTAGATAAATTCTTTGACTCATTCAATGGCCATACTTATCAGGAAGATGCTAAATTATATAGGATTGCATTGAAAACAAATTCTCCACATTTCAAACTGTGGGATGAAATATTGCCTGTGTTAAACTCAATGAGATTTGAAGTAAATAAAAATGGTATAAAAAAATATTGTGGTACCATCAATTAAAAATTGGATACATAACTTTCATGCCACTAGGGAGTTATTTTTTGGGTTAAATAAATATCATGGTCTGGTGGTCTGTTAACAAGAAACTAAAATCAGGATCCCTTAGACAATTTTTTCTGTAATATTCGAAGTAATGGGATCCATAGCAGATAAGCACATTATTTGTTCTTATTTAAATTTTAAAGAAACAGATAGTATAGAAACAGAACTTCTTGAAATGACATCTAGAAACATTTTTGAGAAATCATTTAATCGTCATCGAGAACTGAGTCGAGCCAATCTCTTAGTAGCGCGATGTTGACGTAGAGCGCGGGGCCACAGGAGACCCCGCAGGCTCCGTCGTCGCTCATGACACCCAGCAACGTGTCGGAAGACAGCAGCGGAGCCCCCGCGCACGGACAGGCCCGCCCGCCTACCGCCCGCCCCACACACAGAACGCCCGGCCCGCCCACGTCACGCCGCGCTGCGCCCGCCCGCCCCAGGTGACGAGCCGCCCACGTGTCGCCGCCCGGACACTGCCGCGGAGACACCTTGACCACGGACCCCTCGCGGACACGGCGGTCCCCGGGGTCGGCTGACAGACTGAAATAAGACACTAAGGATGGAGAGAGTTATGACTATTAATAATATTAATAATAATATTACGATATTGTTAATAAGTCTTTCAAGTCCATAGGTTTTATAATTAGGAATACAAAAAAAATTTAAGAGTACGAACACACGAATACGAAAACACGTTGTTTGATTATTTAGTTCGCAGTAAGTTAGAGTTCAACTACTTGGAATCCATATTATAATGTCCATAAAGACAGAATAGAAAGAATATTTAGGAAATTTATACGATATTTATGCTTTATTGATAAAAATAATTTACCTACGGAACGAAAATTACAAGACTATACTTGCAAACTATAATGCACTTTCTTTAGTAGATCGCAGAGATATGCTGGACCTGTGTTTCTTTCATAAATTATATCCGATGCTATCAACTGTCCTGATCTATTAAATCGAATTAATGTTGTAGTTTCTAGACAAAATGCCAGACATACATACATATACTACACTTTTAAAAGTAGATTTTCTAGGACCATTTTAGTCCAAGCTGCGCCAATAAGTAGAATCATTAAATGTTATAATGATATTGAGTGTAAAGCAAACCTAGACATTTTTAATGATAGTTTGAATTTCTATAGAAGTAAAATTAAAAAACATTTCCATTCTCAATAATATGTCATGTCACAACTTTTTTTTGTAATTAGGTGTTTCTTTTTATATAGCTGTTTTTAGATTATTATTATTATTCTTTTATTCCTTTTTGTTGTTATATGCATACTTTTTTCACCATTTTTTTTTATTGTATCTAGTAAGTGTTGGAGTAAGATCTAAACATTATGTAACTCATGTTGAGTTAGCCTGTAAGTTTCCTATTAAATAAAATATTATTAAAATATGTAGTCGTATTTCAAGGAGAAGCTCAAACCTCAGTTTGCCGAAGCCGAGGACGCTGAGTCGTTCCCCCAGAGTGACGAGGGAGACGTCCAACAGGGAGGCGAGCTTCAAGTGTCGGCCGCCGTCGACACGGAGTGTATCGTAGGATTTAAGGGCAACCAAGTCGTAACTTTTGTGGACCCCTTGATACAGCGGATGCACGATCACCTCTGACAGCTGGTGGGTGTCGCCCCGAGCTCCTCGGTCGAGCCTGTCCATCATCACGAAGTCATCCAGCGTGTCCACTTCCTCTATGGCTTCTACACAGCTGGCAGCAGTCAGTGTCCAGCGACTCGAGACGACCGTGAGCGTACAACCGAACAGAACCTCTCCGGGTTGCTGTAGCTTAACGAGAGCGAGAAGCCAACCGGCCTTCACGTCCCCTGCGAGATCATCATACGACGCCGTCGTTTCATTTCCATCTTCAGTTTTAACAGACTCCACCGTCGAAACATCTCCAGAAGTGACAACTTCGCCTCCTTCATAGTAGTGAGCGGTGGCGTTGGTCTTCGCGGACGGTGTCCAGGTACACTCCACGTCCTCGGCCAGCGTCGATCTCTCTGGAGTGAGTGTATAATCGTCGGTGGAGGAGCGCTCGGCGACAGTGGTCAAGTTATCGATGGTGACAGTGACGTCGTCGTGACGATCGTCTTCCATACACACGAGAAAATGAAGCACCAGAAACGTGACGATGGTGATTAAAGATATGAGGAACACGGCTTGCAACAACGTTAGATAGATCTCTGTTTTAGTAAATGAATTGAACCAGCCTTTGAATTCCTTGCACACGTCACTCATTATAGACTATGTGACATGACGCATCCCGTTTGACGACTCATGACCAGATAGTTATACAAATATTTTATTATTATCACATATACTCATAATAATTTAACTGACAAGACCATAGACTACACTCTATTTTGGTTCTACTTTGACATTTTTAGGGTTGATTAGTATTGGTTTTCTGAAGGGTCTCTCTCTACATCCAAATCTCAGCTGGCCAGATTCCTTCCGGCCCCCGAACCCTCCCCCGAGTCTCCTGGGCCTCCACCCTCTCAGACGTCTCTCTGCCTCCCGCTCCACTATGATCTCAAAACTATCTAAGTACTCATTGTTCATTTCCTTCAACGCTCCATCCAGGCTAGACAAGTTCTCATATTCTACAAAAGCGTACTGCTTTGATTTTCCAGTAACTATGTCCTTCACAAGTCTACAGTTGATCACTTTCCCAAATTTAGAAAATTCTGAATATATTGTCTCCTGAATACAAAAATTTTATTTTTATTTACTTGAAATGTAAAAAATACATAGATTGAAATATTTGACCCAATTATATGACAAAGTTTGTAATCTAATTTTTATAACTATCATGTAGTCAAAATATTAATTATTTATATTACATTTGTGATCATTAAATTATTGTCTTGTTTACAGTAACATTACATTTGACTATTTTATTGCAAGTGGGAAGGAATATACTATAAATAGAAATTTTGCATCAACTGGGACCAGACAAACAAAAACTGGACACTAAATATATAAATTTGATTATGTTTGGTTTCCACAAAATGAATTATAGTACCTCTGTCGTCCTCGGGTTCAGTCTGGCGATGAATATAGTATGATCGGGATCACCTTTAACTTTTTTATTCGGAACATATTCAGAATTGAGTGCTCTTACGATCCCATGGTCGTGAGGAGCAGTGTCAGTACCTACGACGTATAGTTATTAAACTCATATGGTAGACATACTCCCAGAAGGTTACAAAACAATAATATTTTATAGGGCTTACCGTCTATTGAACCTATTTTTATTGGATCATATGTCGTCGTTGCATACTTGTTAAAATCTTTGTCAAACATTTTTCGTCACAACAAAATCTAATTTTGTGTGTCGTAATGAAAATCTTCTATATAATTATTAAAGAAATATCTTTTATTTTGAATTTAATTTGAAGTAAATATCTACTTTATTTACAGTAAACAGTTTGGAAGGCTGTCAAAAGTGAAAAGTCAGAAGTTTTGTTCTGAAAGTGTTTGTTACCTACAACAAAAATACCTACTAAGGATGTCAAATTAATTTTATTTATTTATATTTTCTTATTTCTTTATACACTCGCAAAATTTAAAAATACTAGAAATTAATGGATTTCGTACGTGTAAAAACAAGCGTTACCAAAATAGCTAAGAACAAAAGAAAATCTCTTGGAATGTAACACCAACGCAGACTGTCTTGTAAAATTATAATAATTATTAGTCATTATATCTAATGTGGAGAATCTCAAAGATAAATACTTTAGGATTTAAAATTTGGGTTATATAATCATCTTAAATAATTCTCAATTGTATTTGTATCTCTCACGACGTCCTCTGATTATAAGCATGGACTTAATAGTAGTAATCTACTGCATAACTTATTAATAGTATCAAGTATATATATCATTAGATTACAAACCACTCTTTCTATGTAAAATTATTAAGGATAATTCATAACAAGATAGAAAGTATTCTCCAAAAGTATATATTATATAGATATAATCATTTTATTAGAACCTTCCTGATGTAGTAAATGAAGTTGATAACAACAAATTTTAAACAAATTGAAGGGCCGTTGTGTGACGATGCTATCAACGAGGGGAAGATCAAACTTAAAATAAATAAAATAGATATAAATAAAAATGAAAGACATAGGAATGTAATTAAAAGCATGTTCTACTATTCATCATGACTAACTGAAAATCATCTTTCATTATAAACTTTTGTTTCTCATGTGTACAGCTATTTTACATATCAAACAAAATATAATTCTACCAAAAAATAGAAGAAATATAAAAATAATATTACAGAATACAAAATCTGTAGCTCGTGTACATTCAATACCTTTCAATTGGTACAACTACGGCGAGTACATTATGTACCATACATGTTTAATGTTATTAATGTTCCACATAGTCTTTTATATGTAAAATAAATTTGAGAATATTTTAATGTTATGTATGTACAAGTTTTCAATGCAAGCAAAGTCTGAACTGGTTTCAAAAATGAACACAATGAAAGTTGCATACACAGAAGTCATTTTTGTAAAAATATTTATGTATGTATAAATTTTTAATGCACATTGTGACTTGTGTACGGTCAGTAATGTAGATCATACACAGGAAGCACTCTCGGGATCTTAGCATTTTAGATAATCAATTCTCAGTCTAGCTGCAACACTATAGTGACCTTTAGAAATATTGTATCACAGAGTCAAACAATTGTTTAATAATACATTAAAACCCATAGTATATTCATACTTTAAACAATTTGGATCAAATCACCAATAAATACAAATGTTATGTACCTCTGACGTCAGCCTCATACAATATAAACAATAAAATTAAATACAATGAAACATTCCAAGGCATCCTCGTAATGCTACAGCACTAGCCTAACATTCACAGAAGCTGAAACAATATCAGATATATGGAAAATAGCTGGTCATGATGGCGATGCATGATGCGTCTTCATTAAGGAGGCCATAAAATTAATAGATACAAGGTCTATAGATAAATTAATACAGTAATGGAATTTTCTGCAACATATTTCAACTTTAAGATACATATTGTGTAACCTCTCCTCACTTTCACAGTTCTAGTTCAGTTCTAGACGTAGTAGCGTCAGTTCAGAGAGGGCGATTGGCCCTCGTCCCACACCACATCGATACTGGGCCACTTGGTCTGTAGACAGGTGAGCATGGGGTCCGTAGTGGCCGCTCTCATGGGACACTCCAGCAGCGCCGCCCGGCCGGTGCGGTACACTACCCGCCCGCCTGGGTTGCTACGGGACAACCCATTGTAATGATGTAGAGTGAACGTGTCGGGGGCGCCTCTTTCTGATCCCGGAAAGAACTCGTCCATAAAAGCACTCAGTAAAATAATACCTAAATTCTCAGAATCTAGTTTTCGTCTCATCAATTCCACGTATTCTGGTTCACTAACCAAGTCAGCTGCACAGAGTACATCTTGCAGGGCTGCTGATGGTATAAAATTATTTCCTTCAGGATCGAAAGATCTAAAGATACGCTCAGCTGACTCCCCGGCCGTCTCTGGAGCCGCAAGCCTCCTTTCAAAGGAGAATAGAACTGTCAGATGTGTTTCAGAAGCCAGCACCCACACAGGATGTTTAGGATTTTTATAAAATGAGCCAACTGTACAATACTGCATGTGCTCCATTATAGTCAGAAAGCCAATGTCATTCTGGTTCTCAATACCCCTCAGACGCAATCCTCCGACCACCTGTTCATGGTCCCACACATGTGCTACGGCTCTGCCGGTAAGCATTAGGTTGATGAGTCCTTGTGAACCATATCCATATGTAGAATGTATGAGAGGGTCGGACAGTTCTGAGAGTTCCATCTCCACAGCTTCTACACCCTTGCTAAGGATGACACTATACAACAGTAATAAAACTCCATACTTGTCTTTCAAGATCCGAATATTCCGAGTATAGAATGCTTCCACCTCCGTTATTGCTTTGAATGTATGCACCTCGATCCGTCTATGAAAGTGGTCGATAGCATCACAAGACAGTTCTTCAGCACTAACATTAAGGCCGGAACTTGTTTGTCCTTCTGTATCGTTCTTGCGATACACAGCAACATTGTACTTAGTAGCTAGACACTGACCTAAAATCAAAAACACACAGCCCTAACAAGCACAGAATTGCACTTCTCTGTTGTTAAGTCTTGAAGACTGTGACCTACTGTTTCTGAAAGTAAAATCTTAAGAAGAAATCCTTGTACGGGGGCGATGGCAGCGCAGGGCCCTCCCTCTTGCTGGATGAGAGCACTCGGCTCATCGGGACTGAAGTGAAACCCTTGTGCCCAGCGTCGGAATACGTCTTCTTTCACATGATCGCCCCAGAGGAGCCGTCTCGTGCTGGCCAGCTCACGCTCCAAGGACACAGTGCCAGCGCTCATGTTATCTCTATTTTGTAATGCTACACTCGAGCCACTTGTTTCGTTTTCGTTTGAACTGTTCGGCATTTGCATGTAGTCTACGCCACCTAAAATAATAACATTACTGTAACAATATATGAACAAGCGGCCGCCATTTCGACTTTACTGTTATGAAAAATATTGCAGAGTGACTACAACTATATAAAAAAAGAACATAACCACGTAGATCATAGTTAATACTCACTAGAAAAGCGAAGGTCATAGTAACTATTAACATTAGAAACTTATTTATTCCGTTCAAAATATAATTTTACTATATGTATCACTGTCAATTACATTATAAATCATGCATATATCTGAGTTTTAAAACTTTTCATATAGAAAAAGAAAAGAAAAGCTTACGACATAAAGGCTGCCATTTTTTAATAAAAATAGCAACATTTATTTTCATGTCATTACGTTCTATTACACGTAATAACAATCAATCAATAATTATAAAAATTAAAAGAAAAATAAACTAGCTAAAGAAATGTATTTTACGTAATGCTTTAATTGTATTTATTGATTAATTAATATATGTTTATATAATTATAAAATAATAATATTTTAAAATCACATCAACGGCGTTCTTTAATTATTGGGAATCAAATACTTGTTACATTTTATTTATTGTACATATATTTATAATATAAACTGTAAGTAAATCAATAAGCACAAATAGTTACTTAGGAACAATACAAATAAGTAGTATAAAATATCGATACTTAGGAATATATGTTTAGATTTTAGAATATTTTGGTTAAATTAAATGAACAAATTACTTAAATCGGGTATTAAACATAAAGTTTCTAAGAGCTTTCAAATAAATTGAAAAATAGGTGCGGATCGTTTTAAAAATATGGTGGCAACATTTTACAAACCATATTAAAAATTCAATTGCCAATATGCCAGTATACGTCGAATAATCATGGATGCGGGGTGTTGACCGTGTTATTTTTTTTTTCTTTTCGAGATTTTTTTTTAGTTTATTATTTATATTTTATGATAAATAATAATTTTCTGTTTATTTAAGACAACAATGAATTACTTATACACAGTGTCAGTGCAAGTTTGATGTTTTAGTTGTGTTAAGTTGATATTTCAACATAATGAAGGTGGATACAGTTGTCAGGAGGCGACGCGCTGTACTAAATTTCTCAGGTAAAAATATTGTTAACATTTAAAAAAATATATCTTATGTTAACGGATGTGTCTCAACATAATTTTTATCGTGGTTTGTCTATATCATGATTCTTAGTGATTAATTCAATCGTAAAGGCATTGCAACGATATTTGATAGTGGTAAAATTTGCATTAGATACCCAGTCATAACACACTTATTTCAATTCCTCACTAATTTAGTAAAATTCACGATCAATTTACCTCAATAGGCTGAAGTATTTACATTTATTATCAAAGAAAACTTTCTAAAAAGCAAAATATAACAAATTTGTGAAATTTAATAAGTACTTATATTATTATACCTGCACTAAATATTCATCGGTGTTACTAATGTTTGTTGCAGTTATTTAATACGGTCTTCAATTAGTACAATTATACCATAATTACTAAATGATAATTTAAAATAATCATTTAACTGTTCTGAGATTGACCATCATATACAAAAAGTTCCATATTGTACGATTATTCATTTTATTTTGTTGAAAAGGCACTGATGAATGCGAGGCCAGTTTTTGTATGTGTTCACAAAGAATCTTAGGAAAATAAACAATAGACTAACACAATCATTGTTTGTTGAAAATATTCATTGCAGTGTTATAGTAAGTAAGTCTCTTCAAGTATTGTTACGGCGAGAGGAATTCATTAACTTATAAATAGAACTGTATTGACACAGTTAGGTTTATTGAATTAAACAATATGTAGTGTAGTAGAACTTGTAGTGTGGAGCAAGTGGGCAGGTGTCGTGTGAATGGGGGGAACAGAAGCGTGACAGTGACGCGCGCCGGCTCGGCCTTCGCCCCTCATTTACTGTGTTTTGTCTCTTATTTATAAGTTTTCTATTTGATTGACCTCTGTATCGGAGTCGCCTTAATTTATAAGCGTCATTTCTATAATAAAAACTTTTAGAGCGTGAATGTTAAATATTTATCGTAGGCCTACGGTAATGATACGCCGCGTTATAAACAATGGCAGCTTGCAGCCCGACGGTTCCGTGGCCTTGTGGTGAGAAAAGATTCAATGTTCACAGATTTCACAGATGTACAGTTTTCTAAGTAAAACTTAAAAATCCTTTCACATGATACGTCATGCTATGATTCTAGTTAATGAATGAGCGGTAAAATGAATAAACATGGAACAGTTATAAATTTAATAAGACGGATAATGAAGACACGGCTTATAATTTTAATAATTTTCTGTGCAATGTGCAACGGTGACGTAGCCAGCCGTGGGGACGGGTGTATTGAATGGAAAAAAGCCACACGAAATAAAGGAGACCAATCAAGTGTAATAATGATTCATCAAGTAAACAAACACAGTCGCAGGTCGCTCCTCTGTCGATGTTTAACGAGAGTCGGTTTGTATGAGGCCGGATCAGCTGTTCTCATTGACGTGGAAAATGACTTCTGAACGTTTACTGACAAGTCGATTGAACGCTACGTACGCTCTGGTCTTGTTGATACAACAACAGTATCAGGTGCGAGTGTGAGTGAATTTTTCCTCGTTTTAAAATTCTAATTATGTATCACTTATGTTAATAAATATGTCCAAGAGATTTAATGTAGCCAGCATCTGTTGATTTTAACTTAATTCTAACTCTAGACGGATTTCTTAAAAGTGCTAGAAGAATTTATATAATTTGCTTTTTTGTCCGATCATCATCCAAAAATGCACAGAAACTTAATTTAATGAGTCATACATTACACATAATGGTTGTTTTTTAACATTTCCGTTATTTGTAGAAGTTATAGGAACTTGTAGATATAATGTAGTTTACTATTTGTATCATAATAGTGATGTCCCTAGCCGGCTAAGTCTCAGACGGCTCGATATGTCTAGCCAGGGGGTGAACGGTTCCCGCCGCGGTTCATTAATCGATCGACCGATGGTTTCCCTTCATATTGCATCCAACTGATAGCTTTAAAACTTTTTATTCGTCTCAGTCGCTTGTAAGTTTACCTGACTTGTTAAGAAAGCCAAAAATACATTTGTAGTTCATTCACAAGTACCGTGTAATGTGTTCCCTCCATATGGAAACACTCGACTTTTGAGAGTGTAACATTCATTAATAAAGATTTTTATTGAAATTAAAAAGTAATGCGAGTCAGAGAAAACTCAACAGCATCGTAAATTTCACAAAAACTAGTTTTTATTCTACTTTCTTAGACACGAGCACATGATGAGTTTACATGTATTTTAGAAATCATTGTTCGCATGTAACAGCTGATACACATCTCACTCACTCACTCACTCACTCACTCACTCACTCATCTGTAACTGATCACTCTCACACTCTAGTTCACTCAATTTATGTCGTGTTCAAATTGAGAATTATTTTTTTTACAAACACATTCAGCATTCATACTTCCTATTAAATATTCGCGTGCGAATAAATCTGTTTAAATTGTTTTGAAATTCATTTATTAAACATTTTTTTGTATTTAAGTTTCGCAACGAAAATAATTAAGTATTTGAAGTTTTTTGCATCATCAGCAACCACGAGGATTGTAGTTTTATAACGTCAATTAACAATGTCTTGGTAGTGTTTCAACTACGGCGTGTGAAACAGTTCCATTGCCTGTACTCTGTACCCCACTGTCGCCCTAAGAGATATTAACAAAATATTATCAAAACAACAAGTGCTCTAATGTAGTTAGTGCCACATAGTTTACAAAAAGGGACTCGTACCCACTTATACGGATAAATAACTTGATTGTTAAGTGGGAATGAGTGGCAAAAAAACACCAAATACCAGATTGTTTCCAGACGAAACTTAAAGTTTTCAGTATAAAAAAGTCTTCCGCATATTTTAAAAATTCTACCAATAGCATGTTATAAGAAACCTTAATGTAAACATTCTTTATATATTATACAGAGATCGTGTTCCTGTATTAGTATGTATCTGTCCTAATTGATATATAAATATCATCTATTCCACGTTCCTCGGCTCGCACTGCACACACACACACACACACACACACACACACTTACAAACACAACATTAATACACATAATATGTATATATAGTATTATTGAATGAATTGAAACAAGGTTAATAATGAAGGAACAACTCGATTCATGACGTCACATGTGTTGGTATAGTAGTGGGAGCAGCAGAGGGTTGACAATGTGGTGTGTGAGGGAGGCAGCTGATGAGAAAGACGTTGACAATATTAATGAAAGTGTTAGTTCCATGTTGTATGTTCTTAGTCTTGAGTACAGCCAGCAGCTCCTCGCCTAGCGGTGAACACTACAGCGACCGACCCCGTGACCGTAACATTCCGTTAGACGAGTATGAGACTCATTTCGACGGCATTGCGATATCTCTTCCACGATTCACAAAATTATTCACAATAGTGCATTAGTTAAAAATAATCCGCTCAGCGAACGGGTCCCGTTACCGAGGTTACGGCCGGTGACTGGCCGGCGAGTGATAGTGTAGAGTACTCGGAGATCACTCTGTATATTAGTCACTGTGTTACTGTTTCCTTAGATATTCATACATGTATCCGCGGAGCTATTAAGTACCGCTAACAAAAACAGTTGTATCGACTCACAAATAATAATAAAAACAGGATAATGGCAGCGGCACAGGTACAGTGTTGTGTTGTGTGTCGCTACGATACTATCATAGTTGAGTGACGACACGGGACATGAATGGCCGATGCCTGTGACTCATTGTACTACACCTGGCCGAGCTTTGGGCACCGGTGACTCACCTCTGGGGCTCGAACTGGGTGACGTCATCGGACCGCTATGCGCCTGCGCATTCATATTGTACTACTGTGACTGTCACTATACATACATATGTATGTTTATTATTATAATAATGTTCTTTTATAGGTAGAATGTGTCGATTATATAAATCGTAAATTTTATTATTTGAACATTATAAAATACATTTACCTGTATACTGTATAGAGGAGAAAAAGTATGTCATGAATCGCTCGCAGCGCGTTCAACTTCCTACTGAGACACGGCCGGCCGCCGTAATGACTGACATACAATCTCTTATTATATAGGAGAAGAATCTGAACTATTTTAATGAGGGTCCGTTAAGCGTGGAGTATCTTTGAGACTATTACTGAATCATATTATATGTAAATCAGTTTAAATATACAAGTTTCCTAGAGTTGTTTTCGATCGACAAACATAAATGATTTCAAAGTTTTATGCAGAAAAATAAACCTTTGTGTGTTGCGGGGATTTATTGATGACGCATTGAATACCTTCAAGTGTTTGTTGACGGAGGTGAAGGTTTACCGGTTGGAGCGGATTGTTATGTAACAACATAGAAAGCTAATACGTGTTTAATATCGAGGGAGCCCGGCGCGGCCCGGCGCGAGGCGTCCCAGTTGTTTCCTACTCCGCAGTCGGCCGTTCACAACAACAATGCAACATTCGCTCGTATCGCCGTCTCTGAAGGCCACTTCGTTCATTTCGTCTCACATAATACCCCAGCTCATCACAGATTTCGTCCGAATTGTATTTTCCGATCATTAGAACAATGACGTCTGTTGTTCACTGCGATTCAATTGTTAACTTAAAATGACTTTCGAAAATGACCAGCTCGGTACATCGAACCCGACCGTTAGAGGAGAATAATACTTATTATTGACTCCTGGTATATCTGTTCCATAAGTAGAGAGGTATTTTTGGAACTGATATGAGAACGGAGTGACTCAAAGACGGTAATTAAATATAATAAGTACGTGACGTTTACACGAAAAGGCAGGGTCATTAAATGTTTAACAAACACATGTTGCTGTGTAAAGTCAAATCAAAACTCAGTTATAATTTATAACTTTATAATAGTATTAAATAATTTATAAATAAATGATCGTTTACGTCAACGATTTTTGTCTCTGTATATCCGGTGTAGCGTCATGAATCATGATAATAGTCAATTTACGTATAATGCTCGAAGGATTTTAATAACATGTTTAAATATTTTGATGTTGAACGGACACACGGAGGGGAGAGACGCAGGCGATGATGTAACATTGGTACATTGATGTCATTATAATGATGACAACTAATACGGCGACTGTGTTCCTCAGATGTAGAGGAAATGGAAACTATAATAACACAATGCTATGTAACAACGACTTATTTATTATAATTATGTTTAAATTGGTCAGCAAAATATCAGGCGTTGGCCGGAGAAGTGCGCGGTACGTGACTGATGTATGACAACACACACGTCTGGATTAACGGACCAGCGATAGTTAGGTAGATGATAGTGACGACACACGCTCACCTCCACCAGCCCACTGCCAGGTGGAGATCGCACGTGGATCAAGCTGTATTACCGTTTTAGGAAACCGCCGGCGGAGGTCTCTTTAATGACGAGGTCGATGTATTCAACCATGAACAAAACATCAGAGACCGCGATATATAGAAGAGAAAAACCTGTCTGTATTCAAGGCTTGACTGAACAAACACATACTGAGAGACGAGTGACAGTCCAGCACTCTCCAGACAATACAAAGAAAGCGTGGGCGAAAACTGTTTTAACATGATACGCACAGAACACAGGCTAAATAAGAAAGTCCATCATTTGTGTAACATCAACAAATATTATATCATTATATAACAACTCGTCTGTCCCGTTATGATGTGTGTTAGATGTTGTGTGTGTGGGTGTATCATTAGGACGGCTTGGTTAGGTATTGTATGTTAATATGGAGACAGTGAAGCCAGCCTCTCCACCATCAAGCGATGGCTATGGTGGTGTTACAAGACTGATGAATGAGAACTATAACACGTAACCATGGGAGATGCAAACCTTTACTAGGGTGTAACTGTGTATAATGTTAATCCTATATACCTAACTAGTTGAGATATATTCAACGGTTTTTAATAACATCACAAAATGGAACCCGATTAGAACAATCCCTACTATATAATATTATAAATGCGAAAGTAACTCTGTCTGTCTGTCTGTTTGTTACGCTTTCACGCCTAACCCACTGAACTGATTTTAATGAAATTTGGTACAGAGATAGAGTTGACCCTGAAAAAGAACATAGGATAGTTTATATCCCAGAATTTTGAAAAGTTCTCTTGGAAACGCGATATAACCGAACTCCACTCGGGCGAAGCTACGGGCAGAAAGCTAGTTGATTATAAATATAGATGTTTAAGTTACGAATAGAGAAAGGTCCTACTTTACAAAGTTGTCTAAAAATGGATGTGTTATTACCGTGAGCTGATTGATTTCAATGTCGTGTTATATTTATATACAGCACATAGTAAGTGTAGCGAGGAATTAATACATACGATCAAGACCTTGACTGGTAACTTCGTTGTACTTATTTTACACATTATTCACAGGATTTGAAGTGAATGTGAGCTGTTTATGTGTTATTATTGATGTAATTATAACATTCATATAAAACAAAAGATATTACTTGAAATAATATTAACATGTGTATGTAGAATATCATGTTCTGTTGATGCACTCATAGTATTTATAACTGTGATATTGAACTACATATATTCTCACGTGTCACGCGTGTGTCTGTGTGTGTAGTAGCTGTATATATATTTATGTGTGTGTGTGTGTGTGTGTGTGTGTGTGTGTTCCCACAGCGTCGTCGTCGTCAGTCCCGCTTTCTTTCTCATCCACCGTACTTTCCACAACAACATGAATCGAGCAGTTCACAGCGAATCGATTCCGTGTCGAATCGATTCTAATTTGATTAACTCGACTCTCGGTTGAAGTGGCGACTATCGGTAGTGGGACGTGATCAGATACCTAATGATATAGTTTTAATTCTTATAGTATAGGAGCCGCGGTCAAAAAACTTTGACATTGATTGTTCCGTGTATGGATCATATCGCATATGGCTTCCTGTTCAGACAATACCATCTATAGAACATTATGATATATTATATTAATATTTTTCACATTAATGCATCACCATCTATAGAGACAGAATAGCGAAATGTTGGAACGTATTCCAGTTGTTAAATCAATCCTTAAATATGAAATAATAACTGCCTGCACATTTTTAAAGCTAAAAGAAATGTATATTTCTAATTATAAATAGTTTAGTCTCTGAGTCATGTAACATGACATTTCTTGTATCACTCAGTTTTAATTAATTCGTTATTTTTATGTATATTACACTAATTAATTATTAATTAATTTAATTTTGTAATATATGTATATGTGTTATGTTTTATATCAATAAGATCTTTAATAAACTTTAAGAACAAGTTTTAGAATGTGCTTTTCTTATACTCTCTTTCTTTCTTTCGTCTTTTTATTTTGTTTGTTATTAATTTGAAGTAAATTATATACTAATTGATGTATGTATATATGTACTGGTTTAACATACTATATAACATTTGTCTCATGCCATCGAAACAGAAAAGACGTAAGAGCGTATAACGGCAAGATATTAAATAAACAATAGTTGACAAAACGGAACAATACAATAGTACATTGGAAATGTGTCATACAGTGAGACACATGTAGGATAATACTCACAAATCACAACATATATATATGAAAATTAAACATATTGTAAATTGTAATGAACTATCCTCGCAAGCACCTCTTGTGTCGCCGGCCGACACTGAAACATGATCCATTTCACGTCTGGTATGATATGTTAACTATCATGTAACGTAACGTAAGTAACCCCTGGTTGCAGGCTGCGTGTTCCTGTGTCTCCTGGCGTGGTGTCCGTGCTCGCAGGCGGCGGGCCCCCTGGGTCAGTCGGAGCGCCCGGAGGCCTACTTCAACGGCTCCTCGTACATCCGACTCGCCACTCCGTTCTCACTCAAACAACTAGTGGGCCTCAGCTTCAGGACGTGTGTCGGTGAGTGAACAACAACCGTGCACCCACACTCGCACTTAACATTATAATACTTTTGATATGGTAAATAAAAATCTGAATTTGATTTTGTAAAACGGAGTGATAATGTTTCTGCAATGTAATAGGCTTCAATTTCAGAGTAGTGTTACTAATATTAAATATACAATAGAGAGCAAATGAAATGATCCTCCCCGCTCTCCGTCAAGATGTTTCATAACGTGTTGGAACATACATACACTACACTATCAGTGGCGGTGGTGGTACCAGTCTACGTACGTCCTTTCATAACAGTTACACAATAAGTGGTAGGCGGGAGGGGGGTGGGTCCGCTTTGACCGGTATGATTCAATCCACAGTTGACCTTTTACAATATGGACTATCTACTTTATATATAATAATATATTTTGATTCTCTCATAACACGTGCTAATCGGTCGCCGTGTTTTGTTTGTCGGTATGTGCGTCTGATGCGCACGCGCAGGTATGTCACGGTTCGGGTCCGGCGCCGCCCACTCACTGTGCGACTACATCATAACACACGTCACTGTATAGACTCAATGAAGAGCGACGGCCGCTTTTGACATATTCAAAATATTGGTTTAAACATTTGTTACACTCGTTCCCTGCCCAGAGGAATCTGTTCATTTTGAATACTTTTTCGTGTACAATGTATGTATTGAGGTTCTCGAGATGTCGTTCATACCACAAGCTATTCTTTTCCATTAATTTAAACTTATAATTTATGACGATATTGATGTAGTAAAAAGTTGTGGGACCAGAATAATACGATTCACCGTACCGCTACCGCGGTTGACGGGACCAAGCAACTAACTAGTTTTTTCACTTTACAACGAATTTTGTGTTCGATACCATGAGTATTAAAATGTAATTTGTAGAACATCAATCATTCCATCACGACTTGTACGTTCCTCCCCTCCCTCTGATCATCTTAATGTAACAATTGTAAATAAACACATGGTTTATACGATACAAGAAGTGTGTTTCTCTGTGGTCGTTCAAGTGTTGGTGGTGTGTGTCAGGTGGTGAGCTGTTCTCTCAGCGGTTCGAGGGGTACACGCTGCATGTGACGGCGCTGCTGGAGCAGGTGGTCGTGTCGTGGGCGAGGCCCGGCCTCGGTCCAAGAGAGGTGGGGCTCGCGCGGGAGACGCTCGACAACCGCTGGCACTGGGTGGCGCTCCGCTACCGGCCCAGCCCGCCGGCCCTGCTGCTAGAAGTCGATAAAGACACACAGGTAGGTCGCACTAGGAATCAGAGAAACCGGCTATGTAATGATACGATAATAATACTCACATAGAACACCTTATGACACGCGTTTAAATTTTTTTAAAATGGAAACCTTATGTAAACGTCGGCAAATGCACGATTTAATTTTCCTATATAAAATTATTAACGGGGTAGTTAAGAGTGAGCACCTTCTGTCGTACATTGACATCTCAGTACCCAGGAGACCTCCCAAAAAGCCTATTTATCATATATTCTACACAGCGGCCTCTCGCACCAACATTGGCAAACACTGTCCCATAAATAGACTTTGTTCCGAGTACAACAAAATATGCTCCAAAATCCCGCATTTGGACGTGTTTGCTGATGCCTTGCCCAAATTTAAAAACAAAATCCACCAAATAACATCATAGTTTGTCACATAGTTAATCACACTTTGTCACATGTTTTTATTTTAATGATTTATAGTTTTTTTTTTGTAGTTATAGTATAGTTTTTTTTTCTTAATTATTTATACTTTTTCTTGTAGTTTTGTATATTGTTATTTTATTATAAGGTAGACAATAAGTTTTATTTTTTTCTTTTTGTGAATGTTGTGTACGTCTCTAATTGTCACTCTTATCAGGTCCTAGATTTATAAATTTTATCTGTTTGTTTATGTGTGTTAAATAACTGTGACGTTGATGTACCTTTAAATAAATAAATAAATAATGTGTGACGTCATGCATTCAGGTGATATCGAACGTGACATGGAACCCGGAGCTGCTGTCGATGGGAGCCCTGGAGGCGGGCGGCGCGGTGGTGCTGGTGGGGAACCTGTTCTCGGGCTGCGTGCACGAGGGGCCTCAGCTGGAGTTCCACGCAGCGCACGTACTGAAGGCGACCGCTCGCTTTACGAGCTGTCCCCTCACTACAGATGCCTGTACGTACCGAGCAACCCGATCGACAACTTTGTTCTAAGTCAAAACGTTGCAATTAACAGACTCATTCAAGGGGTGTACTATAATATCCTTCTCGTATCGTAGGTAAAGACGGTAAGGACGTGCTGCGGATACCCCCGAAAGACCACTGCTACAACGAACCATGCCTCCGACATGGCACCTGCATCTCCAGACACGATAAGTAGGACGAGCCTCACTACACCACACATATGTACTGTTGGTATGAAGGTGTATATGTTTATAACACCATAACACGTTTCCGTCGCAGGTACGAGTGTCACTGTACAGCGCGATACACCGGCAACAACTGCGAGGTGGACAAAGGTGACCCGTGCGCCTCCAGCCCCTGTCGGCACGGGGCGCGCTGTGTGGAGGACGCGCGGGGGGACTACACGTGCATGTGTCCGCCGCTGTACCGAGGTCAGCAACACCATACATGACACTACACCACCACCGACACCACGCGACAACACCACACTAATGACTTAAGAGACAGTGAAAGGATACCTGTATGTATTTGATCAGACCTGGGCTTGTGCTCGTTGAGACCCCTTTACCTACCGTACATGAGATGGAGACTCATTAACCAGATCTGCTATGAATATATTTTATTTATTATAGTCTTAAAACCTTACATTGTGAATGGCAGACTTATTCATTGCGGATAAACATCAGCAGATAAAAAATTCTGAGATACACTATGTACCCGGTCAGATGTGTATATACTACGATAGCAGTTTTACATTAATATAGTTTACTTAATCAATGTATTTAATGAATTTGATATGTTCCATGTAGTCTACATACTAAACTTTTAAAGTTAAACGATACAGAAGGAGATACATAAAGAAAAAATCTTAAATATTGAAGTATACGGCTAAGAACAAAAAATAATTTTAATTTGTACATATTTTATTTTTTTAATTTATTTGTTGGATACAAAATACAAATACAGAAAGTCAGATAAATAAAAAACAATCATTGATGCATTACTAAATCAATATATATTTATTAATTTTGATGTTAAATCATCATCATCATCATCCGAGCCATGGTTACTATATTTGAACTCGTCTTCATCATTCATATCCATTGAAGCGGATTCTGCATAATTAAAAGTTCAGTTCAAGATAAAAATGAGCCATTACCTATTACAAGCAAAAATCAATTTCAAATGAGCATCCTATCACAATTGAATATATACAGGGTGACTGGTGAATTACTATCAATATTTAAGGAGAATACTCGGTACATGACTCTCAATCGAATTATGTAAAAAAAATAGGTACTTAATTTTTGCCAAAATTTCCGTATAAATAAATAAAGTGTGGACACGTTCCAAGTGTTCCAAGTGTGGACGCTGATACAACACCGCGCCGCCGCACGCGTATGTGTGTGTGTGTGTGTATGTGTATACCACCTAATCTGTAGGGTGTTCACACGATGCGTTATTAATTACATAACTTTTGGTTAACTTTACTTAGAAGTTTATTAATATTTATAGAAGTATATTAATTTTTATTTTGTCATATATGATCGTCAAATATCACGTCCTCAAGTATCGATAGTAATTCACCAGTCACCCTGTATATATATGTATATGAACTGAACTTTTAATTATGCAGAATCCGCTTCAATGGATATGAATGATGAGGACGAGTTCAAATATAGTAACCATGGCTCGGATGATGATGATGATGATTTAACATCAAAATTAATAAATATATATTGATTTAGTAATGCATCAATGATTGTTTTTTATTTATCTGACTTTCTGTATTTGTATTTTGTATCCAACAAATAAATTAAAAAAATAAAATATGTACAAATGAAAATAATTTTTTGTTCTTAGCAGTATACTTCAATATTTAAGATTTTTTCGTTATGTATCTCCTTCTGTATCGTTTAACTTTAAAAGTTTAGTATGTAGACTACATGGAATATATCAAATTCATTAAATACATTGATTAAGTAAACTATATTAATGTAAAACTGCTATCGTAGTATATAGACATCTGACCGGGTGCATAGTGTATCTCAGAATTTTTTATCTGCTGATGTTTATCCGCAATGAATAAGTCTGCCATTCACAATATGAGGTTTTAAGACTATAATAAATAAAATATATTGATGGCAGATCTGTTCAATTAATTAAAAAAAAATTACATTTTCAAAATCGTCTGCCACAATGTTAAACGCGTGATAGCCATTGTTTTTTTCCACTAATAATAACTTTTTTAATATCAAAACGGCAGACGTGGTCAAATGCATTTATAGATAGCCAAAACTCGATACCTGTCCTACCTGCGTACTAGCCGCGTCCACCACGTAGGTCTTAGTGAATCCCCATCTCGTGTACGGTAGGTAAAGGGGTCTCAACGTACAAAAGCCCAGGTCTGGTCAAATACATACAGGTGTCCGTTGACTGTCTCTTAATCTATAACGTACTACATGTATCACCCACACAGGCGTCCACTGTGAGCTGGAGGAGTCCCTGGACCCGCAGTGCGCCGCACAGCCCTGCCGGAACAACGGCAGCTGCAGCGTGCCGCCCGGCGGTGACGAGTACGTGTGCGAGTGTGCTCCAGGTACGAACAATAACTACATACATACATCACGGATGAACAACATGCACCATGAACTACTAAATAACTTTTTACACAAATATCAGGTAAAATTGATTGTCCTCAATTACTAAAAGAATTTAATATAGTAGTACCGAGACCTAACACGAGGCAAACAAATACACCAACTTTCAAATGTCGGTTTGCAAGAACAAATTTAGGAATAAAGGCACCTTTAAATAGGGCTTTTAGAAGTTATAATAATATTTCTAAAAAAGTGGGTATTGATAATATAACGATAGTCTAAAATCCTATAAAACAAAAATAAAAAATAACTTTTAACTTTTAATGTAATATACTTATTGTAAATAATATCTGCGGAATAGTCCATATACCTCTTACAAAATAGTTCTACTTTATTTTATATTATTTATTATTTTGTGAATGCATGCTGAGTTAGCCTTTAATTGTAGTGTACTTTGTAAGATCATTGTACATTATGTTGGCTTCCTAATAAAATAAATAAATAACATGACGGACCCCGCGCAGGCTACACCGGACGGAACTGTGAGACCGACGTGGATGACTGTGAGGAGGCGGGACCGGACGCCTGTCTGAACGGAGGGCGGTGTGTGGACGACGTGCACAACTACACCTGTGACTGTAGCGGGACCGGTGAGTGTTGTGTACACTGTTGGGGAGGAGGGGAGGGGAGACGGGGCAGTACAGGGAGCGGTCGGTGTTACAGGGTACACGGGCCCGCGCTGCGACACCAACGTGAACGAGTGCGAGGAGGAGCGAGGCGTGTGCGGCCACGGCGCCTGCTATGACACGTACGGCGGGTTCGTGTGCGCCTGCCTGCCCGGCTTCACGGGCGAGCGCTGCCACAAGATGTCGGCCTGCGCCTCGGGCCCGTGCGGCGCGGGGGGAGCCTGCGTCGAGGAGAACGGCGGCGCCGGCTTCCGCTGCGTATGCGCCCGGGGCCTCTCCCCGCCGCTGTGCGCGCCGACCCCGCCGCCTCCGGCCGCCGCGCCGCCCGCCACCACGTCGGGCGCGCCGCCCTCCACGCCGGGCGCGACGTGCGCGGACGTGTCCTGTCCGCCCCACTCGCACTGCGTGGTGATGTCCCGCCAGATGGTGTGCGCCTGCGACCTCGGCTTCTACGGGCCGGCGGGCGCGGCGCCCGACTGCTCGCCGCTGGAGTCCGCGTGCGAGGCGGGCGTGTGTCTGAACGGCGCCACGTGCGTCCGCTCGCAGGACCGGCTGGAGTGTGTGTGCGCGCCCGGGTACAGGGGTGAGCATCACACGCTGTCATATCGTCTGGTTGTGTCTGATACGAAGCATCGTTTATAATGTCATGTAATTCTCCAGCGGGCCGCTCGCCGGCGGGGCGCGCCTCTCCGCGCGTCTAAAGTATATTAGCGACCCTTAGGATTAAGAAGATGTTGAATTAGTTATAAGGTACCAGCTGGTAGTGTGCCGCCTGTCTGTTCGCTGTGCCTCCTGCCTGTCGTTGGTACAGTAGTGGTGGCGGTCCGTCGGCCACTCCTGTACTAACCTTCCCTCTCGGTGTTGTTATATTCATTGTTGTATTGAATGTTCCTGTTGTCGACATGTGTTGGAATGCGATTTTGTTTGTTGTTTATTTGTTATTCTGCATGTAAAGTCGGATTCGTCCAAGTGCCTTAGTGTAGTCAGATACTTACTTATATATAGTAATAGATAGATCTTAGATGACATATTTTTAGTCCATTAGTCAGTTCTATCTTCTCAGTATGTACGTATCACTAACCCCCCCCCCCTCCCCATATCACCCCCAGGTATGTATTGTGAGACGGGTCTGTCGGGGAAGTCCCTGTCTGAGCGCTGCGCCTCCGCGCCCTGTGTGCACGCCGTCGCCTGTAGAGATCTAGTGAGTATCGACACACGGCAACATTACTTGAAAATAACGAAACGGAGTAGGGAGGTGATTTACTCATTACATTATAATAACAGACTTATTCCCTATCACAGACTCATGACCTGAACATGATGATTCTTATTGTATATAAGGAAAATTGGTATATAAGGACATTTGGTATAAAAGGAAAAATAGTATATAAGGACATTTGGTATATAAGGAAAATTGGTATATAAGGACATACAAGTTAGTTGTCAAATCTAATGTCAAAAAAACATTTGTATCAAATAACTACTAATAAATTAAAAATTAATAAAAAAACATTGTCCAGCGGACCAAATTGTGAATCTAGGTGAAATTTCTTAGGTGGTAGAGCCTAGCTGTAGTCAATTAATACAGCTCGAACATGGGCTGGCTCGACCGGAGAAGTACCACCCTCTCACAGAAGATCGGCGTGAAGTAGCCTTTAATGGCTGCGTTTCGTCCGATGAGTGAGAGAGCCGGTTGCCCTTTCCCTATTCCCACCCTTTCCTACCATTTCCTTATTCCCACCCCTCCCTATCCCTACAAAACAAGGTTGGCAATGTAGATGTTGCGGATGTCCATGGGCGACGGTAACCACCTTCCATCAAGTGGGCCGTCTGCTCGTTTGCCAGCTTTCACATTAAAAAAAAATCTAAATCATTCCCAGTTCCCCTTGAACACACACAAAAAATTTCATCAAAATCGGTAGAGTCGTTTGAGATAAGTTCAGTGACATACACACTCACAAAAGAATTATATATACATATAATAAAGATATATCATATACAAAGTAACCGCACACCTCCAGTGTGATATGTTCAGTACAGTAGTAACGTGTGTTCTCGGTGCAGGCGAGCGGGTTCCGCTGTGAGTGCGAGGCTGGCTGGAGCGGCGCGCGGTGTGAGGTGGAGGCGGGGGCGGGGGAGGGCGCGCCCGGCCCGGCCGAGGAGGACCCCTGCTCCTCCGCGCCCTGCAACAACGGCACCTGCACCCTCAGGGACACCACCGCCTTCGACTGCACCTGTCCGCCCGGCCTTACCGGTCAGTCACATACTACACGCTTACTACTGATTAACATGATTCATTTACAGCTCACCGATGACAGTAGTATGTACAATAGAAGGTTTCTGGCACACACATGATACAAGTGTAGGGTCCGCATTGTGACGCAGCTGGTTCTAACACATAACACTATTATTAGAGCTCATGTCGACTCAGTTCCTTTATGTAAGTAATAGAGGACAATCAGCTTGGCCAGCGGAGCGAGGACTATCAACATGAGAATGACTGGTGTATTCAATGAGTTCAAATGTTGTACAGTCAAATATCGAGTGAGGTGGTATGTAGGTGTAATGCTAGTTAAGTATAGGGTTTTCCAGATACTGATCGCCTGGTAGATACAATTTGCTATATAAAAGAAATTCTGTAGGCCATGTGTACCTATGTATGACCAAATTTTGTAAAATAACTAACATAATACAAAACGTTAAAAACGAACGAACGAACGATCCCAAATCATATAAACTTAAACTAATGAAAATATAAAAGTAAACAGAACGACGACTGACCCATCTAACGGTCGCACACAGAGATTGAACATATTACGGAACAGGCTCATAGGATACGAAGATATCAGTGATCCGAGAATCGAGTTTCAGTTCACTAAATATATGAATAGGAGATGAAGTCAAGGAATCACTCCACACACAACTCAGTCCTTACTGCTAGTTATGAATATAAAACTGCCAGTCAATGTGTCGCTGCACTATGACAGTTCATTATTGATCTCGTTCAGAACATTTGTAAATTAAAAAGTCGTTAAAATATAGTTTTAGATAATAATAGGTTCCACCAGTGTCGTCCTCTTCAATGGTCCTGTAATCGTCTCGGCAACCGTTCATTTAATTTTGTTATCAAAATAGATAGGTTTAATATATGCTTACTTACTTCAGGACATACGGGATTGATTATAATTCATAAATATGACTGTTTTCGGACTTTATCAATAATATCTGGTTACCGAGCTTTGCTCAGTATTTAGGAATTTTTAATATTTATTTTGTTTTTTTATTTCGCGTAGGCATTTTTAATTGAACACGTTAAGAAGACACAAAACAATATTAATCATCAATTAATTTCTTAGTCTAACCTCAAAGACTTCCTGTTACTTAGCAACGCAATCTGCTGTTGTGTCGTTTAACCCTCAACCACCTATTTTTGTCCTTTAACCAGCTACGTGCGCGGTCACGGAGACCGTTCATAAATTTTCGCTATTATTTTGGGATCTATGATATGAAAGTAAAGTTTAGTTAAATAAAATATATGGCTACACTTAATTGCTTTATTTATGCGTCACAAATAAACAAAAGTAATCAATTTTTTTTTTAAATTTAATAATATCTATGATATAAAGAATATGGCACCATAAATAACTACTCTAAGAAAATGAGATCTTTATTCCAAAATACTATTTTTTTCTTATTTCTATTAACTTGAATAAACTTAAAATAAAATCAAATAAAAAAACGAAACAAAAAATAAAAAAGAAACAAAATTGCAACTCCTCAACTTTTACATTTTTTCGCAGCAGTAACGACACATTTTTTACAAAATTTCCAAAGAAATAGGTATGTAGTTTACAAACATAACATAGGTAAGCCGTTTTGTGTTTGCTTTTTATATCATACGTATTGTATTTTGATTTCATTAGACTTATTTCATTATTTATGTGTAGTAAAATTTTGTCTAAAATCTCATCCGTAAATAAGAGAATATCCAAATATCAAAGAGGTCAAGAAGAAATGTTAAAAAATACTCGCGTAGGTGGTTAAGGGTTAAACAATTATTAAAAGCAATTAGTAAAAAGTAGCTACACTATTCGCCAATAGATCTCAGGAAGAGTCATATTTTTAACGCTTCCTTTTTGTTATTTTTTTTTCATCAAATAATATTTTCTAAAAATTTATCGCCCCTGAAATTTCATGAAAATCGTTGGAGCAGATTCCGAGATTCCAATTATATCTTTATATATATTATATATATATAACAATTGCTCATTTAAATATATAAGATATATTTTAAAATAGGAATACCATATAAATTTTTACAGAGAGAGACACATTGTCTTCAATTATTTTGATTTATTGTGACTTTTCCTTCTATCTGATAAAATTCTGATAACGACTTTTTCATACTACAAGTCCTGTAAACTGAACAACAATGAATTGGAAAATAAGAAGAAATCTTAGACGATCATAAAGAGTGCCTGAGGAATAATGAAACGACAAACATAGAGGTCTAATTGTAATTTAATAAGTCTTTCGCAATCGAAGTCAGAGCTCGTCTCCTATGAACACGTCTCCGAGCATGTAGGCTGGTGTGTCACGCAGACGGCGGCCCTTGAGCGTGATGGCGGACGGCAGCAGGGCGGGCACCCGGCGGTGCAGCCCCCGCCCGCCCACGGTCCACGCCGCCACCCGGCATCGGCTGCCCGCTTTACCCGTGACGGAGACCCAGCCCGCGGACGACAGCACGATGTCCCCGCAGCAGACGTTGGGTCCTTCTCCCTCGAACTCCATCTCGCCGCCACCGCTCAGCCCCGGCCACCTCTGGAGCCGCTCGTGTCCGCCGCTCGGCACCGCGAACAGCTCGGTGCCCACGAAGCTGTTATACAGCTCGTCTGCGAACCTGGTCTCCGTCACGGTGATCGGCAGACTCTCGGAACAAAAGATGGTGAAGCGACACGCGTCCGCGCTCTCCAACAGGTCCACCCGAGCCAGGCCTCCTATGAAGAAGCTGGCTCCCTCCCGCAGGTAGTAGGTCTGAGGTCGGATCAGTTTCCTCGGTATGGCCAGCATCAGCTCCTCGGTGGTGAGCAGCGACAGGATCTGGTCGGAGAGCACCACGCCCGGAGTGTCGTACAGCCATTTACTCTTTCTGAAAAGCGGATTATTTTCATCGAAAACCACCATGTGATGTCGTTTGTCCGCTACATTATCGCTGGAGACTTGGTACTGTGTGAATGTTCTGCCGATGTGTCCTATCAGTGACGGAGCTTCGGTCACGTCCCTTCCCAACACTTGACCTTTCCTTATTTCTTTTTCTACCTTCATGAGTTTTCTCTCTGTGAGCAGTCTATGACTTCTCTCTCGTATTTTCCATCCCGATGGTCTGTTGATAGGAAATTTAAGGAGATTCAATGTGGTTCCGGGCCAGCGACTCACAGTTGCTCTTTTGACGATATCGACTGCGTGTACTTTACAGTAATCGGATTGAAGGAGGGCGTTAAATAACGAACTCTTTCCGACATTTGTTGAACCCACTAAGAAGACGTCTCCTTTATAGAGCCACGTTTTAAACATGGCCGATATTAGGTCTTCCACTCCATAACCAGTTTTGGCTGATATCAATGCCACATACTTAATGTTGGCTTCACCTAGTTTAGTTTTTTTGATTTCTGTCATCAAACATTCTTTGACTCTCTTTAAGTAACCGACACTGTCCCCGGGCAGGAGATCCACCTGAAATGAAATATACACAAAACTATTAGGAACATAAACAAAAATTTGAATCACATTTGAACAATACTGAACAGTCCTTACTTTATTAGCTACTATAATGACTGGTCGTTCAGTGCCGATGATGTCCACTATGCCGGGCCACAAGGAGCATGGGAAGTCAAGGAGGTCCACCATTACAAGCAATAGAGACTTAACATACCTGCAAATTATAAGTTGTAACTTAGTATACTTCTGATTAATATATGGAAGGCATCTCACAGCCATATTACACACATAATACACTTTCCAACTGTCTACCCTGACATTTTAACAACTCTACTGTTATAAAATTCATAGGCAGATGATGTAGAACACAATGTTTTGTCCTTGGTATCTCTAAATATATAAAAATAAAATCCAGATAATTGTAAGTAATCATGTTTAAAATATGTACTACTATTGAATCTTTTTGAAACCAGTCACAAACCTGATGGATTGCAACAGTTTTTCATATTCCTCAGCTTGAACGGAGACATCTAATGCTATGTTGTATTCCTTGAGGAAATGACATCGCTGACATTCCATAGTCTTTAGTTCCTCTGCCTTCCGTCCTGTAAATAATTCACTCGGCAAGTATCCAGGTATGGCGGGGTCATTACAGTGTAACAGGGCTCCACAGCCGCCACAGCGCACTTGACTGATGCTGGCACTGGGATCCGGAGTACCGTAATATTTACTCCAGTCTTTGTTAGTTTCATCATCGTTTTCAGCGGACGTCAGATGATTGTCATCAAAATATTCATAGTTTGTCATCCACTGGTCAATGTTTGATTTCAATTCATTTTCCTGTGATCTTTGAAATTTATCTTGTTCATTGATTTCAATAGGAGTTGTATCCCCAAAAGGCAGTTGAAAAGTTTTGTCGGAGACAACAGGCTCGGGTTCTTTCTCATTATTCAGAAGTCTATCCTTATCAACATAATACCTTAAGGCTACTGGTAGTGGCGGTAAACTTTTTTCTTGTAGAGCCTTCTCTTGAGTTTGTTTGGCTCTCTTGATAGTTTTCATATGATATTTGAAGTAACCAAGTTCTAACTTTTCATGTTCTAAGTACGAACTGAACACTATTTTATCTTTATGTTTCTGTAGAAGAATCTTGAAGTCTTTATTTTCAACAGGTGTCTGTTTTATCGGAATTTCACTGCTACTAGTCCGAATTACAACATTAGTATAAGTTAAACTGTATCGGTTTAATAACCTTAAAGAATTACGCACGGCATATATCATTGTGAAATTACACGATCATATTAAGAAATTTTATGAAATAGATTCTTATATTACAGAATTAATAATGAATTCGACTTCTTTGATAGTAAACTCTGATAACAATTAATGTTTTTGATTTATTTTTAACTTAGCGTCTAGCGTTTATTATCGCGAGTCAGGTTTACGGCAATTTAATTGTCAAACGTCAAATTGACGGTTTCGTCAGTGTTGCTAGAACAGAAAAAATTTATGACATATGAGTGTTGATGTTTTTTGTTATGGCAATGAAAGTAAGAGCGATAAAAACTTAAATAATATCCTATTGTCATTATTTTAATATGTTACAATTCAATATGTATGACAATTAGCACTTTAGTTTTAAAATGTTCTGTTACTCGTGACTCTAAAATCACTTGTGTAAACTGCAAGTGGGGCAATATATTGCAATATGTAGTTCGTTTTGTACGTCCATATTATAATTATTTCATGGTGTCTTTTTATTAAATTTATTATAAATATATAAAATGGGTAATTTGTACTTAAATCTTACTTTACTGATTTTTATAATTGAAGGTGAATAATATTTTAATATAATAATATTCTGATCTCGCTTGAGACTTATATTTTCGTTTTGTCTTCAGGAAAATTTTGTGAAAACGACATTGACGAGTGTGCACTGACGCCAGACATATGTAATAATGGCAAATGTTTCAATATGCCCGGCTCCTACCAGTGTTATTGTAAGCCAGGTTTGTATCACGTTTTATTATGTTATATGCGTATTGTATTATGTTTATTGTATTTGATTTGGAGTACACTCAGTACTACTACTATTATTATTAAAGGATACACGGGAATAAGCTGCGAGCAGGATATCGATGAATGCTTGTCTCTTCCTTGCAAGAACGGCGGCACGTGCCAAAACTTGGAGAACAATTATGAATGTACCTGCGTTGAGGGTTTCGAGGGTAAGATATCTAACTTGTCATTCAATTAATTTGAAAGCTTTCACTATGTATACTGATTATTTTAGGCAAGGATTGTTCAATAAACATCAACGAGTGTGCGGCCAACCCCTGCGCCGCCGGCTCCACCTGCATCGACGGCGTGGCCAGCTACCGCTGTATCTGTCAGGAGGGACTCACCGGGCCGCACTGCGAGACGAACATCGACGACTGTGAGGTCAGTCGCTCACCTCGACACCTTATTGACAAACATGTCAATAAGTAACAAAGACAAAGAAGTAACAACTTCCTTAATAATAATAATAGTTTATTTTCTCGAATATGGGTTAACAAAGGTATTTCATACATTTACGGTGGTCCAACATATTCTGTCGATTTGGCATGCAAATATTTTGAATAAACTAATAATACTTTATACTACTAATGAATTTACTACAATTACAAATATAAAGTTTATAATTTAAATAAATAATTTTCAATATCGTCATTATAAATAAATAGTTATTTGTCAGTTAATTCAAATAAAATTACAATATTATTTATAATTCAAAATTTGTCTTTAAGAAATTCATTTATACTATAATACAGTTTATACAAAAATTCTTAAATACATTTAGAGACAATTCTTTACAATCTCTGGGTAGGTGGTTGTAAATACGTATGGCCATTCAGTATACATTGTTATAAATTAAGATACAAACATAATCGTTGGAACATACAGTTTGTCTTTAAATCTGCTATTTATTACATCACAGTTTCATTTAAACAAATAAATATTTTTATGAACAAATATACTAATTTCATATAGGTATAGGCAAGGAACGGGTAATATATTCAGATTTTTAAATATAGGTTTACAGCTCTCGGTGAAATGAATAACGTATTAGTAAAGGATCCCGATATAAGGCGACCTTCACCGAGATGTTTATTTGATGAAACATATTTTATATTCAATTTAATATGTCAATAACTATATTACATATGGGTTGCCTCATAAATTTTAGTCCAGGATATGATTAATTAACAATTAAAAATAGATTTTTTTTCAAATATTTCACCGGTTTGATTATTAGATAAATTCCACACCAATCGAAAGTACGGAGCCCATAGAATATGAAAACGTTAGGTTGCCTATTCTTTTCCAGTCACAACTCTCGGGTTGCCAGGGATAAACAGGTACATCGATAGTAGCATTTTGCACCGGTCTGATAATTTAATCAAATTTAAATGAAAACAAAGAATATTTAATTACGAACAAGGTAGTATAGGGTTGCCTCCGAAAAATCAGTCCTAAATTAGGGTTGTCAATTTTTAAAGTTTAATGTTTCTGCGATTGAAAATGTGCGACTGAGAGGTCCCAAGCAAAAATAATTTAAAAAAACTCTGTTTATTGTTCAAAATTATAAAAACATATATATTTTCTTAAATTATTAAGCTTCTGAGTCATCGGACATAAAACTGGGATCTTCTACATCTGCATCTTCTTCGTCATCACTCTGTTTCGGTTCTTTTGACAATATCAACTATTCTTAAAGGTGTATGATCCCCAAGGAACCCTCGTGGTTTTAAATATGCATCTAAGTACCATCCGCAGCTTTCAGGATCAAGTTTGATGCATATTGGATCTGTTGCATTCGGCCACATCGAATTTACGAAAATAGTTCAAGAATTTACAGCTTGTATATATGGAATTAAGAATTAACTAATGTGAATGATGCAAGATATCGTATTTTCATGAAAAATTACTCTGCTAAAGAAGACAGTGACCAGTTTCTAAAAAAAATCAAAGGCTTTGAATGAAACTAATATTTTTCGGATGTACTACGCGCATATTATTTTTATCAAAAACAACATACTCCCGACGTTTCGGTTACTTTACAGCAACCGTGATGGGGGACCTTTAAGAATAGTTGATATTGTCGAAAGAACCGAAACAGAGAGTGATGACGAAGAAGTGTTAAACTAATTATTAAATTTAGCCTTTGATATTAATCTACATAATATGTATATTCTACATGTAAATATAATCTGTGTGACAGTTGAATAAATTCTCTCTCTGTGATTCTCTAACAAGTGTAGTTTAATTTTCAAGACATCTCCTCCATTTAATAATAAAGTTATCAGGTTATGGGCCCAGTCAAACTCTCAATTCCTGTTCAGTGTAGTACAGTATAAATTTAAAGTCATCATCCTGTAAATTAAAGCAAATTAGTTGATTTTGAACAAACAAACGTATAACCTACAAAATTGTCCACGCGGTCGCCGAAGTTTTTGGATTTCAGCTATAATTTTGAGATAAAATGTCATCAAACGGATCATTGATTCAAATTGAAAAACTTACTGGCCGAGATAATTGGACAAGCTGGAGTTTTGCAGTACAGGCATACCTGGAACTGGATGATTTATGGGAATGTGTCCAAGGAACAGATACTGATCCAAAGAAAGAGAAAAAGGCAAAATCAAAACTAATATTATTAATCGATCCAATAAATTTTATACATATTCAAGATGCGACGACGTCAAAACAGATTTGGGAAAATTTATTAAAAGCATTTCAAGACTCTGGTCTACTGAGAAAAGTTGGTTTATTGCGAGACTTGATTAACACTAGTTTAGAAACGAGCACCAATGTAGAAGATTACGTCAACAAAATCATGAGCTCAGCTCATAAGCTGAGAAATATTGGATTCAGTGTTGATGATGAATGGCTCGGGACCTTGATGCTTGCAGGTTTGCCCGATGAATACAAACCTATGATTATGGGTATTGAAAGCTCAGGAGTAAAAATAAGTGCAGATCTGATTAAAACTAAACTTTTACAAGAAATAAAAGATACATCAAGTAATTCAGCTCTGTACACAAGTAATAAAAATGCTCAAGCTAAGTTCAAAAATACAAAGCATCAGTCAAAGTCAAAAGGTCCAAGATGTTTTAACTGTAACAAATATGGATACCTTGGTAAAAATTGTTGGTTTCTAAAAAATAAATCACAGAGTAAAGAAAATAACAAAGGTTTTGTGGCAGCTTTCTCGGCTATGCAACTGAATGATTGTGTGAACTGGTATGTAGATTCAGGTGCTTCGATGCATATGACAATGCATAAAGATTTATTACAGAATGAAACAATACCACCGATATCCACAATCAAAATTGCAGACAATAAAACTTTACAAGTCAAAAGCTGTGGAGATGTGATACTGCATATACCTCATAAAGATGGCAGCAGCAGTGAAATACTAGTAAAGAATGTTCTATATGTACCAAAATTGTCTACAAATTTACTATCTGTTAGTAAAATAATAAAATCTGGTTGTAAAGTGGAATTTGATAAAACTGGCTGCTCAGTATATAATTCAAATAATCAAAAAGTAGCCACAGCTAATCTAATAAATGATACATATAGACTGAACATAAATTACAGTAAAATATTTGCCATGTCAACAAAAGCAGAGTCAATTACACATCTATGGCATCAACGTATGGGCCATCTAAATTATAATGATGTTCACAAATTACCTAATTGCACAACTGGTGTACAGTTATCATCACAGAATGAAAAGTATGTATGTATAAGATGCCTAGAGGGCAAGCAAACAAGGCAATCATTTCCAAGCAATGGCTCCAGGGCAAATGGGTTGCTAGAGCTAGTCCACACAGATGTATGTGGCCCGATACAAGTTGCTTCGATTGGCGGTGCCAAGTATTTTACAACTTTTATTGATGATTATTCAAGAATAGTCTATGTATACATAATTAAAAGTAAAACAGAAGTGTTTGAAAAATTTATTGAATATAAAAACCGAGTAGAAAATGAATTAAATAAAAAGATTAAAATTTTACGCAGCGATAATGGATTGGAGTATACAAATAAAAACTTTAATAATTATTTAAAGAAAAATGGAATATTACATCAGACTACCAATCCCTACACGCCACAACAAAATGGTCTCAGCGAGAGAATGAACCGGACATTGATTGAACGAGCTAAATGCATGATGCTTAATGCTGATTTACCAAAGAATTATTGGGCTGAAGCTGTAACAACTGCGGCATATATAATTAACCGCTCGCCCACACATGCTTTATCAGATATTACACCTCATGAAGTATGGACCGGACAAAAGCCAGACTTAAGCAATATCAGAATATTTGGTTGTCCTGCTATGGTGCACATACCCAAAGAAAAACGTCAAAAATTAGATGTGAAATCTCGTCAGCTAATCTTTGTTGGGTACAGTGAATGCACAAAAGGCTACCGGTTTATAGACCCGAAAACAAATAAGGCAGTGATCAGTCGGGATGTACACTTTCTGGAAGAAAACATTAAAAGTAAAATAGTAGAATCAATTTCTTTTGATACATTTTTATCAAATGTGGAGCTGCTGTAACATGGAGCAGTCAAAGGCAACACACTGTCGCTCTATCAACTACGGAAGCAGAATTTATGGCGGCCTGTGCTGCCACCAAAGAAGCCATCTGGATTAAACAATTATTATGTGATCTTGGTGAATTTCAGCAACAAATAGTAATGATAAATATAGACAATCAAAGTGCAATAAGTGTTATTAAAAATGTAAATTTTCATAAGAGGTGTAAACATATTGACACTAAATATCATTTTATTAAGGAAAAGTTTTATGCTAAAGTTATTGATCTTAAATATGTTTCAACATGCAATCAACTTGCTGATTTTCTAACAAAGGCTTTACCTAGGGACAAATTTCAATATATGAGAGACCAAATTGGAATGTTACCTATGGATATGTTGTGTAATGTTAATGTAATTAAGTAATTTTATTTTACTTCTGTAATTAACTTGGTACATGAAAGGCTCAAATTTGGCAGGAGTGTTAAACTAATTATTAAATTTAGCCTTTGATATTAATCTACATAATATGTATATTCTACATGTAAATATAATCTGTGTGACAGTTGAATAAATTCTCTCTCTGTGATTCTCTAACAAGTGTAGTTTAATTTTCAAGACATCTCCTCCATTTAATAATAAAGTTATCAAGAAGATGCAGATGTCGAAGATCCCAGTTTTATGTCCGATGACTCAGAAGCTTAATAATTTAAGAAAATATATATGTTTTTATAATTTTGAACAATAAACAGAGTTTTTTTAAATTATTTTTGCTTGGGACCTCTCAGTCGCACATTTTCAATCGCAGAAACATTAAACTTTAAAAATTGACAACCCTAATTTAGGACTGATTTTTCGGAGGCAACCCTATACTACCTTGTTCGTAATTAAATATTCTTTGTTTTCATTTAAATTTGATTAAATTATCAGACCGGTGCAAAATGCTACTATCGATGTACCTGTTTATCCCTGGCAACCCGAGAGTTGTGACTGGAAAAGAATAGGCAACCTAACGTTTTCATATTCTATCGGCTCCGTACTTTCGATTGGTGTGGAATTTATCTAATAATCAAACCGGTGAAATATTTGAAAAAAAAATATTTTTAATTGTTAATTAATCATATCCTGGACTAAAATTTATGAGGCAACCCATATGTAATATAGTTATTGACATATTAAATTGAATATAAAATATGTTTCATCAAATAAACATCTCGGTGAAGGTCGCCTTATATCGGGATCTTAGACTATATTATAAATAGTTCTTATATTTTTTTTGTGTCTTAAATGCAACATGCAAGTCCACAGAATTACCCCATATTACAATACCATATCTTAGCAAAGATTCAACATATCCATAGTAAGCTGTAATTGCTGCTGAAACAGAAACTTGAAGTTAATCAGTTAATAAACGGATGTCCTTCCACAGTCTCAGCCCTGCTCGCACGGCGGTCAGTGTATAGACGGTCTGAACGGGTACACGTGCGAGTGCGCCGGCACGGGGTACGCGGGAGATGACTGCGAGCTCAACATCGACGAGTGCGCCTCCCTGCCGTGCCGCAACGGAGGAACCTGCCTCGACGACGTCAACGACTACCACTGTGTGTGCCACCCGGGCTTCACCGACAAGAACTGCTCCACGGACCTGGACGAGTGCGAGAGCTCCCCCTGCCTGCACGGCGGAGTGTGTCTGCAGCGCTCCAACGTGTCCTTGTACCGCGCGCCGGATGCCCCGCCCGTGCGCGTGGGGCCGCAGCCGCACATGGTGCTGCCCGACGTGTTCTACCGGCCCTTCGCCCCCGAGACGGCCGGCGGGTACGAGTGTGTGTGCGTGGCGGGGACCTCAGGCGCGCGCTGCGAGCACAACGTGGACGAGTGCGCCTCCTCGCCCTGTCGCAACGGGAAGTGCGTCGACGCCGTGGGCGGGTACGCGTGCCACTGCGCGCCCGGGTACGAGGGCGAGCACTGCGAGCTGGAAATAGACGAGTGCGCTCGGTACGCCCCCTGCGAGCACGGCCGCTGTCACGACCGACCCGCTTCCTACTACTGCTCGTGCGAGGCGGGCTGGGGCGGCCGGAACTGCTCCGTGGTGCTGACGGGCTGCCGCGGCGCGCCCTGCCGCAACAACGGCACCTGTCTGCCCTGGCTGGTGCGCGAGGACGAGCACCGCTTCAACTGCTCATGCGCGCCGGGCTACTACGGACCCGCTTGCGAGAAGGTCGGTCGAGCCGCCGTCCTCCTCGGTCGTGGCTCATGACGCGTTTTCTAACCTGACCTCTCGATACATTACAGATCACTACGATGTCTCTGGAAAAATTCAGTTACGCGGAAGTGAACACGTCGCGGGAGGAGGGCTACGACATATCGTTCCGGTTCAAGACCACGCTGGGCAGCGGCCTGCTCGCCATGGGCCGCGGACTCACCTTCTTCTTCCTCGAGCTGTCGGACGGGAGACTCAACCTGCAGTCGAGCCTGTTGAACAAGTGGGAGGGGGTGTTCATAGGGTCTAATCTGAACGACAGTAATTGGCAGAAGGTATATCTCTAGACTAAGTTTTATATGTTCCTATCAGCTTGTTGTACACTGACCGAGCGCCTCGTGCAGGTGTTCGTGACCGTGAACACGTCGCACCTGGTGCTGGCCGCCAACGAGGAGCAGACCATCTACCCCATCAACCAGAACGAGGCGACCAACGCCTCCTGGACGTCGTTCCCGTCCACTCGCCTGGGCACGGCGGGCTCGTCATACGTGACCCTCCGCCACGGTCCCGCCAGACACTCCAGGAACTTCTTCGTCGGCTGCTTTCAGGACGTCGTCGTCAACGGACAATGGGTCATTAATACTATTTAACTATGTAACCGTAAAGCTTGAAACATGTTCTCACTGTTAATTTTGTTTACATTTTTATTATTATATTTATTAATTATCTTCTTTATCTTTATATATACAGGGTGACTGGTGAATTACTATCAATATTTAAGGAGAATACTCGGTACATGATTCTCATTCGAATTATGTAAAAAAAATAGGCACTTAATTTTTGACCAAAATTTCGTATAAATAAATAAAGTGTGGACACGTTCCAAGTGTTCCAAGTGTGGACGCGTGCGGCGGCTTGCTGATACAACACCACGCCTCCGCACGCGTGTGTGTGTGTGTGTGTGTGTATACCTAATCTGTAGGGTGTTCACACGATGCGTAATTAATTACATAACATTTGGTTAACATTACTTAGAAGTTTATTAATATTTATGGTATATTAATTTTTATTTTGTCATATATGATCGTCAAATATCACGTCCTCAAGTATCGATAGTAATTCACCAGTCACCCTGTATAATTCTTCTGTGAGTGTGTATGTCACTGAACTTCTCTCAAACGACTGGACCGATTTTGATGAAATTTTTTGTGTGTGTTCAAGGGGATCTGGGAATGATTTAGATTCACAATTTGCTCCGCTGGACAATGTTTTTTTTTTATTAATTTTTAATTTATTAGTAGTTATTTGATACAAATGTTTTTTTGACATTAGATTTGACATCTAACTCATATGTCAATCATTCTGTCGTACTTCAAAACACGGAGATTTATGGCTTTAATAGGTAAACTCCAAAATTATAAATAAAAATCGTAACAGATATTTCTTGATTATAAGGCGATACGAAGTACGCCGGGTCGACTAGTATCCTTATATAACAAATGGCATTATATACCAAATGTCCTTATATACCAATTTTCCTTATATACCAAATGTCCTTATACAGGGTGACTGGTGAATTACTATCGATACTTGAGGACGTGATATTTGACGATCATATATGACAAAATAAAAATTAATATAACATAAATATTAATAAACTTCTAAGTAAAGTTAACCAAAAGTTATGTAATTAATTACGCATCGTATGAACACCCTACAGATTAGGTATACACACACACACACACACATACGCGCGCGGCGGCGTGTTGTTGTATCAGCACGCCGTCGCACGCGTTCACACTTGGAACACTTGGAACGTGTCCACACTATATTTATTTATACGGAAATTTGGTCAAAAATTAAGTACCTATTTTTTTACATAATTCGAATGAGAATCATGTACCGCGTATTCTCCTTAAATATTGATAGTAATTCACCAGTCACCCTGTATACTAATTTTCCTTATATACCAAATGTCCTTATACACTTATTTACCTTATATAACAAATGTCCTTATATACCAATTTTCCTTATATATCTTTATACAGGGTGACTGGTGAATTACTATCAATATTTAAGCAGCATACTCGGTACATGATTCTCATTCGAATTATGTTAAAAAAAATAGGTACTTAATTTTTGACCAAATTTCCGTATAAATAAATAAAGTGTGTACACGTTCCAAGTGTTCCTAGTGTGGACGCGTGCAGCGGCGTGCTGATACAACAACACGCCTCCGCGCGCGTATGTGTGAGTGTGTGTGTATACCTAATCTGTAGGGTGTTCACACGATGCGTAATTAATTACATAACTTTTGGTTAACTTTACTTAGAAGTTTATTAATATTTATGTTATATTAATTTTTATCTTGTCATATATGATCGTCAAATATCACGTCCTCAAATATCGATAGTAATTCACCAGTCACCCTGTATATATATAATTCTTCTGTGAATGTGTATGTCACTGAACTTCTCTCAAACTACTGGACCGATTTTGATGAAATTTTTTGTGTGTTCAAGGGGATCTTGGAATGGTTTAGATTCACAAGTTTGTCCGCTGGACAATGTTTTTTAATTAATTTTTAATTTATTAGTAGTTGTTGATACAAACGTTTTTTTTACATTAGATTTGACAAGTAACTAATATGCCAATCATTCTGTCGCACTTCAAAACACGGAGATTAATGCTTTAATAGGTAAACTCCAAAAATATAAATAAAAAACGTAACAGATATTTTTTGATTATAGGGCGATACGAAGTTTCGCCTGGTTTTCTAGTACATATATATAATTCTTCTGTGAGTGTGTATGTCACTGAACATCTCTCAAACGACTGGACCGATTTTGATGAAATTTTTTGTGTGTGTTCAAGGGGATCTGGGAATGGTTTAGATTCACAATTGTGTCCGCTAGACAATGTTTTTTTAATTGATTTTTAATTTATTAGTAGTTGTTAATACAAACGTTTTTTTTTTTACATTAGATTTGACAACTAACTAATATATCAATCATTCTGTCGCACTTCAAAACAGGGAGATTTATGGCTTTAATAGGTAAACTCCAAAAATATGAATAAAAAAACGTAACAGATATTTCTTGATTATACGAAGTTCGCCGGGTCTTCTAGTTTTTCAATAAGTTTGATTATTAAAAGCATAATAACTTTTGTTTGATGTACTTGATACCAATCAATTAATGAGTATAGAGGCGGTCAAAGTTAATGTCTAATGGGCAAACATCAATTTCAACAGGTCCTCCCCGAAGAGTCCAACTCAGGTTCAGGCGAGCCCCGCACGGAGCCCCCGGCCGAGGAGGAGGCGGCAGGCGGCGGGGCGCGCGCCGTGCTCCGTGGGGTGCTGGCCTCCTGCCCGCGCACCCCTCAGTGCGCGCCCAACCCGTGTCGCTCGGGCGGGGTGTGTGAGGACCGCTGGACCGCCTTCCGCTGCACCTGTCCTCGCCCGCACCTCGGCGACACGTGCCAGTACAGTGAGTGTGCTGTTCTATGTACAGCGTGTTCTTTGTGTTCCGTGTGTCCTGTGTCGTGCTGACCGCTCGCCTCCCCAGACTACACGGCGGCCACGTTCGGCCAGGAGCTGGCGCGGCCCCGCTCGGTGGTGAGCGTGGCGGTGCGCGAGGCGGCGCGGCGGGCCGTGCACGCGGCGCTGGACATCTCCATGTTCATCCGCACCCGCAAGTCCACGGGCCAGATCTTCTACCTGGGCTCGGCGCCGCGCTACGGCCAGCCCGACGACACGCTGGTGGCCGCGTCGCTGAAGGGCGGCGAGCTGCTGGTGCACCTGCGCTTCAACCAGACGCCCGAGGACTACACGGTGGGCGGCACGCGCCTCGACAACGGCCACCTGCACCTCATCCAGGTGGTGCGGAACTCCACGCTGGTGCAGGTCAAGCTCAACGGCACCGAGTACTTCAGGAAGTCCATCTCCGCCGCCAAGCAGCTGGACGCGCAGGTCCGTTGACATGTGTCATACACAATATTCAGAAAACACTGTTACTGATTCTTACATATGGATAGTTAAATTTATTATTTTTATTGTGTTAGGTGTTCATATTTTTAATAATATTGAATATAGATAAATAACATAACAATCCAGGAGTACAGTGGAAACGAAAAAGAAAATTACCGATTGTTTTAAAATAAATTAAACAACTCATTAATATAATTGAAATAAATTTTATTCTATAACTTAAAATACCTAATATTTATATAAGAATGTACATAAAATTGAATCGTCGTCTTTTATATTTTTCTCTATACTCCAGCCAAATTTGATGTGGAATGTTTAATAACAAAGCGTTGCTTAGCAACCAACGTCAGGCAGGTGTTCAAAACATTTTTAGAAATATGTACAACAATTATTTTTGATGTTAATAAAAATAAAAATTGATGATTAATAATAAAATATTTAAGACAAAGGACTAAGCGCATTCTTGGTTATAATTATAATACTTATGATCATCTGAATAATGTAGATCTCAAAAATAATAATTCCAATTTTAAAATGATATCAGAAATTACCTCGTAGTTATATAATTCGCTTTATTAACTTTATACATCGCTACAGATACAATCCCACTCGGACCAGGTTATTCAGTATTACTCATCGTAATCTAATATAAACAATATTTGATAACAACAAACTTATAACAATAACGAATTAAAACAAAATAACGATAACAAAATCTAACAATTAATAACAGAACGGAAGAACTCCAGAATCAAAGACTCGCGAATTGTAAGCAAAGTTAACAACAAAACAAAACAAACATTATGGCGGGCGTATAACGCAACAAAATTACGTAGTTACGTTTCGTTTAACTTTATTTGCGTTAAAAAAATATTTTTTTAAATTAATTAAAATGTAACCGCAATAAAATTTCAAAAAATTTCTTCATATATATATGAAGAAATTGTAAATATATGTGGTTGAAACAGTGATTATTGTGCTATATTTATGCTAGCCAAAACAAGATGTGTAATGTTAACATTCTTAACCTGTTGTGATTATACTACCATTATAATACGACTAAAAATACTGTATTTTAATTATAACTGATTTGTTAAGTTTGTTTATTTCTCCTCGAAGTGATTATATCTTGAGAAATAAAGTGATTTTAAACCGTAAAAATATACACCACCAATTACGAAGAGCCTGTATCGCTATTATATATACAGGGTGACTGGTGAATTACTATCAATATTTAAGGAGCATACTCGGTACATGATTCTCATTCGAATTATGTAAAAAAAAATAGGTACTTAATTTTTGACCAAATTTCCGTATAAATAAATAAAGTGTGTACACGTTCCAAGTGTTCCAAGTGTGGACGCGTGCGGCGGCGTGCTGATACAACACTACGCCGCCGCCGCGTCTGTGTGAGTGTATACCTAATCTGTAGGGTGTTCATACAATGTGTAATTAATTACATAACTTTTGGTTAACTTTACTTAGAAGTTTATTAATATTTATGTTATATTAATTTTTATTTTGTCATATATTATACCATGCCTAACCTATGCCTGTCAGACATGGAAGTTCAACAAAAACGTCAAAGAAAAAATTATAAAGTGCCAACGAGGAATGGAGCGGAGTATGCTTAACATTAAGAGAATAGATAAAATTAGACATACAAAAATACGCAACATCACAAAAGCAACAGACGGTTTAGCACAAGCTATGGCGTTAAAATGGAAGTGGGCCGGACACATATCACGCCTGCAAGATCTCAGGTGGACAAGAACAGTGTCAGAATGGAGGGGGCCAGTGGGCAAAAGAAAGAAAGGGAGACCTTATAACAGATGGGAGGACGAAATAAAACGTATAGCGGGTCCAAACTGGATGCAAATAGCGCAATCCAGAGAAAACTGGCTACTTTTGGAGGAGGCCTTTACCTGCAGAGGGGTTCCTACAGAATAATAAAAAATAATATTAATTATTAAAAACATGCATATAAAACCTGGAACTATTAACTTATTTAAAAAAAAACATTTTTTCTTTTTTTATTTGTTCTATTTATTCTTTTGTTACTATAATAAAACAACTAACTTTGTAAGTATGTATTTTCTGAAGGAAATAAAAGGCTTTTTTATTTATTATTTATTATATGATCGTCAAATATCACGTCCTCAAGTATCGATAGTAATTCACCAGTCACCCTGTATACATTAATTATTAATGCAACGACATTTTTCCAAAGCGAAATGTTTAATCGCCTATTTATTAAAATCGGGTATTGTTTGTATATTTTTTAAATTCAATACTAAGCACAGAAAGTGCATTTAGCAAGTGCAAGGTATTTCGGAGAAAAGTTTTGATTCTTTTCAATTCCAATTCGTCATACATCGGGTGCTCTCGGTAACCTTCGGTCACTCGTGCGGCGCTAGAGAACCGACTCATTACTCGGTACATTTCTATGAACTATCTTTTGTTTCACGCGTCAGGCGTATTAATTCGTTTCTCATACAAAATGTATTAGCAGTCCTCGTGCACTCGCCGAAGCGCACGAGATATTAGTTTAGTAAAGGGCTCAAACTCTTTGACCATAATTGGAAATTTATTTTTTTATACGTTTTTGTATGTTTAAAAAATAAATATTAAAATGGTAATTTAAAAATAAAGATTAAGTTATATTTTGTAACTTTTAAATCTTTTGAATTGGTGGTTCAGCGCACGAGTGCACTTAAGGTACAGCCGCCACTGATCGATAGTAATTCAGCAGTCACCCTGTCATCATCATCAGCCAAAAGACGTCCACTGCAGGACATAGGCCTCCCCCAAGGAAGTCACCCTGTATAACTTTCTGAATCTGGCAATTGCTTAAAAATACTCCCAAATGTTACAAACCTGCGATTTCTTTACGTCAGTTTTAAAATGTAGGGTTGTTAGTTTTGTAGTAATATTATGGTGGTAATTAAAGATATTTAAATTTTTATTTTAAGCTAAATTTCATATAAATTATGTATTGACAGGCTAAACAAATTTTGTGGATTCTATATTAAATTAAAATTTTTGTTTTTAAACAGGAAATTGTGGTAAAATGAATGTAGTTGTTATCATAATTATAATAATTTTTTATTAAGAGTGTATCAACCCTAATTATTATGGCTCATTGTTTGTTTACTAAAATTCCAGATCGAATGTGGTTGGAGTTTAAGTTACAATTAAAACTTTTGATCAGCTTTTCCACATTAGCTAATCTTTTAATGACATCTGATAGCACACGTCACCCTGAATGTCCTCTATAATGATCCACATCCAGGTGCTGTACCTGGGCGGCCCCCCTCCCCCGCCGCAGCCCCCGCCGGCCGCGGATGGCAGCTCCCCGCCCCCTCCGCCGCTGACCGAGGAGCCCAGCGACGACGACTACTTCAAGGGAGTGATCCAGGACGTGCAGGTGTCCAACGGCGTCAACGTGACCGTCGTGGAGTTCTTCCCGCTGCAGGGAGCGCGCGTGCCGCCGCCCTTCGGAGACGTGACGCTAGACCCGCTGGGCGTGCTGCCGGGGGAGGTGTCGGACGACGCGTGCGCCTCGCGGCCCTGCCTGCACGACGCCGAGTGCCGCACCACCTGGAACGACTACGCCTGCACCTGCCCCTCCGGATACAAGGGCAAGCAGTGCGCCGAGGTGGAGTTCTGTCAGCTGCAGGGCTGCCCGCTCAACTCGCACTGCCGCAACCTGGACCGCGGCTACGAGTGCGTGTCCAACGCCACCTTCGACGGCGTCGACACCGTGCTCAGCTACCGGCTGCGGGAGCCGGGCGGCGCGCACGCGCTGGACCCGCCCGCGCCGCCCGCCTCGCTCACCCTCACCTACCGCAGCAAGGCTGGCGGCACGCTGTTCCGCGCCGAGAGCGAGGACGCCGGGGACGCCGTGTTCAGCGTCGGCCTCTACAACGGCCAGGTGGGCGTGCAGTGGCGGCTGGGCGGGCTGCCGGCGCAGCGCCGCATGCGGCTCAGGCGGCCCGGCCTGGCCTGGGTCACGCTGCGCCTCACGTTGGCTGACGGGAGGATCAACGGTGAGGACCCACACACACGCACACACCACTCACCCTCGGACAGAGACTCACCCTCGTGTCGTGTGTCAGGGTCGTTCGTGGAGGCGGACGGGCGCGAGGAGCTGGGCCTGTCGGACGACATCGACGTGGCGGCCTGGCAGAGGCTCGTCACCACCGGCCTCATCACGCTGGGCGGCGTACGGCCCGGACCACCACCCCCCACCACCACCACCACCACCACCCTACCGACCGTGAGTCGCAGTTTCTATTACTACACAGAGAGAGTGACCATCAAATAATAAACGTTATATACTAGATACTTATAGCAACGTATTTTTAAAATTACCTGTTACTGTTTATGGATAACATTCTCATATAGAAGAAGAAGAATTAGAATCCATAAAAATAGCGCGCTCGACTGTTTGTAATCCAGAGGATTGTAACCACATCTTAATTAATAACAATATTTTAATAGGTAGATATATTAGTATCATTACTCAGAACATACGTAGTATATACAAAAAAATATTAATGATTTCGAAACTCTTTTGTCATTGTTACAATTCGATTGTGATATTTTAATACTAACGGAGTGTAGGATATCGTCACAAAAACATACCTACAATTGATCATTACGACTTGTATAGTAGTAAATTCAGTATTAATCAAAATGGCGGTGTTGTTGTGTATATTAAAAATAGGTTTCGAAATATTAGAATAGAAGAAATTTCTCTTGTTAATGCCACTTGCATGTCCATTACCATTGATAATGACACAGTTATTTTAGGTGTTTATCGTTCACCTTCTTTTGTCAATGCAGATGAATTTGTTGATTCTTTAGGTAAATTGTTACACTCTATTAGCCATTATGGAAATGTTATAATAACTGGTGATATAAACATTAATATATCAGCGAATAGTTCGGACAGAAATAGACATAACTATCTGAATGTATTAGCTGAATCTTACCGGCTCATACATACCCCACTAGAGAAATAAGTTGTATTGACCACGCTATGATACGAGCGTATAAAAATATCGCTGTAATGGTATTAAACACATCTGTAACTGATCATCTGAGTGTGGTTATATGCCTAACATCAATGCCTACGATTAAAAATAATTGTGCTAGATTCGTTTCAAACCTAAATGTCAATGCAGCCTTGAAACAACTAGAGAATTGTTATATGTCTCTATTACTTTTTTTATTTAGTCCTAATGAAATTGCTGATTTGTTATTAAATGAACTCACTTCAGTTATTCAAAATAATGCAATTACTACTAAAATTCCTAGAAATGAAAGAATTATAAAACCATGGATAACTCCTGGATTACTTAAATGTATTAAGAACAGAAATAAAATGCAATACAAACTTAAAAAGAACCCAAATGATAATATACTCCAAATAACTTACAAACGCTACAGAAAAATTTGTAATGATCTGTTAAAAAGTAAAACGTAACTCTGAGCGCGCACAACCTAAAAAAATCTATTAGAAATCCAAAGGAAATGTGGAAAAATATTAAATCCATTGCTTTCATAACTAAAAAAATGAGGCCTGTACAGAACTATTAAAAATAAAGCCTTTAATTGGTGAATCACTAGATAGTATCAATGCTTACTTTTCAAAAATTGGTAAAAATGTAGCTGAAGATATAATAAATAAGCAATCCACCACAACATACAACGATGTTACTTATAGGTTTTCAGCATCTACATATTAATAACTGTAGTTGTCTGGATATGAAAACAGTAACAGAATATAAATATTAAGGTGTTATAATTGATCAACATCTCAATTGGTATAAACAAATAGATAATTTAATAAAAAGGACAAGAAATCTAATTTGGGTTTTTAAAAAACTCCGTCACGTTCTACAACCTGATCTGTTAAAATCAGTATACTGGGCCCTCGGACAGTCAATTGTTACGTATTGTATCCCGGTCTGGGGAGATACCTGCAAATTCATATTTATGTTATATTAATTTTTAATATTTATGTTATATTAATTTTTATTTTGTCATATATGATCGTCAAATATCACGTCCTCAAGTATCGATAGTAATTCACCAGTCACCCTGTATAATAAACCAAACAAGAATAGAAGACAAAATCATGCAGTAATTAATTTACAATATTGCATCACACAATTTGCTAACAGACAATACAACAAACAGTCTTCTTTCCTTTATAATAAAATAAATAAGATTATTAACATTCATGACCTTCAATATCATCAGTGTAAACAAACATTAACTAATTGGCATTATACTTTGACTATCATGCTACTGAAGAATTGTTAACTGTACAAATGTAAGAAATAATAATATTAATATAAATATTCATATTAATTATTAGTAATAAAAAAAGTAAATAGGTATAAAAATAAAATTATATAATACACACACACACACATATATATAAAATGTTTTCCATTTCCATTTTTAATCTTAAAAATAAATTAAATATTTGTTAGTTTAAAATTGTATGTTTTCAATATATTATGTATATCTAGGAGGAGGAACGGGTATTTTGAGATACAGGTTAAACCTACTTCAAAATTCCTGTTGTTAACTATTGCTGTTCAAACTGTTTAAACACTAAATTTTTTTTTGTTATGCTCGGTAGATTGAGAACTCGACGGACCCGAATGTTATGGAGTACTCGGAGGACGACCTCATAGATGACAACTTAGCCGGAGAATATTTTAAAGTGAGTGTCCGGGATTTATTAATAAACAAATTAAGTTTTTAACAATGACTTTATTGGAGCCACGGTGTCGCAGGGCTGCCTGGGCGCGGTCCACGTGGGCGGGCTGCTGCTGCCCTTCTTCACGGAGGAGCAGCTGTTCGTGGGGTCGGCCGCGACGCTGCTGGCCGCCCAGCCTCACTACGCGCTGCTCGGGGGCGCGCCCTGGGGAGCCGCCGAGGGCGCGGGCTGCGTGCTATGTGTGGAGGCGCAGTGTCAGCGGGGCGCGCACTGCCAGGACGTGCGGAACTCGTACGCCTGCGCCTGCCCGCCGGGGTACGCTGGCGATTACTGCGAGCGAGACATCGACGAGTGTCAACACAATGACTGTCGGAACGGAGCCACCTGCCAGGACGACGTGGCCAAGTACATCTGCATCTGTCCCCCCGGATACGACGGAGAACTGTGAGTGCCATGCGGCTGACCGAACAGTGACCGCCTCCACCCTCGGACACTCACTGACCCTCCCTCGCAGGTGTGAGAACGACATCGACGAGTGCGCGTCCGGTCCGTGCGGACACGGCGCCACGTGTGTGGACGAGCCGGGCGGCTTCCGCTGCGAGTGTGCGGCCGAGTGGCGCGGGGCCCGCTGCGACACGCCCGCCGCCACCACCTGCCGCCACGCGCCCTGCGCCAACGACGCGCTGTGTCACGACACGCCCGGTGAGTCACCTGCCCCCCCCTTCCCCTCCTCCCGCTCGGGTCGCGGGCCGCCTCTCATATCGGCCGCTGTTCCAGACCCGGTGACCGGTAACAACTACACGTGTTCGTGCGGCGCGGAATACGCGGGCGTCCACTGCGAGCTGGTGTTCTGCGAGGTGACGCCCTGCGTGCACGGAGCGTGCGCGGCGGAGGCCCGGCCCCCGGTCTGCTCGTGCGGGGCGGGCTGGGGCGGGCGGCTGTGTGACGAGGAGCGGGACGAGTGCGCGGACGCGGCCTGTCTGCACGGGGCGCGCTGTGTGCCCACCAGGCCGCCCACCTGCGACTGTCCCCCAGGTACAGACTTATACATACATACACACATACACATATATATATATATTGTTAAATAATAAATAATTATTATACTGGCAACCCTAAAGCCACCTATATAAAGAGCGCCATTACTGACAATCGGACACTTTTTCTTCTTAACTATTTATTGTCAAGAGAAGAACCTTTGCTCTAATTAGTCTCGCATATTAATTAATTGACCCTTGGCCGACGACCGTTTCTTTTAAAAATCTTAACATGTTTTTCATTTCTAACAATATATACATATATATATATATATATATATATATATATATATATATATATATATATATACAGGGTGACTGGTGAATTACTATCGATATTTGAGGACGTGATATTTGACGATCCTTAAAGAACAAAATAAAAATTAATATAACATAAATATTAATAAACTTCTAAGTAAAGTTAACCAAAAGTTATGTAATTAATTACGCATCGTATGAACACCCTACGGATTAGGTATACACACACACTCACACATACGCGCGCGGAGGCGTGTTGTTGTATATATATATATATATATATATATGTGTGTATATATAATACGTTGATTGAGCTCTGATCTGTTCATATAAGTTATGTCATTTCAGTTTACTATATTTGCTTACAAGTCCTTAGACGTTTGTGTTGATTCATTAGACTGAGATTATTAATGTATCTGAACTGAGTAATTAACGGTACTCAGTGTCAGTGTGACGTGATCATCACACGTAGAGACCACCTCACTATGTATACATGCAGCAGGTGACTCATGTAAAGAAGAAGACATTTTGTAACGATACTATTGTGATGAATTATTGATAACACCTCGCGCGGAGAGTGAGGGGCGGGGCGGGGAGGGGGAGCGCGGGGCTTCATCGACCACAATCGAGTTATACAGATAAGAGCCGTGATAAGAATCAGCGCTTCTCAAACTTTACTTTTAACATTTTAATAGTGATAAAGATATTCTGACGATAATAGTGATTGAAGAACCAACCGTCGATCACTACACGCGACCGTCCGCTGACGGCGCGGTGACCGGTGGAGTGACGAGTCGTCTCCTTGAATGTAAACAGTCGCGGTGAGGTCAGCCTCGAGCCGCGCGTGTGACGAGGAAGACGACGGACGAGGAAACACACTTTGTGAATCACTGACCTCCGACGACGAACAAAAAACTCACTGAAAAACTACTTGCGACCGAACACAGGCGACCAGAGTACTGAAACGATACATACAGGAGTAGAGACGAGACATGAACACGCGGAGTGGGGCGTGGGGAGTGGTGCTGGCTGTGGGAGTGATGGTGACGCGTACGTTCATTATATGTGATGTGTGGGACGGGTGACACAGTAAAGTACGGGTCGTGGGACGCGACACTGTTGGTGCTTGTTTGATATAGATGTCTTACAATGTAGGAGTTTAGAGGAAAAGAACACTACGATATATTTTCTAGTAATTATTTCCTAGTCTCTCTTGGATTGTGTTGAATTGACCTAGTTGTTACACAATTATTATGTTGAAGGTCTCGTCGTGTTGAGATTGATGTTTATTATAAATAAAAAGTAGATGTTAATATAAACACGTTCCGTGAGTCGTTAATACTTAAAGTTATATAATAATAGTTTATCACTTCTTTCATTATCAATACTATTCATGTAACAATATACAGAGGAACACGGCTTCAGTAGTGTAATGTCCACTCGTAGGTAAACTTAGTTCCATATCAACAATGTTTTAAATAATTAATAAAAGTTTCTTCGATATAACTATTGACGCCACGTTTGAATGTACAATACAATCACTATTCCCTCGGTTCCACTCTACTCGCTCCTCCCGTCTCTGGTCGTCCGTCGTGTCTCAACTGAGCATGTCTTCTGTCCGTGTCTGTACTTTCTCATTCTCAGTTTCTACATGACTCATGTTACTCTTATGATCTCATTTCAAGCGTCTTCATCTTAATTTATGTTGTGGCTGCCAACCAACTAAACCAGACTATGAAAGTCTTTGGAGGTGTAGTTGGTTCTCGTGAAGGAGCCTCAAGCGTTTATCATTTTAGTTCTAAGTATTTTTTGTATAGGTCGGTGTATGTTAGAGTTTTTGTTACATTCGAAGGTGAAATGTTGTTTTTGGAATACAATACTTAAAAACTATCGTCTTCTCTCTTAATGTTATTATTGTTTAAGAGATATTGTCCAACAAGCATTAGTTATAAGTTCGACCGTTTAAAATCGCCGAGACACGGGATGAAACAAGGAATATATGGAATTATTACTAAACCTTTTATAAAATATTTAAATGTATTTCCTAATCTGCATATTAAAGTGTGGAGTTCGTTATAAATAATAAATTCAATCAGTGAGGAAAATACGCAAGTAATAAGAAAAAAGTAAGCGCGTTGGGGATCAATGAAACATGTTAGCGGTCTCCACGAGGACTTTGGATGATCCGACTGGTTCGTCTCCCGACACACTGTGGGCGACACACATGTAACTGAGACTAAAATAAAAGGACGCCTTTATGAAAATATCAGTTTAAACAAAACGTTTTTATTTTTCCAGATATTTTACTTTGCTACAAATGTTTTATAGTTGTGGGTTAATAATAATTATAGCGAGTCATTTGTGTCTGTATGTGTATGTAACATGTTGTTGGTCTCTTTCCAGAGTGGCGCGGGGCTCGCTGTGAGCTGGACGTGGACGAGTGCAGCGAGCGACCCGTCAGCTGCGGCCCCGGACTGTGCCGGAACCTGCCCGGGACATACACGTACGTACACACACATAGACACACACACACACGCGCGCACACACACACACGCACACACACACACACACACACACACACACACACACACGCACACACACACAGAGTGTTCATTGTCAGCGGTGACTTCACACTTGACCTCACGTCCACAGATGCGAGTGTCCGGAGGGCTTCTGTGGCGACGGGTGCGTGCTGCCCGACCCGTGTGTACGGCGGGAGGGCGAGGGGGAAGGGCGCGCCGGGCCCTGTCTGCACGGGGGCCGGTGCGAGCAGCGCTGCGGCTCGGAGGTGGACTACGTGTGTGAGTGTGTGGACGGCTGGGGCGGCAAGAACTGCTCCCGGCTGGTGGAGGCCAGCGAGGCCACCGGCGGGCTGTCCCGGGCCGCGCGCTGGGCGCTGGGGGCGGGCGGCGCGCTGCTGGCGCTGCTTCTGGCGGCCGGCGCGCTGGCGGCGCTCGCGGCACAGGCGCGGCGGAAGAGAGCCACCAGGGGGACCTACTCGCCCTCGGGACAGGAGTACTGCAACCCGCGAGCGGAGATGATCACACACGCGCTCAAGCCGCCGCCCGAGGAGAGACTCATATAGCGGCCACCACTACCGACACGGGAGGAGCGGACCCACTGTGGACGGACTGCTGCACGATACACTAACAGGATTGTTGACGATAGATAGACGTATCGGATGTAGGCTGACGAGAGACGCTCGGCAGTTGATGACGTGTATCCCTTTCAATTAGTATATTTCAGTAGAATGTAAAAGGAATTATATAGACAGGGAATCGCGGCGGTCAGCGAATCAGCTGACCCCTTCATAAATAATCATTAATCAATGTATATAGCGAGTAGTGGTAGCGCGAGGGTTTGATCATTATGTATTATGTATTATGTATATCGTATGTAAGTTAGTTTAAGTGAAACGAAAGCGTGCAAGATTCTAAATTAATAGTTAGTGAAGGCGGCCGGCCGCCCGCCGCGCCTCGCCCGGGCCCGGCCGCCAGTGCCTTACTCACAAGTCTGTATATTGACCTTAATGTTAGCGGTAGGAGCGGTCGCCGCTCGATGTGATAAGTGTACTTAATATTTGTATCGGCGTGTCCTCGCCCGGAGCTGAATCCTTGCTCAAGCTCGTCTCTACATTCCCCGAGCCTCTCCCGGGAGACGCTCTTACTGTGATGTGATATTTTAAAACATTAGTCTGCCTTGATCCGAGTCAGAACAATGAGGGACAATGACCGTATCTTATTTGTATATATGATGTGGCGCCTGTCGGTGCTCTAGTGTATGTAGTATTTATTTTACACTCGTCTGTCCAAATGATTGTCTTTAATGAGATGTGTATTATTAATTTTATCGTCCACTTTTTATCACTAGTAGATATGAACTTGTAACAGAGTGTCGGCCCGCGACTGTCCCGCGGCCGTCTCGGTGTTTTGTATTTGTCATCGTGACTTTTGTATTTCATTTCGATGCACTCAATTTCGGTGTTAATTCAAAATCACAATATAACTGCAATAAATATATCTTTATATACGAATGACTGTGTTTACTTTCACCCACCAAATAGGCCAGTGCAGATGCCTCAAAAAATGATGAAAAGTGAAAATAAACTATAGTAGAATGAAACCCATTAGAAAAGGAGAGGAATATTATAAAAAAATAAGGGAAAAATAAGATCTTTTTATTATCTACAACTTTGCCATATAACATTTTTCCGTAGGACTTTTAGTTTTGCCGGAAATCGAGAAAACCCATTTTTTACCCTTAAATACCCATCCCCATATCTTTCCCGACCTCAGATCGCCCATAAATTATTTTAACTTTAAAGGAAATCATTCTTTTTGGGCCTTTTCTGAAAGTGCCGGCCAACAAAAAAAAAGGTACATATTCTTAGAACTTACCATTTGGAGCAATAGTTAATATGGGGCAAAAGTTGTAGGATCCAAGATATAGAAGTTTTACTAGTTCTATGATTCATCATTTTCGTACATTTATTTTTCTGAAAATGCTGGGAAACATAAAATAATGATTGATATTGCTAGAGTTAAACTTCTCAAGCAAATCATTATAGCGAGAAAGACATAATTTGTTCTCTTGTACATGTTAGAAACCTATCATTTTTATGTAATACTAGCTGCGCTCCGCGGTGTTACCCACGGATTTCCGGGATGTAAAGTAAACTATGTGTTATTCCTGGACGTCAGCTTCCTGTATCAAAATTTTATCAAAATCGGTTCAGTCGTTTGAGTGTGAAGAAGTAACAAACATACACACACACAAACTTTCGCAATCATAATATTAGTAGGACTGGCGACCCCGACAGACGTTATTCTGCCCAGTATCTGAACGCATCCAACACAATTTGTTTGTTGTTGGTTATTTGTCGTTATATAGCAAAGAATGCTAAATTACTTTGTTATATAGCAACGACTAGCTATTCCACAATATTAATGCTCTTGCCCAATAGGCAAACGGACAATAGGGTGTTGTTCACACACCATGACTATCGTGTGGTATATGTGTTTCGCACGGTATGAGAACATACGTGTATCAGCACGGGGCCTGGAAGATGAAATTATAACATTAAATAATGTATAATTAGAAGATATAACACTAAATAATGTATAATGTGATTTTTGTAATAAAAAAATACGTGAATCAGTATTTGTGTTTTACTTATATTATCCTAAAATATATCTTTGAGTTATACATAGAATGCTATATAACGCTAATATATAAAAATAACACCCCGATATACATATTAGTTTAGACAAATAATAAAACCAACAACAAACAAATTGTGTCGGATGCGTTCAGATACTGGGCAGAACAACATCTGTCGGGTTCGCTAGTATTACATAAAAATGATAGGTTTCTAATATGTACAAGAGAACAGATTATGTCTTTCTCGCTATAATGATTTGATTGAGAACTTTAACTCTGTCAATATCAATCATTATTTTATGTTTCCCAGCATTTTCAGAAAAATAAATGTACGAAAATGATGAATCATAGAACTAGTAAAACTTCTATATCTTGGATCCTACAACTTTTGCGCCATATTAACTATTGCTCCAAATGGTTAGTTCTAAGAATATGTACCATTTATTTTGTTGGCGGGCACTTTCAGAAAAGGCCCAAAAATGTATGAAACCTGAATGATCTCCTTTTATAATATTCCCCTCCTTTTCTAACGAGTTTCATTCTTCTATAATTTAATTATATTTTAAAAGCTATCGGCACTGGTCTAAAATAAAACGAGCCCTTTAATTCTTAACGTTTATTGAAATACTGTACAGGCTGTATTACAAGATATCATACAATAACCATAGCGCGGAGACGGACGAGCGAGCGTCCGGGGGAAGCGCCGAGCTTTAACAATAAGGAATGACTTAGATACGACGGACAGCCGCGGGGGGAGGGGGGCAGCTGCCAGCGGGGGGGGGGGGGGGGGAAGCACCGGCTGCGAGGGCATCGCTGAATATAATAAATAGATGATAACGTGTGCGGAACATAATCATTAAAATATAATATAAATAACATTCAACAACACACAGGACCCGCGCGGAGCCGCGGGCCTTACACAATATACAAAAGAAAAGTTTAACAAAACAGAGGTCAAGGAGACGAGCGGAGACCGCTAGGAACATGCGGCGCCGGGACCGGGGGCGAGCGTCACGTGCTGTCACGTCACGTCAGGTCAGGGTCCTCCTCTCAGCGTCAGAGGGAGGAGCCGCACTCCGTCTCGGGGCGCGTGGGGCGGGCGGCGTGCGGCGCGCCCCGCCGGCTACCTGCAACACAACACAGTCGTTAGACATCGAGCACTGGTTTGGTCATGTAGGCGTTTGTGTGTGTTGTGTGTGATGTGTGTGTGCGTGTGTGCGTGTGTGCGTGTTCCCGTGTCCGACCTGTTGTCGTGAGGGTGCAGCACCACTCGCTGGTAGTCGCTCCTGGCCAGCTGCTGCCTCCTCCGCGACCCCAGCTCGGCCGTCCCGTCCCTGGTGATGTACAGCTGCAGCCCGGACGCTGCGGGTGAGGGTCGTAACGTTAGTACCGTACTGCGGCCCGTGTGTGTGTCTGTCTGTGTGTTACTCACTCTCTGCGGGGTCGTCCGCGGCGTGCTTGAGGTCGGTGGCTGCGAGGAGCTCGTCGATGAGTGAGTCAGGGTTGACGCGCGTGTTCTCTACTCGACACGAGGTCACGTGCTGGGAATACAGACAGCCCGTTAGTGAGGAACACTACACTTCAATTCGTGGAAGATTTGTGGAGATGATATTATACAGTGTTCTATAAACTGTGTCAACCCTCTTAACTGCGTTATCAGTATCGAAAATGGAACACAATCAAACAACTTACATTTACAAACTCTTCAATAAAAATAATAAAATTAAATATTAAATGATTATTATATGTAGAGTAACAGTAAATAAATATTAAATATTCATATTATTTCGATACTTATTTTGATATATCAAACATTAGTATTATTTTTGATTGTAAAACACCATTTTTGACAGAAATAGATTAACGATTTATCCTAATAATACAACATAGTTAATTTACCTGAAGATGTTCCAAATTATAATATTGATTAATAATATTTATTATTTATAAAAGTATTTTAAATGAAATTATTTTAATGTGAAAAGCATAACTATTTATAGCAATATTGAAAGTATCGATAGAATATTTATCGATACACCAAATTTTTAAACTTGCAAATCTCTATTCGAAAACTAACAAAATAGTAATAATAACGCCGGCGGCCCAGCGCCTGCGGTCAATGGCCACGCATGCGTCGTAGCGACTATATGGTGTCTTGACCTTGTATGGGTCAGATGTTTGAAACATTTTTTCAAATAATGTCGATTTAAAACTTATTTAGCCTATGCACTGTAACTGACCTCTGCTTGATATTTTTTAAGTTATACTATTTTTTATAATAAGCTTATACTTATATGTATACATGCCTTCAAGGGTTGACACAGTTTTTAGAGCACCCTGTATATATAGTGTACCTGTTCCTCAGGCGGCCGTCGCTCCATCTTGGCCCGCGCGCGCTCCAGTGAGCCGCTCTCGGAGGCGGAGGCGGTCAGAGAGCCCGAGGAGGGGTTCCTGGTGACACACGCCACATTATTCTTCAGTTTATATTTCATAAGATGTTTTAATGTGAGTGTTATTGTTATCTTTCGTTACGTGTCGGGATTCGTGTGGTCGCAGAGGGGTTAAGATGTACATCGATATTTAAATACAATCTGTTAATACTACGAGTAAGGTCCAGCTACAGTCTCTAGCGGTCAGTCTTCCGTTCGCTGTTCGTCAGTAACAGGACGGGAAGACTGACACAGTGTCCGCGTCCCCCTACTGAACCACAGACCGGCGTGTAAGGTCGGCGGTGGACACTAACAAACTATGGCACCGACCAGCGGGTACTAAGTCGCTACAAGAATCATGCAAAGCCACATTGGTACGTCGCATGCATCGCAACTGAATGAAATAAACAAAAGATAACGAACAACAGGCCTCCCTCGACATAAAACGACATTCACTACAGCGGAGGACGGCTCCCAACAAACACAGACAGACAGAACAAGGCCGCGGCCGACTACAAGCGGGGCTCACGCGGCGCTGGCGCGGCGCTCCTCCGGCGGACGCGCGCCGCCCGCTCGCCGCCCGCCCGCTGACAGTCGGTCGCATGCGCTCATGTACTTGGCGCACTGAACCCACACGCCGTCGTCCCTTTGTTAAACGACACACACTCATGTTACGGCACGAATGAAGGGGAGGGGGAGGGGGCGGCCGAGCGACACCGTGACGTCACCGGACACACGAGGGAAGAAATGAGGCGATAGAGAAGCGAACCCGCACCGGCGTATGAGGTTAGTGGGGAGAAGCGGGGCGGGGCTCACCTGGCGCCGGCGGGGCAGCTGTGTCGCAGGCCGGGCGGGTCGTCCGGGGGCGCGGGCCGCAGCCGCTGGCGCACGTCCACGCAGGCGAGCGAGCCTCCGTCGTCCACGAGCTCCCTCTCCGTGGGGATCGTGTAGAACTCGTCCTCGAGGCAACCCGAGAGCCGGGTGGCGGCGGAGGCCAGCGAGCCCTTGCGGTGCGCGAGCGGCGTCAGGAAGGGAAAGTTTACAAACAGCTCCTCGCTCTTGCGCGTCCGCTCCACCGAGGCGGGGATCGTGTTGAGCGACTTCTGCTTGAAGGCCTGGAAATTCGCCAGCGGCTGCACGGCGGCCACGATGACCGAGGCGGCGCGCTTCTTCCGGTCGAAGTAGCTCGGCATCGCGAACGAGTGCTCCTCCACCCCGGAGGTGTCGGGCGTGCGGTACTCCTCACTGGCGGGCGAGCGCGGCTCCGGCCGGGGCACCACGTCCGGCGTGTCCTCGGGCGCCAGCAGCGTGGTGTCGGGCGTGAGGTACACGTCGGACGTGTCACTGAGCACGCTCCTCTCCAGCAGCAGCTTGGCCAGTCCCCGCGCCTGCTGCCGCCCGCCCGGCCCCGGCACCGTAAGGCAGCTCGTCATGGTGGTGGTGATCCTCTCGACTCGTACACTACGCACGCGGTGCGGGGCGGGGGGAGGTGGGTGTTTATAGTAGTATATATATATATGGTGGTGATTGCGGGCGGTGTGTTAGTGAGCGTGTGTGGGGCTCGGTCAGTGTGTCGCCGCCGTCTGTGATGTGTGCAGGTGTGTTTGGTCGGAGCCGGAGTTGATGTGAGTCATTTATAATAAAAAGAGAAACCGACGTCGAGGAGACGACGAGGCGTCCGGTGGAATAAGAACGCCCTGACGGAGATAATAAACAGAACAGAACAAACGAGATACTCATGGTGTGTCGCCCTGTGTCACACGAGGTTGGCCCCCTCGTGCCGCCCTCCATCTGTCATTATTTTTACTCCATGTATATATTCGTCACGTCATCAACGTACCTGTTGTGGTGCGGTCTGTCCCCGGCGGACTCCCCCTCGGAGCTCTGTCTGGAGTGCGCGGAGGCGGCCGACACCGAGCTGCCGTAGCCCGAGGCCTGAGACACGCACCCACGTTATTACATGTGTACATACGTGTAGAAGAGCGGGAGAGGGAGGCAGGAGGAGGGTGCTCACCTTGCTGCTCATGTCCCCCGACGTGTTGGAGGAGTTCCTCGAGTGTGTGTGCTGCAGACAGGCGACGCAGCCCCCCGCCGCGCCCGCCGCGCCCCCGGACCCCGCGCCCGGCTGAGTCGTCACCACCACACCTGAAACATCAACGTCACCGTCACCACCGGTCCCTGTCACAACTCCCATGTACCGGACGCGCTCTGATATCTTTGTGGTTAAAGAACTTTATTTTCTCATAAAGAACATACAATGTTCACTTGAATGAGATGTATTACATAATTCAATTCAAACAAGAATTCAGTACAGTAGCAACGAACCATACAACTCAAGAGCGGTTAATCCAAGTTCCCCCTACAATAGCCCAATAAATTCCATCTAAAAATCGCAACGTTTTTTCATCAAAAACTTCGTCAGGCAAGCCATTATACTGGGTGACTGGTGAATTACTATCAATATTTAAGGAGAAAAATCGGTACATGATTCTCGTTCGAATTATGTAAAAAAATAGGTACTTAATTATTGACTAAAGGAGATCATTCAGGCTTCATACATTTTTGGCCCTTTTTTGAAAGTGCCGGCCAACAAAAAAAAATGGTACTTATTTGTAGAACTAACCATTTGGAACAATAGTTAATATGGCGCAAAAGTTGTAGGATCCAAGATATAGAAGTTATACAAGTTTCAAGATTCATCATTTTGGTACATTTATTTTTCTGAAAGTGCCAAGAAACATAAAATAATGATTGATATTGCTAGAGTTAAGCTTCTCAAGTAAATCATTATAGCTTTAATCTGTTAGAAACCTGTCGTTTTTATGTAATACTAGCGAACCCGACACACGTTGTTCCGCCAAGTATCTGAACGCATGCAACACATTTCTTGATGATTTCATTATTTGTCTAAACTACATAATATGTATATCGGGGTGCCATTTTTATATATTAAAAAAAAGGGCCTAGAAGCACTTTTAACTGATTTTGTACCATTTTGGGTCGGATTTGATCATATGACGCGAGAGCAAGTGGCGCAGAGGAACCTCATAGTGCCAGAGCGATTATTTGGTAATCCTGATAGTCCGATTGAAGAAAGAAAGGCCATCTCTATACTTGATGGCACTTACACATATTTACAGAAGAGCACTAATTACTTTTTTCAAAGAAAATCTTATAGCAACCATAAGTTTTGAAATCTTTTAAAAACTTTTTTTAAATATTTGTTGCAATGGAACCATAATAACGGTAGATGGACCATACGCTGCAACAACCTTCGATGCCCAGATTTTTAATGATGCACTGAATAATGTGGATGATGTATTTCACTGGTTTTACCGGCCTGGTGACATTTTTATATTAGACCGTGGTTTTAGAGATGCTATAGAAAATCTGGAGTCATGCGGTGATGTGGTACATGTACATGCTCTGCGCCACTTGCTCTCGCGTCATATGATCAAATCCGACCCAAAATGGTACAAAATCAGTTAAAAGTGCTTCTAGGCCCATTTTTTTAATATATAAAAATGGCACCCCGATATACATATTAGTTTAGACAAATAATGAAATCATCAAGAAATGTGTTGCATGCGTTCAGATACTTGGCGGAACAAGGTGTGTCGGGTTCGCTAGTATTACATGAAAACGACAGGTTTCTAACAGATTAAAGCTATAATGATTTACTTGAGAAGCTTAACTCTAGCAATATCAATCATTATTTTATGTTTCTTGGCACTTTCAGAAAAATAAATGTACCAAAATGATGAATCTTGAAACTTGTATAACTTCTATATCTTGGATCCTACAACTTTTGCGCCATATTAACTATTGTTCCAAATGGTTAGTTCTACAAATATGTACCATTTTTTTTTTATTGGCCGGCACTTTTAAAAAAGGCCCAAAAAGAATGATCTCCTTTCCGTATAAATAAATAAAGTGTGTACACGTTCCAAGTGTTCCAAGTGTGAACGCGTGCGACGGCGTGCTGATACAACAACACGCCGCCGCGCGCGTATGTGTGAGTGTGTGTGTATACCTAATCTGTAGGGTGTTCATACGATGCGTAATTAATTACATAACTTTTGGTTAACTTTACTTAGAAGTTTATTAATATTTATGTTATATTAATTTTTATTTTGTCATATATGATCGTCAAATATCCGGTCCTCAAGTATCGATAGTAATTCACCAGTCACCCTGTATAGTTTCGCTCCCTCAAACTGTATAGTTTTAATTCCATATTTGGTCCTGGTCTTGGGTAATTCAAGTTTGTGTTTATGTCTCGTGTTATGTTTATATGTTTTAGTTTTAAATGTTATTTGTGTGTGTAAGTATTTTTCTAATTAATAAGCATGTTTTATATTTGTATAACTGGTTAATTGATAATACATTTGTACGTTTATATAATTTTTAGTTGACATGTAATTTAATAATCTAGATGGAACAATGTTTTAGTAATTTATTTTGCGAAATCTGAAGATCCTTTATATTAGTTTTACATGCACTTCCCCAAATCTCAACAATATATTCTAATAGAGGTTTGATCCGTGAACTCACCAGGGTAGTCGCTGATGGTGGTCGGGACGGGGAGGGGCGCGGGCGCGGGGGCGGGCGGGGGCAGGGCCGGGACACACGGCAGCTCCTCTCCCTCCGGCGAGGGCAGCTCGCAGGATGGTAGGGACGACAGTGCCGGCGTCACACCTTCTGGAATATCAGATTTACGCTCGTCAGAAGTGGCCACGCTGAGTCGGTCAAATAGAACCCTGTTTGTGAAGTCCACAGACCGTAGTTCTTCTTCTTGGTGAGGGAGCCGAAGCCCGAGCTGGTCCCGGAGGAGGCGGCGTCGTCGTCGGCGGGCGCGGTGCTCTCCGACCCGCTGTCCGCCCCGGTCTTCTCGGCCGCTTCCTGTTTCCTTTCAGGTCTGGAACACACAACGACCAAGGATTACTGCACATGTCAGGAGCTTCAACATGAAGAGTAGGGTTTACTTAATTTCATTATAAAATGGAATGAATTGATCCGTTTGCTCTTTATGAGAATCAAACGGAATAAAAAGACGGTCAGTATGATTCCATTTTGATGGTCTTTCTATTCCATTCCGAGTGTGAAGGAACAACAACACAAAGATCGTTGTTGCTCTCATTGGTGAAGATAATATGTATTTATACACATGCGTCTATATATATAGTATGTATGTATGTATGTGGTTCCATTCCAAGTGTTACGTAACGTATCGACTGACACTTTAAACAGCGGGTCGCCGGAGATCATGTTCATCTTGATCCGTATCCTGAGCACGGAGTTGTCCTGCCTCCTGTTGGGGTCGTAGCCCTCCAGCAGACAGCGGCGCACCGTCTCCCCGGCGCCCGCCAGCTCCGCCAGGTTCACGTCGCAGAAGCCCAGCTTCTGGTAGGAGCGCCCGCCTGTCAACATTCACCACACCTTACAGTACACACGTCGAGCCCGCTCCCTCAACACCTCGTGTGTATGTATCCCGTACCCTTGCACTCCTTCCTCACGGACACCCTGAGCCGCGCCGGCTCCAGCACGCCGGTGTTGGCGTTGGCGCACATCTTACACACGAACGAGAACTGAGCGTTCCACCGGACCGCGTGGTTCCTCACCTCCTCCCTGACACACACACACATTGCAAATATAGAAAATAGTTTAAAACACACAGCTAACAATATAATGATAAACTTCATAATACATAATATAGTCATTTGCTATTAAACGCTGAGGAGGGAGAGCGTGCTCCTGTAACAACAAGTAGTCAGTCCGTTTGTCCGTCGTCAGCGAGTCTCGTACATCAACAGTGATATCCGTGTGTGTATGTATGTATAGTAACAGTAGTACAACACCGGGCCGCGGCTCCTCGGACAGGAAGCGGTCCGCATTCCGACGACGGGCGTTCAATAATAGAACACTCGTTATATATAGTGATAAACGATTATTTACTAATAAACTTAATTAATATGAATTAATCATTCCATGTGCAGTGAACGGTGCGTTTGGTGCAACAAGTGACGTGTTCACACACACACACACACACTGCCTTGTTGTTCCGACATACCTGATATTACACATTACGGCAGAATTTAATAGAACGAGTGAAAATATTTGAGATATTGTTGTAATGTATGTACATTATAACTATAATATGTTTAATGTTATACGAGTTATGTTATCTTTACTGAATATAATTCCTCTCAGTTTATATAAAGATCAGAAATAATTATTTAGACTTTTCAATGGAAAAAATAATTCTTATACAATTACATTACATATACATCGTTTGTATCAATACCGTACTATCCACGACTACCCATACGGACTTTCGACAGTCGAGCCTTCCAAATGATTATTATCCAAGTAAAAATTAATATCTATTTTTTATAGAATGTATATATTTAAGTTTTCTTTGATAGTGAATATAATTTATAATAACTATACATAACAAACTTGCGTGTATATAATGAGAATCAATATTTAATAAAATCCACGTTAGTTTCGTGTAACCCGATTAAATTCCCCTTTCATTTGTCGACGAGGGTGTCGGCTGACTGGCTGTTAGTAATGATGAGGAGGATGTTATAGTAACATAACACAAAACAGGGCTCAAGTGTGATGTTATAGAGGAGTAGAGATTCATCATCAGTCATCAGTCCACAAATATCGGTCATAAAACATTTAGAAACGTATCAGAGGAAGTTGGGTGTTGTTATGAAGATAAGGCCGCGACCCGAACATCAACAAGAAACTCTTTGAGATATGATTCGCTGTGAGGAAGGTCGACCTGACGGAGTCTCACAGGGAGTTCGAGCTTCAACACTTAACATCGAGTGTAGCATCCTACGTTTACAGTACATTATTCAGTCTGTAAATATTTATTAATAAGAATAAATTCCTTTATTTCTGAACGTGATTGTTTTTGTTCGTGTTCACAACTACGACTCCGTTTCGTATCCATTCCTAAACTTGGACCGAGAAGAGTTCTCAAACACATTGAACAGTATAATTACCACTACTACACATGATTGTGGTCTGTGTAGTATGACCAGTGTCACGGAGAATCGTCGTCTATACTACTGTAACTATAAAAAGAGCTCTATTTGTGAACCATCTCCATGGTCTAATCGACGCCCACAACTATTCCCTACGAATATTCAGCAAATTGTTGTACAATAGAAAAAAAAATTGCTTTCATTTCATACAACATTCACATAATATATATCTATTGTACTCATTCATGGGAAGCGTTTAGTACATCAATACAAACATATACGTACACTTTTGTATCTAATAATAGAGGTTATTAATAGATGAATCGTGTCAATATAATTGTTTTAATAAGTCGTGTAGGAGCGTGAACATCGTGTATAGCCGTGTCGACCTTGCGGGTGTGGAGGTCGGGAGTCCTCGGCAGGGTGAGTCAGGTCACGTGCCCGCGACCCTCGAGACGCCCACGGACCACATTCACTATAATTACCGACTTAGTCATACACTGATGACACGAATAACCAACTATCAGTGGGTATCAGTACGTTCATACATCACTATTTATAGGCGCGTAGTGCACTCGTGTGGACCCCAACACCCGGCCCGGCCGTGTCCTGTCTAGCGAGACTGACCCTGTGTTTAAGGAACACTATCTGTGTATAAAAACCTACTTTATAAAAAAATATGTTGTAACACATCAAGAGATGTGCATTTCTTTATCTTCTATATATATAAAAATGGATTGCTGTTCCTTAGTCTCGCTAAAACTCGAGAACGGCTTAACCGATTTGGCTAATTTTAGTCTTGAAATACTCCTGAAAGTCCAGGGAAGATTTAAAAGGTGAGAAAAATTAGAATAATTGCCGGGAAAACCCTAAAAACAGCCCTTTTCTATTTCCCATACAAACGATTTTTTGACATTAGACTTTACAACTAACTAATATGTCAATCATTCTGTTCGATTGAAACAGTAGAAATTTAATAATTCCAATACCGGGTTATTGAAGACGGAATAGAGTTTGCTCGGTTAGCTATACCTATATTACTAATGACGAAATTAACGCGGACGAAGTCGCGGGCAAAAACTAGTTAAGTAATATTTGACTTATGAAGCAGTTGCTATTATTGTAATATATTTTGTATTATCCTACTAATATTATAATTGCGAAAGTTTGTGAGTGTGTGTGTATGTTTGTAACTTCTTCACGCTCAAACGGCTGAACAGATTTTGATAAAATTTTGTATACAGAAAGCTGACGTCCAGGAATAACACATAGGCTACTTTACATCTCGGAAATCCGCGGGTAACACCGCGGGGCGCAGCTAGTAGTCTCATAAAAATCAAATCCTTATGTCGGAGGTCACGTCGTATGGTCGCTAGTCGTTCCTAGTGTCGGTGTGGCCGGTGGTCGTCAGCGGTCGTCACTATGTTCAGTAATGTGTGCGTATCATTAGGTCCGCGGACTTTCCTTTCTGTTTCACTTTCCGTCCACTAATAGTATATAATATATTATAATGTGTCCGTCCACACACCACTCTCTCCTGGACTCTGTCTCTTGTTACATGTGGGTAAGCGTTTATTTCTCTTCTTATATATTTCAAACCGCCCGACTGACCGACCCGTATGTAATGAGATCTTTCATTAAACACTGATCATATTATAATTGACTCGATCGTCATTTAAATGTATTGTTTTATATCAATGTTCCCCAACACGTCATGTTTTAAAGGAAAATATGTAAAGTGTATGAAATAAATTCGAGAACATGTAGGTGAGGAAAATCATTGAAGATGCTGAGAGACGCGTCATCATTGTCATTAGTGTTTTAATGAGCACGTGACGTACAAACATACACGCTGACGTCACCATCTCGATCAATACACGTGACACGGGCATCGGGCTGTCGTACACACATTCGGAGATCCCTCTGTGTTGTTTCATAGCACTTTTTGTTTCTTTGTGTTCCGAGGACGTATGTTTATATATAAAGCGAGTGTTGCTGTCTCCTGCAGGGCGAGTGTTACGGTCACTGAACACCAAAATATAGTTTCCATTATAAACAACGGAAATATCACATAAATACGAAGCTCTTTGAGAAGATAACAGGTAACGTGTGAATGTGTGTGTGTGTCGTCAATATAATTCTTTTGAGATTAGATTACGTTTCCACCTTCTTTTGTGTTATTGATATCCTTTTCAGTTAAGGTCGAAGATCACTATCGGCTTGTTCTGAGGGTCACGTGACCTTGTTATATATTAAGTTACATACAGTAGGACCCCGACTATCCGGACCTCGGTTATCCGAATTCGCGATTATCCGGACTGCCAATCGCGACGAGTTTATTTTAACACTAGCTGACCCGGCAGACTTCATACTGCCTCAATCAAGAAATAAATTATTTCTTATTTATTTTTTTGGAGTTTACCTTTAAGTAATAAATCTCCGTGTTCTAAAGTGCGACAGAATGATTGACATATTAGTTAGTTGTCAAAACTAATGTCAGAAACCCGTTTGTATGGGAAATAGAAAAGCGCTGTTTTTAGGGTTTTCCCGGTTTTTTTTTCAGCTTTTATACCTTCCCTGAAGCTCCACGAACATAGATAAAATAAATCCGTTCAGCCGTTCTCAAGTTTTAGCGAGACTAAGGAACAGCAATACATTTTTATATATATATAGATAGATAGATAGATTAACATGTTAGAACTTGCATAACGCCACGCCACTTATAACACTTATACGTACATTATGTACAATTTCTTAATAAACGTTGATTCTCGCTCATATATATTTGTTGTTTTAAATAAACACCTAACATTACATATGTATGGTACAGACTACATATGTACATATGCAAAAAGCCCGTTTTTCTTCAAATATTGGATTATCCGGACTTTCAATTATCCGGATGCCTACCGACAACAATTAGTCCGGATAATCGAGGTCCTACTGTATATATTATTAAGACATCACAAACACACCGCCGTCCGCCGCTCGATGTTCCGCGAACGATGACAATTATAAATGTCACCTGAGGTCGATGTCAATGACCTCGTTACAAGTGTGTGTGTGTGTATATGTTTGTTTGTGTGTGTGTGTCGTAGATAGCCATGACCTTCAGGCTATATATAAATATGAAAAAAGGGTACACGTACAGAATGTATAAGTTTCTAATAATCTAATAATAGGTGACCGTAATGTAGGTCACTGAGGTTCGTACACACTTCACTATATACATGGATTAGGAATTAAATAATCATAAACAGCTGAAAGGCTGGCCGGCGAGGTCGACGGAGTTTCCGACCTACGAGCCACGAGGTGAACACACACAGACGGACACCTTTAATCTATTCATATAGTAATGAATATTGGTATACATAGGTACATGTGTAGGTGTCAGATCATCTTGATGACCGGTGTACGGTCGTCAAATACAGATAATATAGTATGGAGCGAGGAGATCGGTTGTACAGGAGATGGACGGGGGAAGGGTACATTAAAGTTAGGAGGGAGCGAAGGGTGGAAGGGTTTGAATTAATAACAACAACAGACACGTACTGGAGATTAACTAACAGAAAATTATATGTAGCTGTGTACAAACAAAGGAACACATATACATATATTAAACATGAAGTGTATGAGACGCTCCGCCCGATATTACTTATGGAGAAGATTTAAAAGTACATACATCGCGCCGAGTGTCGGGAGTGTGAGTGACGAACAGACGGCACAAGGACGAATAGTTTTATATAGAGAGGGTTCTGTTACTGAAACTCACTATTTTCACGTCTGATTACTAACGGTAACGTGTATAGGGTAAGAGTAACAAGTGACATTAGCCACGGTCTTCCACAACGATCTATTGAAATCGTGAAATAATAATATTTGTTATAACTAGAGCGACACTAGACGAGGTGT